AAACGCGCGCTCTGGTCGTACGAACCAAACTGTTCCTGGTGCAACCACTGTGCCACGCTCGGCCGTGCGCGCTGAGTACGGACCGACGGCGTTTTTGTGGCCGAAAACGAGGCAGGCAGCACCGTGTTCCGCGGAAGTGGAACTACTCCTGCTCGCATTGACGAGGAAGTGAACGGCGGCTGCGCGCTGGCGATCCGGGTGACCCGCGAAGACGTGGTTCGTGACGCCGCCTTCTGCACGACCTGCAGCCGCTCCTCCTCCTGTTGCGACTTCGCAAAGGTGGCAACTTTCTTCAGGGAGATCTTCCAGTCATCCCCGGAAAGCTTCTATGAATTGTAAAAATGTCTGGGTCTGGAAGATTGCCAGGTTTGTCATTCATATTTCGCATGAGCTATGATGCCTGCAATGCATGACCTAACATGACAGATTTTTAGAGCGTTTCCTGTTGCCGATTCCGCATGAGAAATGCCCTCTGCGCGTAGCGCAAACTGCGCTCTTCTTGCTCGTCATGCAATACAGATCTTTTTGGAATCCAGAGACACCATTACAAGTTGCAACCTTCCAGACCCAGACATATTTGCAGTTCATAGCTTCCGCAGCCGAGCGATTTGCCGCAGTGTGAACAAAATGAACTGCAAAAGTATCGTACTCGTATAAATGCATGACAAATTTCCTCAGCATGAGAAACAAAATTTGTAAATGCAGATTGACCTTAAGAAAAGGATTTGTAATGCATGTTTGCAATACGAGTACGATACTTTTGCACAGGATAAACAGAACCGAGTCGGCCGAAGTGGGGTGTGTGGATGAATCTACTAATTCCGCGTTGTGGCAGATGGTTTTCTGTAGAGACACCGAGGAAGTCAGCAAGCGGACCGCCTCGCACATGCGCTGGAACTATCGCGAGGAGAAATGAATCCCCCCTCCCCATATTGACGAGGTACGTTTTCGAAAATTTGCGTTGCTGATTTGTGGCCACAAATCGTCTCTGTGTTGCATGAAGGCAACTCCGCAGGCTCCGCCGCATTCTACAGGCGGTTTTCCATGCTGATGCTCCTACAACAGCGCAGACGACGTCTTCCATGCTAAGCGCCTAGGACCAAACCTGTCTACTCAGGCTTGATATGGGCCTGCAGTCCTCGCCAGCAAGACAAATCTGATTTGTGTACGCAAATCCAGCATCAGAAACTTCGGTTTGACATGGGTAGAGGGGATTTTTCGTTTTGATAGGAACGACTTAGCAGCCTGTGTCTCGTCCACGGTCAGTCGCGCCTTCAGCTGGCGCACGGCCTTCTTCCACTTGTTTTCCTGGTGTGCGGCGCTAGCCGCGTTCACACTGCTACTTGCTTTTGCCGATGAAGATGCCCCAATGTTGCCAAAGATCAAGCTGGCTTCCTCATTGCAAAAAGCGTTGCCAAGATGACTGCTGTGCACCTTGGTGACCGCCTTCACAATCAATTCGTCGAGCTCCTTCTCCGTTCGCGGAAGTTGCGGCTCAGCACAAGAGGATGTTTGTGATGATGAGGATGAAGATTTTGCCCCGATATTACCAGGTGAAAATTTGTTTTCATCCAGTAATGCTGTGATTAAGTGCACCAAGATCTCTTGGTCCACGGAAAACCAATCGCCCACGTTGAACTCCTCAACGATTTTCCGCACTTTGGCTTCTTGTCTCACATTGTCCTCTAGGTCACCAACGTAGTTCCTTTCTTGTTCTTTCTCGTCTGCAGGGCCTTGCTCCTGCTGTGCTTCAATCGTTATTTCGTCTTCCTTCTTCTCACGATGCCCTCCTGCGGTCCAGCCGCCCGGTTTTCTGAGTTGCTGGCCCTGCTCCTCGTCGGGTTTCTTTCTTATCAAGCCGCAGAACTGCAGCAGTTGCTGACAGGTAACCGGCAGAATCGTGTACTCGAACAACAAGGCTACTTCCAATTTGGCCAAATCGTTGAACAGCGGCATGTCTTTGCTGGTCGCGAAGTCAATCATCCACACCGCATCCATGGCGTCCACCAAAATGTTAGCCGCATTCAGATCCCCGTGCCCCAGCGCCAGAAGGGGCTGGTACTCCTGCTGCAGTAATTGAATTCTCCTTTTTATCGTGGCCGAATTCATTCTTGCATGGAGGTTTTCCCGATCATTATCTTCTCGTGAAGAAGTCGTGTGTTCCTCGAAAAGATCTGATATCTTACGCATTTTCTGCTGCAGCGTCAACACGCTGTGTCGGACGTCGGGCCAGGCTGGTGGCGCACTGGGGCGGTATTTGTTTTCCTTTCCTACTTCCTGGTGGTCGTCCGTCTCTGGTCCTTCTGCCGGTCGTCCAGCAGTCGATTCTCCATCGCGATGATCGTCTCGTGCCATATTGTTCTCATGCTGTTGAGTGGTCGTCCCAAGACCACCAACCTCTTTCCGCGATAAGGCGACGACATTCTGGTACAGTTCTATCAGGTAGTCCCTATCAAATGTAAAAATGTCTGGGTCTGGAAGAATGCAGGAGTTTGTCATGCAGATTTTGCATGGCCCATGAGGTCTGTGATGCATGCCCGAGCATCAGAGATTTTGCGAGCGCTTTCTGATGCTCATACCGCATGAGAAATGCCCTCTCCGCGAGGCACAAATTACACCTCTTTTGCTGTTCATGCAATACAGATTTTATGTAGATTCCAAAAGTAGCATCACAAGTTGTATCCTTCCAGACCCAGACACTTTTACAGTTGATAGTCCCTTCCTGGAAACGATTCCGTATTCCACCAGGGGTTGAACTTCGTGTCCTTCCCCTTCAACTTGTACACGGTAAAGATCGTCGCGCTCCGGCTCCGTCGGATGCTCAAACTCGGCCCAGAAGAGGCGGATTGATTTACTATTTGGGGGTGTTGCTGAGTAGTTATAGACCTCGTGTGTAGTGCCGGCAAACTGGACTGCTCCACAGCAGAAGTGCTGGTTGGTGTGAAAAAGGGTCCAGCGGATGCTTCGCTTCCTTCGCGGCCGTGGCCACCGGTGGGCGCGTTGGTAGAAGCGCCACCGAAGGAAGCGCCAGCTGTTGTGGTGTAGTTGTTTTGTTGAAAGTTTAGAAGGTTCACGACTCGCGAAACCCGCTATAGCAGTGCACAACAACTCGTCCCCTGCTCATACTCATTTGTCACATACCAAATCCAGGTCTTGCCTTTGAGCACATTCTGCATAACAGAGCTTGAAGGAACCACCTCACACAGCACTACAATTATCCGACGTATGGAGAAATTAAGTTTCCTCATGCAGAAGCCCTATCTAATCCGCTGTCATTTGTATTGCCGCTCATGCCCCGCAAACGAGGGGGCCAGGGAGTGTTGCGCTCTCATACCCGCTTCTGGCTTTCCGCGACGCGGTTGCTGCTCACGTGCCGCATCTGGCGGAGCATGCCCCCGGTGCCGAGCAGTTCCGTGACCACCATTATCAAGAGGAAAAATGGCCCCTCCCCATATCAAAAGAAAATCAGAGAAAATTTCCGACGCTGGATTTGCGTACACAAATGAGGTCTGTCTTGCTGTAAGGAATTGCGGGCAGCTTCAGGTGCGCAAGGATCTAGCTGTTTAGCATGGGAAACGCCTGCCCCGTAGGCCAAGCAGCATGACAAACCGCATCCATAATGTCGCGCATCCCTCACCGCTTGCCTTTTTGCAAGACAAAAATGATTTGTGACCCCAAATCTGCATCACAAGTAGCGACGGATGCCTTTTCAATATGGGGAGGGGGGATTTTTCTTCACAATAACCATCTGCACGTTCCCAAACGGCGGAATTTCCTCCACCGGGAAGTGTTTCGGCAGGAGCTGCGACGCAGATTCGTAGAGAAACAGGTCCTTAAAAGTCGACAGGTATCGTGAGGAAAAATCCCGCCTCCCCATATAGAAAAGGCATGCGTCCTAAAATTTGTGTTGCTGATTTGAGGCCACAAATCACATTTCTGTTGCAAGAAGACAAGGGCAGAGGCTTTCGCCCCATTATGGAAGCGATTTGTCATGCAATTGGGACTAAAGGGGAGCCGCCTGCCATGCTGAACAACTAGCCCCATACGTCCCTACCTAGCCTGGGGATCTGGCCGCAATGCCTCTCTGCAAGCTGATTTGTGTACACAAATCCAGCATCAGAAATTCCGTTTTGATATGGGGAGGGGGGATTTTTCCTTTTGATAACAGGAGCGAGGTGTTTGCGTGCGCGGCGATGCTGGCGAACTCGGGCACCTGCCAGCACGCCCCTTATGGCGTTCTCAACTGTTACATTCTCAGCTGTTGCATGGATTTGTGATGCAAGAATGGCAAGAGTGCAAGGCGGAAGATTGCGCCTTTTGCATTACAAGTTTGGCGCAGATTCTAATGCTATCTAGTGCGACGTCGAGAACCTGTCATGCAAAGCGGCTTGATCCTGTTGTAGACTAGACATGTATTGCACTTTTCCATTACAAATTTTTTTTTTTTTTTGCAAAGAGGGGCGGATCACGGCCCTTTTTAGACGGGCTAGCCAGGCTACGGAATCATCATCACGACAATGAAAGAGAAAACTAGAAAAAAAATCTATTGACCCCCCGGATTCGATGCCTCGCGGCAGTTGCGGACGCACGGACTGTACCTTTCAAACCCGACCGCATAGGACGCGCCCGCGTATGGAAGACGACTGCAGCTTTGGCTTCTTGTTTATGAATTGTTCTATTCACCGATAGGAAAGAGCACCGGATCTGCCGGGGCCTGGCAGCCAGGCCTACAAAAACTATGCAAGAGCCCCCGCTCTACCGCACTATCTTGGTAGAGCAATTCGCAAACTCTGCAAAGCGCAACGATGTTCTATATATCCGCGCCGGTTGTTGGTCTTGTCTGGTCTCCTCGTCGGTACTCTGACTTGCCCCCTTCCAGTGTCTCTCGCCCTTACAAAAGTCACATGCTGATTGGGGTTGTAATGCAAATCAATAGCACAGGTGTCCGCGCGGCCGGCGACTCAAGCGCTTCAAATAAAAACTACATGCCATTGCCCTCTATGAGCGTCTGGCAGCTGCACGAAGACCCCTTTTTTACTCGGCAATCGAGGCGCATCCGCTGTCCCCCCATAGGGTCAATGAATGTAGGCAACCCAATCATCATGCTTTCTACCAAGTCCAGTCTACTGCCTGTGGCTGTGGGCCTTCATGCATATGAGACAGAGTCAAGCCCGAGTATTTGGAGTATGCAATATCTTATCCCCGAGAAAAAAAAATATAGTGCTGCTACTTGTTTTTGGAGAATGAGTCATCTTCAAGGATGCGCCTCCTCATCGATGAGGAGGTGCTTGCATCCTGTTCTTTTCCTTTCTCTTTATTTGCCTGCTTATCCATACAAAAACATGTCACACAACTTACAACCAGTCGCAGGAAATGACGAAAGTAACGCATCGCAGAAGAGGGCCATGTGAGTGTATCTGTATTTTACACCGACCTGTAAACGTAAAACGATGACCGATTTTTTCCCTTATCATTCACGACCCTATGATCTACCCTACGAGTTTGCTCATTACAAATTCAAATCCATGTACCAGTTGAGAATGTAACATTTGAGAGTCCCATACCCCCGCGAGCTCGAGTTTGAAAGCGCCGAGCTCAATTGAGGAGCCTGCGGCCTCGCTGTCCTGCTTCACTGACTGTTGTTCTCCTGACAGCTGCTGCTGCGCGCTGCTCGTGTTGTTACTTCTTGTTCCTCCAGCACTGTGATCTTCCACCACCTCGGTCGGGGCCGAGAAACAAAAGACCGGGTCCCCTAGAACCTTCGCCGCACGGTCTTGCAGCACCTCGTACACCTTCAGGGAGTTCTTGACCTCCTCGCGAATGGAGCTCGCATGGTATCATTTGTAAAAACGTCCCCACCTCCCCAGGGTTGTAATGCAAATCTGCATGCTGAAAATGTTTCTCATGCGGAGACACATGATGAGAAGCAGTCTTTATTGGCGTTTTGCAATTTGTGATTCTCGCATCCGCATGGTGTGCTAAATTTGTGTTGACGCTGCTTCACTAGCTAAACACGACTACATTGCAAGCCAAAATTTTTCATGCGTAAGAGCCAAAGCTGGGTGATTTGTGTAGGAGTGAGGTAACAAACTAAATCTGGAACTTCGCGGTTGAGTTCTCATCCGGCCGGTGGCCGGATGAGAACTCAACCAGATCGGCGGCGGCCGGTATCCGGCCGGCCGGCCTGCCCGATCCTCTTCCCCCCTCCTCCAATTGTCGACCCGCTCTTCTCCCCCACCCACCCCCGAGCCGCGTTGCTTCACTATGCAAAAAGCCCCACACTTGTCACGCAAGGACAGCGGAGCAAAGTGCTGAAACCCACCAAGCAGATGCTTGCGCTTTCGTCTCTTAGCTTTGATCTATGCTGCTCTTTCCGCTTATATTTCATGCAGTTTGCACTTTCTATTTTTCATTTGCGCTTCTGTGTTTGCGGCCTCTACTTCCGCTGGGGGTGCTCGAGTCTCAGGAGCTGGCTCCACCGATAAACCACTGGCATTGAAACGATAAGCCGCTTAATAAAGCGAGAAGCCGCCGAAAGTGGGGACCCGCTTAAAGCGGGGAGCCGCTGAAAGCGGAGGAACCGCTGGGGGCGGAGAACCGCTGAAAGCCGGTAACCGGTGACAGCGGGCTACCGCTGAAAACGCGCATCCGCTGGAAGCGGGCCACCGCTGAAAGCGGGGAACCCGAGCGGGCAACCGCTGAAAGCCGCGAAGGCATGGCTTCCCATTTTTCGCGCCTCCCCGCTTCCAGCGGTTGTCCGCCCGCTGCCAGGGGTCTATCGGTGGAGTCTGCTGAGACTCGACCACCCCCGACGGCAGCAGCGTGCTGGCGTCTGTCTCCCCCTGGTTGTTCCTATGGGGCCCCGCATTTGGACAGAGACAGGAGCGGGCGGTCTCCGCCAATAACCTAGGGCGCGCGAGTGCCACCATCGTGGTATCCTGGATAAAAACGGAGGCTGTGACTCCGCCCCGAAGCTGCGAGGCCCAGAAAAAACGCAGTGGCGGTAAAGGCGTGCCTGATATTACTTACGTAGCAGTAGCGCTGAAGCAAAGCGCAGTCGCTCCGTTTGCATTGGATAGAGCTGCCGGAAGTACATCAAACCCAGAAGCACAAAGTAGAAAAAATGGAAAGCACAAACCGCGTGAAATAATAATAGGAGCGGAAATTATGGCCGCTGCACAGATAAAGAATAGAAAGCGCACGCGTCTGCTTTTGGGGTTTCGGCGCTTTCCGCTGCCTTTGCATGGCAAAGCTGGGGCTTTTTGCGTTTGCCTAATAAAACAACGCGGCCCGTGGGCGGACAGGGGAGAAGAGTGGGTCGACCGGTTGAGGACGGGGGAAGAGGACCGGGCCGGCCAGCCGGATTCCGCCGGTGATGTGGTTGAGTTGTCATCCGGCCGCCGGCCGGATGAGAACTCAACCGCGAAGTTCCAGATTTAGTTTGTTACCTCACTCTAGCAGATTTTCCATCTTGACTCTGGGGTGGGGAAGTTTTTTGCTCACCATACGTGGTCAAGCTTCACGATGACCGCCTCTTCCGCAATGTTTTCCGAATCGAACGGCTGCACGCGCAGGACCAGCGACCCCGAAAACCCGCCGCACAGCTTGCTCGCCTCGAACTTCCGCCCAAACATCTGCAGCAGGAGCGTCTCGTACGCCTGGCGGTACTTGTGCTCCCCAAAAATGGTCTCCATGAGCTTGTGCAACTGAACCGAGGTGGAAGATCCCTGCCGGTCCACGCCCGTGCCGGACCCGCCCAGCGTTCCCCCCGCGCCGAAGGCCGAATGCAGGCCATGATGCGCAGCAGTACCGGCACTGTTCCGCGTGCAGAGCGACATCACACAACTGGACTTATACCAGGAGTAAAACGAAGTCATGTTCGTTCGCTTGTCCGTGGTGGTGAAGTATCAATTGCAAATATGTCTGGGTCTGGAAGAGTGCAGATTTTTGTCATGCTATTTTTGCATGACACAGCAGGTCTGTCATGGAAGCCCTAGCATCACATTTTTGAGAACGTTCCGCAATGCTCATTCCGCATGACAAATCCTTCTTTTTGGTGACAGGAAGTGGGCACCTTTTGCTGCCTATGCATGAGAGAATTGCGCGTGTAGTGGAGTTCGCATTACAAGTTTGGAGGACCCTTCCCGGCCCAGACATATTTGCATTTGGTATGAAGGATTCGGGCTGCGGAACCAGGTGGAGTTTGCGCAAAAACCACTCTCGTCGTTTTTGTCTACTGATTTGATGATGTAGTTCCTTGTGCTTGCTGATGTTGCATGTAGCAGGAACGAGTTGCTGCTGGTTCATCTTCGTGCCTCCTTCCTCAGATACTGGCTCCGCAACACGTTGCTGCTCAATGAGGCGTGCCTGTTCGACGCCGCGGTCCACCGCCGGAAGATCTTCATCATGTTCATGTTTCGGGCCGTAGTCGACGACTTGGTAACACACCTCGTGCTTTTGGATCACGGTGGGCAGAAAAATCCTCGACGTTGCTTTTGTTGCAGCCCCATCGGATTTTGTGGTAGATAATGTCGATGTAGTGCCGCTTTTGGTGTAGAAATGTTGATGGCCGCTTTGCATCCCGGTGTAGGAAAAAGAACTGGGTGGCCAGTAACAAACACCTTCGGCCGAGCCCCCATCGATAGTAGGCCCCGCTGCACCTCCAGCCGGTCGACCACTCGACGTAGTTGTCACCGCAAACGCGTAGTTGGTGCGCGAGGGTTGATGTGCAGCAGTGCCAGAAGAAAAGACTCCTGCCGGCGGTCGTCCGGTCGTGGTGCTGCTGATATTAGAAGAAGTCCCGGCGTTGCTGGACAGCGGCTGCAGAAAGCTGCCAGTCCCTTTCGGCGCAATCGCCTCCCGCACGACGTCTGCGTCCGTCTCGGGCAGGTCAAATTCTTCGAGGAAAAACCGGACCACCGCGTCCTCGCACGTTTCATCCGTTTTTTTCCGGATTTCAAATGCAAAAATGTCTAGGTCTGGAAGATTGCCAGGTTTGTCATGCATTTTTTGCATGACGCCTGATGCCTGTAATGCATGAAAGAGCATCGCAGATTTTTAGAGGGCTTCCTGATGCCTTCTATTCCGCATGAGAAACGCGCTCTCCGCGAAGCACAAACTGGGCTCCTCTTGCTGGTCATGCAATACAAAATTTTTTTTGAATCCCAAAACAGCATGACAAGTTGCGACCTTCCAGACCCAGACACTTTTGCAATCCATACCGGATTTCCGGCAGCAGCTGGCTTTGATTGGTAAAAAACAGCCGCCCGTTGCTCGCCTGCTGGTGGGAGCGCACGAGATATCCTGATCAAAAACGTCTACACGCCAGAGTTGTCATGCAAATCTACATGCCAAAAAAGTTTCTCATGCGGAACCCTATGAGCAGCATGCTCCCGTCGCGTTTTGGGGTTTGTGATGCTAGAATCAGCATGATGTGCTAGATCTGTGATGCTTCTGAGCTAGCTTCTAAAGAGGACTACACTACGAGGACAAACTTGTCATGCCAAACAGCCAAATGTGGTTGATTTGTCTAGCAGATGTCCCATCTTGACTCTGGTGTGGGGACGTTTTTCCTCAAGATACAAGAGTCTGGTTGTTCGCGGTTTCCAGCCGAATAGCGACCACTTCAATCACCCGCTGCAGATTTGAGGTCGTGGAGCACGGAGGTAACGCACCATCGTCTGCCGAATCTGGCGCGGCCGGGTAGAAGTTCGGTGTAAAACTATCCTCCCCCTGCTGGAATTTTCTCGCTGCCGTCGTCCCCGCCGGCCTTTTCATCTCCTGTCGCAAGAGTTTATTCTCCTGCTGTGAAACAACAAGTTGTTGTTCCACCGCCGCTTTACTCTTCGCCGTCGCATCGAGGTTCCTCTGTAAGGAGCAGTATTTCGCTTGCAACTCGTCCCAGAGCGAAGAGACCGCGTCGGTTCCTGGGGGAAAAGCGGTGGAGGGTATTGTGAAGAAAATTTCCCCACCCCAGAGCTGTCATGCAAAATGGCATGCCTAAAAATATTTCTCATGCGCGGCCCCATGAGAGCCATTTTCTGGCGCTATCTGGAAGTTTGTGATGCTACAATCAGGATAAGGTAGTCAATTTCTGATGCGTCTACACTGCCTCAAACGGCACTACACTACGAATCCAGATTCGCCATGCAAAACAGCCACAAGTTCTGGATTTGTGTTGCAAGATCCCCATCTTGCCTCTGGAGTGGCGGTGGGGACGTTTTTACATACGATAGAGGGTGCGGTGCCCCCCTTGCGGAGGTTGCCTGGTGTCGTGTGGGTGCATTGAAATGGAAATTCGCGATGGAGGGTGCTGGCGTAGCAAGTGCAGCTCTCGGTGCGGTGTAAGTAGATCGACAAATAATCCTTCTTTTTCTCGAGAACGAGAAAGAAGAGGAACTCCAACTCGAATCGATGCAATAAAAACAAGAAAGTTAAAACCCTGCATGGAAAAGAGCATTGATTCTCGTTCTTCATGATGCAGAACGAGAGAGCCATCATTTTTTTCTTGTTTGATAAACAGCTTACTTTTATTCTCGTGCGCGTGGTCCTCTCCACCACCAATCGATTCTGAGTCGTCCACGCGCAGAACATTTTCCGCGATCAGGAGCTGCCTCAGATCCTCCTCGCTGTCAACCCGCAACGCAAACAGTGACTTGAGTTCCCGGAGCTCCTTCCGCAGTTGCTCGTTTTGCGCCTGCAGCCGCCGGTCTTCTTGCGCGGTCATGGTCATAGTCCAAGCCACAGCTCCACCGCTGCACGCCGGACTGCGGCCCGAGACGAAACGAGAACGCAGAGCACGCTTCTACGGCTAGGGCGTCATGCTTTGGTCGAGTTACTCGAACAGTTACAGTGTCCGTATTTTCATAGGTATTTGTTCATTACCTCTCGAAGCTGCCACCCTCCTCGACTCGTTCTTAGATTCCCTCACAGAAAAAAAAAACTGAAAAAACGGGGGGCAGAACTCGTCCGCAATGTTAGCTCTCAGGTCCCTCCCTCGTCATTGTTTAAAAAAAAACCGAAAAGCCGCCAGCCAGTTTGGAAAAAGGAGAAGGAAACGAAAAAAGAACAATTTGAATACGTGTCTCAGGACCTGCAGGCCGCAAAATGAGTCTGCAGACCACTCGTGCGCAACTTCATCGCCGTTGTAGATCAGAGACAACCTTCGGTACATAATTGAGAAGTTTCACGCATCATACAATCGAGGGTTCTTACAGGAGCGCCGAGAAACTTGTACATTAGAAACAAGAGTTGTTTATTTTGTACATGAGAAACAGGAGTTCATTTTGGTAATGGTAAGTTGTGTACAGTACATCTTAATTCGTTAATTTTTGGGTAAAAGTACAATCAAGAAGATTAGTAAAGTACTTTTCAACAATCGTTATCGACGAATTTTTTGCCTCATCGACGAACAGGACAATTTGCCTTCAGTCGCTTTTCGCCCTAGTAATTTATCAACTGTCATACGGGTGCACTTCTTCGAATTGGGTGTTCTTGCTCTGCTGAAACAAAAGTAAAAGTTACGTTGCGATATATAAAATCAAAATGTTATCAAGTGGATACAACATTAATTCAATAATATTTCTAGGTTCCCACCGGGCGGGGGACAGCTTGGAAATCCACTTCATTTCTACTTTCATCCTTATTCGGCCATTCAACCATCGGGTTTACCCAGCAAACAGCGCAGGCACGGAATCTGTGAAGTTGTATTTTTGAAGATGACAGTCAGGAAGCGCGACACTCGAATCCAGTCACTTACACGACACATCACGTATGCATTTGCTCTTGGTTTTGCATGCAAACGAAAAGAGCTATTTAATACGCAATAAATACTATCTTAATCTTTTTCTACCTTCGTTGCATGGTCCACCACAAAGCCGTTGCAGGTTCAAACACGACCCCTTGCAAATGTGACAAGGAAGCGAGGGATGAAGTCGTCCGATGTCGAAAAACCCGTTGTTTTTCAAGCGCAGTTCTTTTACCTCCTATGGTCCAGGCGTTTTATCTGGCGCTAAGTTTTCGGAGACTGTCGGTGCGAACCACCGGAAACGAAGGTGGTGCGCGGCCTGTTTATTTTTTCTTGGGTTTCATGTTGGTCAACCTTCAATCAATAGCACCATGATGTTGGGACGTCCGGGCTTCTCACCCAGAGCAGTAGGTCATGCACGACAACAAGCGAAGAGAAGCTAATCGGAGCTCCTGTTTTTTGTATTGGTCGTGTAAGTATAGTACTTGAGTACGTATCCCAACCGAAAGAAAAAAATCCCTTCAATACCTAATCACCATCGATTCGTAGAAGATTTTCTCAAAATTCTTCAACCGTGACCAGAATCTCGTACTCTTTATCTGCGGAAGCCAGGAGCACCAGAACAAGCTGCTGGTGACAATAACGACTCCGGTGCGAAGACGTAATTGGCAACTTCCATGGTGCTTGCCGGTGAGAGATGCTCCCGAAACTACCCCTTTCATCTTCGTTCCGATGTCGAGAGCGCGAGGGTGTGTGGCTTCTACAAGTACTGCTGCACGACCGGGTACGAAATCGATACAGTGGACTCAGGTACCGGCGGAGCAAAGACGGAGCATCGACGCCCTGTTTTTGGAAAGAAAATGAGATGAATCACAATTATCCTCTAGTCTCTTCATCTTTTCACCGAAGTGCATTTTGACGCAAAAAGATCAACGGCCGCAAAAAAACAACAAACATAAACAAACCTGTATTCAGGTTCTATCCATCGATACACGACCATATCTCCATCGCCTCGACTTTGTCGCACGAGCAAACAAGAATCGTCAGGCTCGACCGCAATTGCTTCAGATTGAAAAATTGCCCGCGTTGAAACAGCTTCCGAAACAGCGCTTGAAACTTGTCGGGAGTTGGAGTCCGTGTGGTAGTAGTACTCGAAGTGAAATGTGGAGGATGTCGTAGGCCGGACTCTGTGGAACAAAGATGTAGTGCGTCATCACCGTGCGCGAGTTTATTTTGATACAGTCATGAATTGGTAAGCTCTCGTAATTCCAATCGGTCATTTCCGGTGGGTACTAAAAGTGAAGGATCGAGACCGGAGAAACGGTCCTGTTGTGTGTAGTTTCTCTTTTCATTGTTTCGATTGGAGTAGTTTGTCTTTTTGATGTTTCAATCCCAATCGGAGACCACTTTCTTGTCATGAAAAAAGATCCCATCTCAAGTGAAGAATGAATATCAAGCTGTAGAATGACGCTAAGTAACATTTTGCAAACTCTGAAAAAATTCATACCTTCTCCTAGTTCAACTTCTTGAAGTTCGTCAATTATGTTTCAGTCGAAACAGCGATCTTCCCCTGAAGGTGTTGTCGCCTTCAACGGCTTCCGTTGTAATCACCATAAAAATTCTCGTAACGTAGTTGTAAACCCTGCTTCTTCGAAATGCTTTGTTCTCTCCGTCAAAAATTATCTATCTGGCTGCAAGAACCGGATAGTGCGTAGTTGTAGTTGTAAGTACCGCAGAAGTGTGTCGGGTAATAGAGCAGGTGGTTTGTCCGTCGTTTTTCAAAACTTCTCGTGCAAATCCTTCATCATCTTGTAGTGGTGCAATAAGTTGTCGACACTGTTGGTGGCGCCTGCTCTGACTGGTGCTATAAACAGTGGTCGTAAGTAAATTCATCAGTTTTTATCGGGGAGGGGACAGTTTGTCGTTGTTCGTTGTGGATGGTAAATCGATGTGCTCCTCCTCGGTTGTGAAGACTGTTTGCTGCTGCTCGTGCCCAACAAAAAGCCTTTCCTTTTCTACAGCAGCTCCAACTCTAAGTACTTCAGTTTTTCAAAAACTCGTTTCTTCCTTACATATCAAATGCAAATATGTCTGGGTCTGGAAGAGTGCCAGCCTTGTCATGCAGGTTTTTCCTGACCCATGAGGTCTGGCATGGAGGACATAGCATGACAGATTCTGTGAGAGTTCTATGATGCCTATTCTGCATGAGAAACTGCATCTCGATTAGGTCACAAGTGGGCAGCTTTTGGTAACCACGCAACGCAGATTTTTACATGATTCAGATTTAGCATGACAAGTTCCAACCTTCCAGACCCAGACATATTTGCAATGCATATTACACCCCCGTCAACCATTCACGGCGAGACCGCTGTCCCCGAAACGTTGCTGCTGCTGCCGCGCCCGGACGAACCAAAGGAGGTGGACCTGCAAAGGAAAAAGAAAAAAAGTTGAAAAATCAACTATAAATCAAGACCCTAGAGTAAATATGAAAACTCTGCTCTTGATCAGTCCAAATCCGTATCATCTCTCCGCGTTTCGTATGAAGTACAAAAAGCATCAGCACAAATAAAAATACCCGATCCGCTTCTCCTCAATCTCTTCTTCCCCTTCTTCCCCAAACACGCCAATCCTCCGGCGGAAATCCTCGTCGTCCTCTTCGCACGGTGAAGTATGCAAGTGAAGCACGCGGACCGCTTTCCTGTAGCAGAGCCAGCTCGGGCTTGCGGTCCCATGCATATTATGCATGTATATCCATATTATGCATGGGACCACAACGATGCATATTGATGTCGTCCTTAAAAATATCAAAGGCGTAGTCCTCAGGAATGAAAAGTAAGCCCTTCTTATTCCCAGCAAGCACGACGCTTTCTCATGCTTTCGAGAGCGCTAAGTTTGTGCTTCGCTTCCATAATGTCCCACCACGTCTCGGAGCTCTGTTTCGTCTTCCGAACCTGATTCCTGCTCCGAATCGTCCGACTCCGACGCTGAATCCTTATCAATTGCAAACACGTCTGGCTCTAGAAGAATGGACGCGTTTGTCATGCATCTCGTGGACCATACAGATGGTCTGGAATGTTGCACACAAAAGCACCACTACAGATAATTGTTGCAAAAAAATTGAAATTTTTGCACGATCAAGACACACCATGACGAGTTCGAGTTGCCATGTTCCAGAGCCAGACATTATATTTGCAATGGATAATCCTCCTCGAAGTCCAAGACTGTGTCGTGGCGGTACGCTTGACCGTCGTCTTCTATCGCGACCTCGCGGTCACCTGAATCTTCGCACAGCACGGAAGAAGATGTTGCGGCGCCATTTGCGGCGGAAACCGTCGAACCGTAAGTCGGCCAGCTGTTAACGCCGTTCGAACTATTCCCCAGTAGACTGCTACCGTTCAACACGCTCTCGTTCTGTGTCCCCAGTAAACTGCTTTCCTGCTGGTGCTCGATCAACCGGCTCCCGTTGACCGACGTGCTCCCCCCGTCCCCCGAGCTTGAGCACTATCGTGAGGAAAAATCGCCCCCCCCATACTCAAAAGGCAAGCCAGTAATGCTGTTGATTTGTGTACACACATTCAGCATGAGCAGTCTTCCTTTGAATATGGGGAGGAGGGATTTTGCATTTTGATAATGTGTCACGGTTTCGCCCTTGCTGTTTTGCGTCGGTATCGTTCTTGGAGCGCGTCTTCCGTTTGACCCTCTTCTTGTTTGGTCTGCAATATCCAAGAGAAAAAAACTAGAATAATGCAGAAATAAATACGGCGAGAAATAAATGCGACCACGATCCTGCATAGCTATACTCCTTTTATTTAGCATTACAAATATGCTACGCAAGGTTTTTTCTCTGCGATACTTTGCAACAGCAACCCTCGAAGCAGCGACTTTTCCAGCAGTTGTACAAACAGTTGCGCCCGTAGAAGTAAAAGATGAGCAGCAACATTACGACGCCGAGGCACGCGAGGACGGCTAACAGCCAACCGGGGGCGTGGGAGTGATGCTGGTAACTGGAGTTGGAGGACCACATGTGCAGCTTGTATTGGTCGTGAAATTGCTGCTCGATGACCGTGTCGAAGGACATCAGGTTGTTCTGTATGTTGGAGAAGGCCGCGCCACTACTTTCCGAAATCTCCAGTGCAGAGGACGCTGCCTTCCGACTGTTCCACCAGTCAATTCCGATGACTGCTTGTTCTTTTCCGTCAGGTGTTTGGAACTTTGACAAATTGACTCCCTTACCTTCCGGCGACAACCAGGGCTCACTATTCTCACTATCACCGCCTCCCTTCGTTTCCCACAGTGTTAACACACAGCTGCTCGGATCGTTGGCGAAAGTGCCAAACTGCAATTTCCACGCGGCCGTTTTCTTGCCCTTCTCGTCTACCGTTCTTCTCATTTGCAGCGTGTTCACGTGGGGAATTTGTTTGTTTTCTTCTGCTACACCCCATGACAGTAATTGATCAGCTACCGCAGCCCTTTCCCGGTATCCTCGGCCCCCACGGCTTTCTTTCGTTCTGAATACTTGTTTTGTTAGGAGACGTACGTACTGTTTGATGGTATACCCTAGTTCGTAGAAGAACTTCGCCCGTTCCGCAACATCTGTTTCAGATTTGTTCCTCTGCTGCAAGAGTTCCAAGTCTATCAGTTTCGCAACCTCCGGCGAAAAAGCCTGCAAATATGTGGTCATGTGCAGGACGTTGAACTCTATCTTCGAGAAGGACCCCGACTTGTCCGATGGGTTGCTGGGGTCAACGCAGCCTGGTTGAAAACCGTTCTGCTCAGTCGGCGACGAGGGAAGGACGGTGAAACCGCTTGTCGGGCGTGGGATGGCGGGTGCCTCCTGACTGTCGGGCGGGCTGTCCCCGAACGTCACGCTAGGATATGGCGCGAATCACTTCCCCACGACGCAGGATCACTTCCCCACTTCCCCACCTTGAGGAGGTGCATCCCCCCCCCTGTGGGGTAGTACTTCCCAAGTGCTGGGGAAGTGGGGAAGCCCGGCCCCACTTCCCCACCACCCGCTGTAATCCCCTGCCGCCCGTAGCTCCGCTCCGCGAGCCTACCTATGTACGCGGCCGCAACCTGGCGGCAGGCCTAGGGGGGCAGACATGGAACACCACACCGTGCGCGCAATGGATGCTGTAAGCACACACGGCACGCAAAGCGCGGTGGGGGCATGACACCACACTGGAGGGCCAAAAGATACTAATGAGCAGGGTGGGAGAGGAGCTGGGCCGCATAGGCAGGGGGGCGGACTGGGCGAGCAGCATCGCGGGGGAAAGGGGAGCGCCGAGGCACGCCGGCTGGCCTCGGCGGTCGGCCCTAAGCACCGAACGCCAAGAACTAACCCCTAAAAAACCAAGTCCATCACCGACCCTGCGCCAGACCTGCGGCCGCTCCGGTAGTGATGCGGGGGAGGTCGGTGGGGAGGTGATGCGGGGGACGTGGGGTACTGATCCGGGTCGGCTGGTGGTGCGTGGGGAAGTGCGTCAAAGGAGTAGGGAAGTGATTCACATTCCTACTTTAGGTGTAGGATTAGGTGTAGGTCTGATTGTCAACAAACTACTTTCCGCGCCCTCCGGCTCCATGATCTCGATCAATTTATCCGATGATTTTTGTTGGAGTTTTAACAAACATTGCTCTTTCAACGACGATCTCGTCAACGACGAACTACTGCCCCGGTCGCTGGTCATAAAGCGCAATCGAAATTGATCAGTGCGCAAGCGTTCTTGTCTGAAATGCAAAAATGTCTGGGACTGGATGCGTGCAGATGTTTCTCATGCTGTTTTTGCCTGGCCCAGGAGGTCTGGCATGCAAGAGAGACCTAGCGCCACGGGCTTCAAGAAGGCTCCCTCTTAATCTTAATGCCTAATCGTCCGCATGACAAATCCCCCTCTTTTGGGATCAGGAAGCGAGCAAAATGACAGACCCCTTGTGTGGTATTGCTCGAACGCATCGAAAGCTTGCATGTTTCCTTTTCCAGGACCCGACATACTTACTTGCATTTAGATACGTTGTTTATCCCCGAGAAAAAAGCTGGCGAGCGTTTCTTTCTGTATATGCAAAAACAAGTGCCAAACTAGAGCAAAAATAAACTCTTTCGATTTTTATAAAAAAACCAAACAACGCGAACACGCGAAGAACGGAGGCTGCTTTCTGGGGCTTTTAAGCCTTTTGCATTTTTACGCGAATAGCAATTGCGCCCAACCAATCCCAATCGCCTGGGCCCGCCTGGGCTCCTACGGTTTCCGGGTGCTTCGAATATCGAGGCAAGCGCCTCTTAGTCTGGCTCCACAGGTGCCGACCCCAAAAGAGCCAAAAGTCTTTGCGGTGTGTGCGCACTTCTAGCCAAGTTCCCAAGACTTTTGCCCATCTTACATGACGAGCCGGGCGCTTGCTGTTCGCAGAGGCGAGCAAGCCTGAAAGAACAGAAAAGCTTCCGCAGATTTCTTCCGGCCCCGCGCGCTCCGAAGGGGGCGGCTAGGGCCTCCGGGGGTCGGTTTTGGGGGTGCATAAATTACAGTCGTCGGGTTCTCATTGGAAGAAGGGAACCGCTTTTGGAGGTTGTATTTGGGGCTCTCGCTCGTAGCACATGGAAACCGGACCTGGGGAAGACGCGAGGACGAGCGCCCGGGGGCGCCGATCGTTCCTACCCGCTGGCTTTTGGCCGAAGTTCCTCCTATGTGAAACACAGCAGCCGTCAGCCAAATTGGCAAGGGAGACGGGATCCGCAAGCGGCCTTTCGAGCAGGTTGAGAAACCCAAAAAAACGGCCTTTCCTTTTCGCGTGTCCGCGCGGGATCGATTTTTTGAGATCGCAAACTTTTTCTCTTTTAATCAAGAAAGAGAGAAAGATAACCTACATAGTTGATGCTGATGCTGATGGCGAAGCGCGGGCGCAACGCGGGCGGAGGGGCACCGAGCGACCTGAAGGGTCCGAAGACGTGCCTTTTTTCGGGGGGTAGAAGAGGGCTAAACCCGCGCGCAAAACTTCGGCGGGCCTCAATCCATCAAAAAAAACAATTTGTGCGTGAACGCAGCAAAAAGTAAAAATGACGGAAGGAGGTCTTGTAAAGTAAAGCCTTCAAAAACCCGACGTCCTTATGTTCTTAATTCTTATACTCCTAACGGTGGTAGCAACACCAGGAGTCCGCACGAAATGAAAGAGTAACGCGCAGCTACACGTGCATGGTCAGGCGCGAATCGCCGGCCATCCACAAGCGGAGACCAAACATAGTTAATAGCTGATAGCTGATAGCGCCACGCGGACGTGACCACCGGCGGCAGGGACGACCTGAAGGGTCTGGAGACTCCCCTTTTTTCGGGGGGGTAAGAAAGCTAAATCCGCGCGCAAAACTTCGGCGGGCTTCGAACTACACAAAGATCCTGGCTGTGCGTGAGAGATGCAAAAGGATCAAGAAGTAGTAAGAAGTCGAATACTAAATAGCTTTCAAACACCGACGTCCTTACGTTCTCATGTTATTTAGCTCCCGACGGTGATCGCAGCACCAGGAGCCCGCACGAACTTGAAGAGCTAGGAAGGACAATATACGACGAACATCACGCAGTTGAGCGCTGGCCTTCCTCTCGTTCCACTGCACGCGTGATGCCTCTCCGCCAACCTCGCAACGTCTTCTAAAAATGGCCCGGCTGACTACACTCGGGTCGGATGCCGCTCCTGTTGTACTATAGCTGGGACTTGCGTTTTTCGAATGGTAGTGGAGACGATCTAGACCGTAGACTAGACCGCCCCCTTTCTACCGTCGCGGTTTTTTGTAGTCAGTTTCGTAAAGGCCGACCGGAAGACGCAGGGGTGATTTACCTGTGGCCTTGTAGCCCGATTCCGATCATGTTTCACTCTAGGGCCTGCGCTTGTACTAACCGTTCTACGCCATGGCAGCAGCTTATCATGTGCTTTTTCGCACGGATCTTCAAAGAGCAAGGCGGACCGGAGTGAATTAACCAGAGATTTTTGAAAAAGATCGACCTGGTTCAAGTCTGCAAGGTTGCTCTTCTGCAGTGGGTGGAGGGCAGACGAACACGAACATAAGGAAACTCCCCACCGGGCGGGCTCTCGGCCGTCGTTCTGCGGGTCCCCTGGGTTGAATGCGGCGCGCGGCTATTCTACTGCTTTACCACGTAAGCACTAGTAGTAGCTTAGGCGCCTTGTCTTGTTTTTTCTTCTTGCTGTTAGGAAACTAGTGTGGCGGACGAGCGACAGCCTCTGTACCACGATCACCGCTTGCTACATTCACCCGCCCCCGTTCGAGGACGGGTCGAGCCTCGCAGTGTCGTGCTCTCTAACTTCTTAACTATGCGCGGTGGCTTCACGCTACTACCTACTTGACCGCCTCAGCAAGCGCCTCAACAAGTTCTCTACTCTGTCTCCGTTCCCATCTCCACCACCTTCCGCCTGGCGCACCCTCATTGCCCTAGACCCACCTGCTTCGATGTGCCCTGGCTGACGCAGCTGGTCACCGGTTCCGCTCCTCCCGCGCTAACACCCCGGGACTGCTCCTGCAGCCAGAGGTGTCATGTACTCCAGATAAACCTAAAGCGAGGGGGGAAGGGTGGTGGGGTTTTTCTGGGTGCAGGTTTTTCGGAGAAGTTGCCCGGCTGAGCGTAGCCCCCTCGTTCGTAGCAGTTTGTCGGCTTTGTTCGTTTTCGTGTTGGCGGTCTCTCTCCTAGAGCTTCCCGATCCAGCTCGCTATTTTGTTCAGGTCCCTCTCCTGGACCTTGCTCGGCTTTTTCTCCGGTTGCCACTCTGCCACGTCTTTGTAGTCCGCCTCGTCAAAAACCGCCTGTCCTCCTCTGATCGCGTTCGCTAGCCCCGTGGGCAGAATTCCTCCGTGTGTCTGCGAGGCCTTCTCGTAGAAGTTCAGGATGTTCTTCACGTTTTTTCGCTCCCGGACAAAACTTATGCATGGATCCATGGCTTTTATGCATGGCGCGCCTAGGTGTTCTCTTCGCAATTGCACTAGCGTAGGGTCTTCGCACTGAAAAAGCAAGTGGTCTGCACTTGGCACTACTTTCTTTTGACAGACTGGGCAGGTCATGTAGCTCTCTTTTGGCGTCTGTGCGTTGTGTGTCGTTCTTCCCATGCCTAGCCGACCTGGGTGGCCCACCCCTAGCCACACTGTAAACATGACGTCGTCTACAAACCTTGGCCTTTTTTCCTCACTTTGGTACTCTCCTAACTGGCTTGACCTCCTAAGTCGGTCGGGGTGGGCACTGTTGCTGCTCTGGGGGCTGCTTTTCACGATCTAGCTCACGATCCGCCTGAGCAACTTCTCTGTGATAACTTTTCCATAGGTTCTACGTCCCTCCGACGAGTCTCCTACGTATCGCAGCCCCCTTGCTGCAAGTGCGTCTGCAAAATCGTTGAAAAAGTTCCCCAGGTGTGACGGCACCCAGTTGAAGTGAATTTCGCATCCTGGCGCCGATAGCTCCTCCAGTTTTTCCAGTTCCTTTACGATATCGATCACCATGACGCTGGACTTGTCCCGCAGTGCTTCCAGCGCCATCAGGAGACCGCTGGAGTCGATGTAGAAGACGTGTTTTGTTATGGATTTTAGTATCTGCTCTGGTGCCTTGTTTATTAATTCTCGTATTTGATGCATTAAACCAAAACACTCACCATCGAAGGAATCTGGATTGATCTCTAGCTCGTGCCAGATTGTCGATTCGACTCCGCAGAAGCTGGCCGCTACTGGCGCTGGTCGTGGTGCTGTGGGCAGCACCTTGTGCCAGGTTGTCCCGCCTCCACTACCCCGGTCTCCTTTCGCTCCTCCGTCCGTGAAGGTCGCCATTGTGTTTGGGTGTGTTAAGTGTCTCCTTGCTTCTTTCTCTATTAGCTGCGCCGGCATCTTCCTGGTTCTGTTCTTCATGCGGTGGTCTTTTGTTTCAGCTGGGTCTCGGAGCCTGTATCTTTTTGCTACTTTGTACATAGGGGAGATGCTTACTTTGTTCACCCCTTTCCAAAACTGCCGGCCGACCTGCAGGCTCTTCGCGCTATTCGCAACGTGCTGAAAGTCCTGGCTGATCGCAATGCGGTTTATTCTGTTGGTCCAGGCTTCGTCACAGTGCGCCCATAACGGATTCTCCGTGCATGTGGTTGCAGCAACTGGGTCTCGTGGAAGATTAATAACCTCGGGATCGGGGATGTCGTCGGTCACTGGGGGATCATCGTCTTCAGGGCGGCCGATGGCGGCGCTCTGGTCTTCTTCGGCGACGCTGCCACCTGTGGAGGCAGCTTCTACCTGGGAGGGGGGTTGGGAGGGGGGGGCGGGTTGCGTTCTTTCCGCCCGCTCTACTTCTTGACTTGGCCTGTAGTCAGGTATCTCTGCCTCTTCCGTGTGGAAAGGCCAGAGACCGAGCGCTGCCCCCTTGTAGAATGTCACTAATGCTTCTACTAGCAGACAGTCCACAGGTGGCTGCAGCCCCGTCGCGTTATACATGACCGCATTGCTGCACTGCTTCGGAATGCTGAGTCTTTGTTTTCTCTTCGATGCAAAAGCTTTCGCGATGTTCTTCTTTGCTGTTTTCGTGAAGTACGGAAATGCGACGACTGAGATGGATGTCACAGCTGGGTATGCAAATGTTTCTATTAACATCTTTTGTTGTTTCCGACTCCATCCGCGTTCTGTTTGCAAGAATGCAAATTCTTTGCCTATTTTCTTTTCAACTTGGTCTGCATGCGTCGAGAAGGAATATGTCCCGTCGTACGTGCCGCCGAGACTCTTCCCAATCGTCGACTTGGCTTTTGGTCTCCGCGCGTTGTAGACCACCCGCTTGTGCTTATTCGCGTCGAAGAAGATTTTCTGCTTCAATCCCATCTGCTTCATCTTCTCCGGGAGCTTCTCGGTCTCCTCGCCCTCCGCTACTACTACTGTGATGTCGTCACTGTACGCACTTAGTGCGTTTATTATGTCCAGGGCTACTAGGTCTACTATTAGGGAGATGGTGCACCCGTTCCACACCGGGCCGCTCAGCGGTGACCCCTGTGGCTTTCCGACCCACAGGCTGTACTCTCGTCCGCCTGGAAGCTTGATCTTCCGCATCTTCAGAAAGCCTGCTACGGAGGCTCTTTGTTGTGGTGGGCAGAGCTTAGCTTCTAACTGGCCTAGTGCTTCAACATGACAAACAATATCAAAACCCGAACAACAACCATTCAAAATCACTGAGCACTATAAATTCCATTCAAAATCACTGGCCTGGCGGAAAATTCCATCTATACTAACTACGGTCGAAAACTCCTTACCGTGGGACTGCCTGTACGCGTTCGAGAACTCGGGCTGCACTGATGTACTTCTACCTATTAACGTTGCTCCTTCCCATTTCCAGCCGTCAAGGTATAGGCATTGTCGTCGGTCAAGCATGTTGTCGAGGGGCTTGCTGAAAACGGAGCATAGGCCCACCGGCCTCATCAGTGACTCTAGGAAACACCCGCCTGATACTTTCGGAACCGCCGCCATCGAGATTAGCCGCCCCATCTTCGGGTATGTGCCTTCCTTCACGTCCGCTGCCATGCATTGGAACATCGCCCACTTCATCATTGGGCCTGCATGCCTAGTCATCTCATGCGTTGTCATACAAAAACCCGGGGTCCGGCCCGGCTCTAACTTTCTTACCGCTGCTTCGAATTCTTGATACGAGAGCAACCACGTGGCACCCCCTTCGGCTTCTGCGTTAACTTGCGCCTTGTTGTAGTCCTTCTCCGCGGCTCGCCACGCCGCCGCCACGTCGTCCTTCGCCGCGACTCGCTCGCCAAACTCCTCGCATACTTTGTATGGTTTTTCTCTGAAGAAGTTTTTTATTATTCTGCATATCTCCGCCGGCACTCGCGTGCATTCGTCCTCGAGCGGGGCAGGGTTTACCTTTTTCGCCTTGAGGACCTTATTTGCCTCCTGGAGGTCCTTCGCTTCGCACCCTGTCGCCCGCTTCAGGTACTTTATTCGCGTACTCTCATCCGCCTTCACCATCACTTTCGGGAAGCCCGTGCTCCATTTATTCCGTCCCTTCCGTTCACTAATTCCGGCCCAATCGATATCCTTCGGGCGGGCCGTTTCGTCGTCTTCTGCCGCCGCCGCCATCTCCTGCAAGTGATTCTTTTCGTCCAGCTCCTTCTTCTCCATCTTCTGCTCAGCCTCGTCTTTTTTGGAAACTTTTTCTTTTCTTTCTCTTTTGTATTTCAGTGTCTTCATGCCTACATTCTTAAAAATATTTCTTATTTTCATCAAAGTCTCGCCCGCTTTCGCAGTGCTGATTGTCATGCCCTGCACCCAGTCCTCCCGCGACGCGATCCCCTCCGTCCAGTAATCGACATATGTGCTCTCGCTTCCCTGTAAATTTAGTTTTTTGAAAAGCTTCTCCGCCTCCTTGTCCACCTCTCTCGTAAACCGGTCCCACTCCTTAGTCGTCGCTTCTTTTACCCGAAATACTACTCTATTTTTGTCTTTGAATGCTGGCGGCGGTTCTAGCTCGAAGTCGTAGAGCTCTAGAAAGTTGTCCGTCACACTGAACGTAGTCTGCAGCAGATTGTGGTCGCTTGATTTCATGCATACTGACTTTGTTCGCTCATGCCTAAAATATCTCGCTTCGTATACTATTACACCGGGTGACGTCTGTGAAACTGGGCGCGTCACTAGTTTCCTGGTGTTTGCCTGGGCCCAGTTGCCGTCGTGGTCTTCTGCGGGCCCTAGGAGTCCGCTGAGTATCGCACCGGCAGGGTTGTCTTTGTTGAGCTTCTTCTCCCACTTCACCGACCGCGCGTTCAGATCGCCGAGGAGAATCATGGGGGCTTCCTGTTCAGGGTGTACCGGAAGGGAGGCTGGTCCCATCCTCCCCGGCGGGCTGTAGATACCTGCAATGCAAACTTAATCAATGACGGTCTGTCTTACATACCTGACACAGCGCGCTATGGACTTGCCCATGAAAGATTTTTCTCGGAGATGTATGCATTTATTGTTTGTTATTCTGCAACTGTGCTTATTTTTTTAACATTACAGATATGACCTGCCAGCTTTTTTCTGTGGCATATTGCTTCCTGTTGAACAATTTGGGAGAGGTTCCACCGCTCCGGACGAGCAGTTTACTCAATTCGGACACCAGAGGCTGGAATTCAAATTTAAAAAAATTCCATTGTCCAAAATATGGGGCCATCCAGAATAATTCCACTGGAAGCCATCCAGAATAATAATTCTGGACCTCCGAGAAGGAGCCCAAAAATGCCGTTACGCACTTCTCAACTGCGGCTTCACCACCTTCTCGAGCGCCCGCGCCACCGACCTCGGCAAACTGACCAGCCTCGTCCTCGGCAAACCGACGAGCGTTCTCGCAATCCTCCGCAACTTTGTTCCTGTCTACACCCGAGGCTTCGAAGATGGGATTTGTTGTTTGTGTGTAGTCTGGTGCTGTATTCCTCTTCATGATCCAGTTGGATATCATCTTCCACGCGGGCTTTGCTAGTAGATCTCTCTTCTCATCGCAATGACCACCGGAAGGGAAACCGCTGTCGAAGCCGGCCTCCTCTGCTGATGATGCATCTGTATCATCGGCGTTAGATGATGATATATCCGTATCATCGGCGCCAGAGCTGTCGTATCCCACAGAGCCGTCGCAGGTACACAAGCTCCCCATCTTCTACTAGAAGCCTTCTTCAACTATATTCACGAGTATCAGCATCAACCGACAACACACGAACCAGCTCATGCTCTGACTTTAAGTCATCCTTCGGGTCTAATTCTTCTCTCACATTTTCATTTTGTGCAGGCTTATTAATATTACTACCATATATTCACTTAGCATGTGGAATACACAAGTAAAGCACTTTCAGAGAGGTGGTCCTACATATTACGATGACGCACCTTACTCTTCTGTTCTGCGACACGTGTCAAGGCGATCGATTTCTTCCACTCAAGCTCGCCAAAATGCACTTCTGCTCACTCCTCCTACTGCACCGCGTTTGCGCTTTCATTCTTTCGTCGTTTACGAAATGCCCATAGTGACCAAAAGGACGCTCGTACCAGATAAGGCACGTGGACGAATCCGACCTCCAGCGATGAGATTGCGATAGGTAAGACACTATTTGTACAACACAAGGTTCCTTTCTCGTCTTGAAAGAACAGAAGAAAGCACCTGCACCCTTGCGTGCCGTATGAAGGTGGAGGCAGTTATTTTCATACTCTACCTCGTGGCTCTGGTTACCTTTTATGTGGTTTACTTGTTCTCAAGGTACTCATGGTAACTCAGATGAGTTGATCAATTTTCTATAATCGTGCAACAAAAGCAGAGATGAAGCTACAACTTGACAACATACTTACATCCTCTGCATGCGAGCTCAAGAAGAACAAACGCGCCTCGTTATGGACGGATTCAAGAACAAAATAAGAAGTAGAGCGGAAAATGTTGGCGACAACAGAATCGATACGATAGAAGTAGAAAGTGGGAATTGAAATTCATAAATCAGAGTCACAAGAACCTCGAAGTAGTGTAAAAACTGCAGAGCAGCGCGTTGTTCTTATACCAGAAATTTGTGTGTAGAAAGACAAAAAAAAGCATGTGAATCCATTACAGGAACGATCAGAATACATACGAAAAACAAGTCAACGAAATTCCACGACCAGGACTGGTACAAAACTAGTGCAGGGATTGCATTCAAGGCCTGACACCAGTTATTTGCTGCGAACCAGCGAAGTAATACAGTTCATGCCCTCAAGATCGCCTCGCAGGGCCCTCCTTTTTTGACTTCACAGCGGTTCCTTCCCCCTCACTTCTGCACCCGGCTGATGGCCTTCTGCGCGGCCTGGCGGAAGACTTATGCATTGTAAATATGTCCTCTGGGTCTCGAAGATTGCAAGGCTTGATATGCATCTCGTGGAGCACAAAATTGGCCTGCAAAGCACCCCGAGCAAAGGCGTCATGGATCCCGCAAGGGCAAGAGCTTCTTAAAGCCAAGACCGCATGAGAAATCCGCCCTTTGCGTGCCAAGAAGTGGGGAACACTTGCCGTCCATGCAGCTGCAGCACAGATTTTTGCATGATTCAGATTTAGCATGTTGACAAGTTGCTGTGTTCCAGGAGGCCCAGACATATTTCTTGCAGTGGATAAAACTTCGCGAGCCGCAATCTTCCGCTTGGCAATGGCCACGCCCTGCAGAAACACCGCCTTCAGCTTATCCGCTGTAAAAACGCCTCATACTACCCGTTTTTGTAGACTCCATTCTTAGTTCCAGTCGCATACTCGTCATGCTAAACAAAATGCAGAAACCCGATTAGCCACGCAGGCCCTTTTCCAGTGAGCGGAGTTGCGTTTTTTGATTCTGTTTGCGAAAATTTTATCTTTCTCCGAAGCAAAATGACGAACTTTCTGCCCTCGTGGTGACGCGGTCATATTTTTCTAGTCGCACCCCGCTTACCATGCATATGAAGCAAAATACGCCTCCTTTTGACTCGTGTAAGTAGCACAACACAGCTCCTTTTAGTTTTGGCCAGGCGGCGTGAAAGACGTTTTCACACAGGATACAGCTTGCCCTTCTGCTGCGCGACGCTGGCGGCCTGCTTCGCGGCGATGAGCCCACGGGCGTGCTGCATCATGTCCGATTGTCTCACACAGAAAAAAGATACTAGCGCATCACATGTGTATCACATGCAAGGATCATGACAACCCGGAAACAGCTCAACTGGGGGTACTAACCCACAGCTGCAAGTGCAAGTGTATGTATTCCACATGCTTCTAGACAGAGGAGGGTGCTCTTCGACGTGTGCTTGCTTTTATGTTTGCCATTGCAAGCCGAAAAAAGATAAGAAGTATGTTATCCTTTAACTCTAGACCGCTCGGAATGTAATCGTGATTCAAACGGAATTCAAACTGAATTCAAAAAGTTGGCATTTTCAAAAAAACGCCCCTCCAAGGGGGCGAATCGGGCGAAAAAAATGCGGCGCACGACAGCCATAGAAAACGGCCTCTAGCCGCTTTCACGCGAACGCTGCGCCCTGTGCTTGGTCCAGCGGACCAGGCGCGAGGGGCGAGGCGATCCCCGGCCGCGATTCCCAATGCGGTCAGCCACCCAAGATCGCCCAGGCTGGTCTCGGTAGGTGAAGTCGACTGGAGGCACAACTCTGGTGTCCCGGACCACAAAATCCCATCCCCCACCAATTCAAAATCCATCCGAATTCTGTCAGAATCCGTCCGTATCAAGAAGCCAAGTAGGGGACAAAATTCGGACGGAATTCCGAGCTAGTACGGCGCGGAGCAGCCCGCGGGCGTGCTGCATCATGTCCGGTTGTCTCACACAGAAAAACGATAGCTAGCGTGTCACACCACTTGTATGAAGGTCGCGCCCGGAGGGCGATATTGGTAACCAAATGCGTGCGCGAAAATCTAAGCAGCGCGAAAGCCAAACCAGCCGCGCGGCGAAAGCGCGGCCCGGCGGGCCGCGCTTTCGCCACCACCATTTCTTTTAATTAGAATCCCACTTCTTCTTCTTGAGCCGCGGGCCGCAGTTTGCGGTCGCGGCCCAAGGGCCGCGGACAACTACTGTCGCCCGCGGCGGCCCGCAGGCTCCTGCGATAAGCATTGAAGGCGAAATCCGGTCTGCTATTTCGCAGCGGGGCATCCTTTCTAGCCCCCTGCATGACAAACTGGCCACCTGGCCCGGAAGGTATGAGGAAAACCGAAAATCCGGAAACCCTTCCGAGCAACCAAAATCGGGCAATTCAGACGCGGCGGAGGTGCCGAATTTGTGCCCACAACCCAGACCAAATGCGGACTTTGGGACATGCCTCCGCCCGCTTCTAGTCCGACTTTTTTTCCCCAATCGCGATGGTATGGCGCAAGCGCGCGCCCGCCGGACCGCCCTTGGTGGCCAGTTTCTAAGCCTGCCGAGGGTTCTCGACTTTCGCCTATTTTTGCTTTTTTTTCAAGTTTTTGGGCGTGCTGCATCATGTCCGATTGTCTCACACAGAAAAACGATAGCTAGCGCGACGTCGCACTACTTGTATCACATGCAAAGATCATAACAGGCCAGGACTATCGGTCTTTTCGCGTAGCCCACAGCTGGAACTGCATAAAGTCCACATGCTAGACAGACGAGGCTGCTCTTGTTCTTCGACGTGTACTTACATCTGCAATTCCAAGCCGAAAAAAGATAAGAAGTATGTTAATCTGCTACTATCCTTTCTCTGCGTGATAGGTTTCTCGGCCTGCTTCTTCATCACCTGCAGCTTTTTCATGGACATCATCTTCATGGACATTTTCATCGAAGCCATCTTCATCGAAGCCATTTTCATCGAGGACATCTTCTTATGCATTGCAAATATGTCTGGGTCTGGGAGATTGTCATGCATATTTTGCAAGACTCATGACGCCAGTAATGCATGCCCTAGCATCACAGATTTTTTGAGGGCTTCCTGATCCTGATGCCTATTCCGCATGACAAATGCCCTCCCCGCGAAGCACAAACTGGACTCCTGCTATTGCTGTTCATGCAATACAGATTCTTTTTAGAATCCAAAGACAGCATCACAAGTTGCAACCTTCCAGACCCAGAGGACATATTTACATTTGATACTTCTTCATGCTCATCATTTTCATGGACGCCATCTTCTTCATGTATGAGAGTGCACCACTCGTCCCCCTCCCCTCATTTGTAAGTATAACATCAACACCAACACAAGCAACGGCAGAGATGTGGCTTCCGCATGACAAACCTGTACCCGCATTGTAGTACTGTTTGCAGTTGTTCCGAAATTTGCCATGCAAGGAGTGCGAAAAGGCAGGGTGTGGATTTGGTATTTCGCATCACAAACGAGGGGAAAAGGGAGCAGTTGTGCCCTCTCATATCATGGACGCCATCTTCATGCTGGCCATCATCTTATTCATGCTGGCCATCTTCATGGCCGACATCTTCTTCATCGGGGCCATTTTTTGTTGGACGCGAGAAGAGATCGCAAGAGTTTTGTCTACTTGTACTTTCTTAGTTGATGCGAAAGTAGATCTAGATCTTCGAAAGGATGCTAACTAGTTCGTGTAGTACTACTGAAGCGTACTTCTTGTTCTTCAAACAGTTTTGGAGCAAGTTTCAGGTAGGTAAAGTTGTTAAAGCTAGCTTGTTCTTAACAGCACGAGGCGAGCTGTGAAGCGGAGCGAGAGAGTCGTCTTTTTCACTGTTCTGGGCGGGATGGAGAGAGAACCGGAATCCATTCTCGGAATAACTGCAAGATCGCAGCGCGAAACGCATACATAACACGGAGTCAGGATTTGAGAATGACGAGGCACAGTAACTTCGGAAGAGAGGCAAAATAGCTCTTACCGACGTTGTTGAGAAGTGATCTGACTCTGCGCATTGTCAGAACCGAAGTTTGGATCATCGCACCCGTACGCCAACCGAAATTGTATAAACGCTCACACATCAACCGACATTTGAATCTTCGCAAGCACCAGCTGCACGATCTGTTCATAGAACAGCGCAAGAACCGCAACTGTCCTCTTGCAAAAATGTGGACCGACAAGATAGCGAAGTAGAAGTAGAATGCACTTGTGGAACTCGATGGAGACTTCTTCAAAAGAACCGACTTTGGTTTTTCACGCACCGAGGAACCCTATCTGTCTTCGTTAGAACAAAAAGGAGCAGGTGTCTAGCGAAGGTAGGAGACCAGACTCAACAAGCGAATTTTGTTCAACATCGCAATATGTCTCTGCGATACCTTTTCACTTGTGCGTGCATCAAATCGAAGTTTTGGGTTTCATTAAATCAAAGCCACGATCATTCGCTGTCTCATTTGCGCCACGTGAAGTTGTGTTCTCAAAGGTGGTGTTGTCCGTCGGTACAACAAGTAAAGAGAGGTGGAGCAATGCTAGGATAACGATAAACGAAAATGCTCCACGCCAAAATTACATTATTATCTCCGCCGCCCCTTCTGCCCCTTCCCACTGCTCTTCCTAAAGTCCAAAACCGCTTGGGTGAGCGCCTTGTGGCTCTCTTGTAGGGAAGTCACGAGAATATCGAAGGCGAATATGTCTGGGTCTGGAAGGTTTGTGTTGCTGAATCTTGCATGACACAGAGGTCGCTGTTTCAAATCTTGCATCACAAATCCGGTGGACGCAGACATGTTTGCGATGCATAGGAGAGCTCCAACATCATTTTTTGCAGTTCGCCCTGCTCCTCGGCTTCATCACGCTCCTCCCCGATGAATATCGACGACGAACACTGTGCTATGATTGGTGTAACTTTGTATTGCAGACCGGGGAATAAAAGAACGATATACACACGTCATGCCAGAAATCCACGATAGCCTGTCGACGTCCAGACGAGTGTTCTTGCCCCGTACCAGCGACGCATGACAGATTTTTTCTCTCCTGTAAAGCAATTTTGTCATGCGGTTACTAGGCGAATAAAACAAAAAATCACACCAACAAAGCTATTGTTATTTTCCGGGATAATACAGAAATCCGTCGTATTAGCGTCGCTGAACCGAGCTCCACCTGTCTCGTACTCCCGAGTGCGCTTAATCAAGGTTTTTTCGAGATTTTTGTTTTCCCAAAACAGCTCGGACAACAGTTTCGCCCTCGTCGCGTGCTCCTCTCTGCTTCTAACATGCTCAAGAGCTGAAGCGGAAGAAGAAGCTACTGTAGACGACGGAACTGCATGCGGGCTGCCACTTCTCTCATCTCCTTGTCCTGCGTCAATAAACTCGTCATTGTTCTTCCTGAAGTTGTTTCCGGCCTCGGTCTCCGATGGCAAGACTCCCTGCAGCTGGTGCTTCAGGGCCTTTATCTTCACCTCGAGTTTTTTCACCGTGTTCCGCTTTAAAAATTCCTTTCGCCTCTTCGCTTTTTGCACTTCCCCTCGCAAAAACTCGGTTTTCTTCTGCAATTCTTTTTCCCGCTCCTTCCTGGCCTGAATCGCGCGGTAGCGAGGCAGCAATTGCTCCCGTTTTTCCAAGAGCGAGAACCTCAAATGCTCGACGTCTTCTTCTAGTTGGCACACGTGCTCGTCGAAATCGAGATCGGAATTGATCTCAGGGTCGAATGAGTGATCACTCGAGTTGCCGTCAGATTTTTCACCCTCATCACCCATATTAGCTCGTTGTAACTTTTCATCATCTCCTGCTTCATCTCCTAGTGCAGAAGTTGCGGCGCCCGCTTGCTTTGTTGAAAACAGCGTCGTTGTATGCGCCAAAAACATCTTCCGTTTCAGCGCTTTTAACTTTTCTTTCAGCATGCCGGTCCTCCGCTCCGCTTCCTGGCTCGGGTGGATCCAGTTCTGCTCCCTCTTCGCTTCGAACTGCTCTTCTAGTAGATTTTCTTCCTGATTTATCGCAGGAAAAAATTGTTTCACTGTATTCATTGCGGCATCTGCAACAGGAGCAGGACAAGTGCGTTTTAGTACTGATAAAAAAAAACAGACCCTCTGTTGCATTGTCAGCAAAACAGATAGTTCTAGCTGCCAAATTTTGTATCACAAGCCTACACGTATGAACGATTTTTCCATGCGATAGGTTTCAAGCTGATCACTTTTCTCTGCAACTCTTTCTCTAGCGCTTCGAGTCTGCTCTTCCGCTCCTTGATTTCCGCGACGCAGCGATTGGATTCCGCTTCGATTTTGGGCAACGTCTGCTTCAGTTCTGCAACTTCTGATCTCCGTCATGCAATACAAACACCTGACGGCGGCCCCCTCTGCCGAGATAGTTTTCAGGGGGTCAGGATGTTGCCCGATCAAATTTCTTGTCAACATCTTCTTGCGAAAAATGAGTAATCATGCAGTGTCTACTTCACTATACATGATGCGGTTGTGTTTTATTTAGTACCATGTCAAAGATAACATCCGCGCATATGTTCAGCAGGTGGAAGAGCCGCGCAAGTGCATGACATAAGATTTTGTCGACCTCGAGTTCCTCTTCCTCCCATTCCTTCTGCTTTTCCGCAAAACAAGTCTTCGATTCCTCCAGCTGATCCGCAAACTCATTCAGCTCGTTCTCCGTTTTATCCCACAGAAAAAAGCTCCGAGTAAGAAGGCCCCATCAAATTTGATGTATGCGCAAAAACGACAAGCATCTGTTTCCATACATGGATGCCTGTACCCACAGCAACAGCATACTATACCCCTGTTTAGAGCAAGCACAACGTAATACGCGAGACAGATGAGATTGTCTTGTAGTGTGTAAAGCAGTGGATAATTTGCTTACAGAACTAGTGGCTCTTGTCGTTCTACGAGCTTCTTTCTTCCCTCGGATACTTTTCCTGGTACACTGCCAGCGTGTGCAGAAATTCTTTTTCCTCATTTATGCAAAGGAAAAATCCCCCCTCCCCATATCAAAATGGAAATTTCTGATGCTGATGCGCATACACAAATCCGATTTGTCTTGCAGTAAGGCACTCCGGCCAGATCCGCAGCCTAGGTGGGAGCGCTCGTCAGGTCTAGTTGTTCAGCATTGCAAATGGCTACCGTCTAGGACCAACAGCATGCCAAATCGCGTCACAATTGGGCGGATGCCTCTGCACTTGTCTTTTTGCAAGACAAACCTGATTTGTGCTCGCAAATCAGCAACACAATAAATTTTTGGAAACATATCTTTTAATATGGGGAGGGGGGATTTTTCCTCTCAATATCATTTAAAAGCTGGACCCGCTCCCGCGCTAGGTACGCGGAGTTCGCGCAGACACACAACTTCAGCTTCTGCTGAATTCGCGACTTCAAGCGCTTCGGCTGCGGTGGCTGCTCGTCCGGCTGCTGGTAGTAATGGTTCCCAGGTGCTGCCACGGAAGAGGTCGGCTTGCTTTTGCAACTGGTTGGCGAATGGTAGACATTGTAGTGGTTTTTGTGCTGATGCCTTTGCTGTCTGTAGTGTTGTATCCCGTGCAAAAGCCCTCCCCTCTCGCTCTCCTGTCTGATAATTTTAAATAAAAAAAATACGCGCACTCAAGTCCTTAAAATGCTCCTCGTGGGGCTGTGCATTATGAGACCCACAATTTGCACACTCATTTATACACGATAAAAATTTCCAGCACAACCACAGGGTAGCGAGAAGAGTAGTGTTTGCACAGCGTATCCTCCAGTCCAAAGTTGCTTTGCGAAGTGGGAGATGAAGAACAGGCGAAAGAGTTCTCTCCTGCCGCTGGTGACTTTGGTGTCCAACCTCCGCGAACGCGACAGCTTGGCGTCTGGCCGCCACCCGGCTGCCCGAGCTGGTACAGAGGTTTCCGCGCGGAGGACTGCAAGTGTGGGTTCGTTCGTTTCATCCCCGACGCGGCTAGTGCAGCACTGGTGCCCGCAAGAACCTGGCGAGCAGTGGAATCGGCTGTTATTGCATCCTCGTGGTGCGCCGCCGGTCGGGCTGTGCCACCGTCGGTGGTCGAGGCGAGCTGGAGCTGCTCGGTGGATAACTTTCTGCTTGCACCACCCCCGTAGTTTGTCCCCGAACTCGAAACAACGGAGCTGCTACTCGCGGATGAGGACGCAGGACCGCAGAGCGTCGATTATGAGAGTGCGCAAGTCCCCCTCCCCCTCATTTGAGTTGCATGAACAGCAACGCAAGCACTGCCAAAGATGCAGCTTTTGCATGGCAAATTCCTAGAAGATTGTAAGTAGTGCTGTTCTGGATTCCGGAATCTGTCATGCAAATAGTGCTAATTAGGCAAAGGGTAGATTTGGAATCTTGCATGACAAACGAGGGGGAGGGGGAGTTGTGCACTGTCATATCGATCGCCCGGTGTTCAGAAAGCTTGCGTTGGTTGAGATGCGCGTGCTTGCGGTGGATATGAACTGCAAAAGCATCCTCGTACTAGTGGTAATCGCATTACAAATTGGCTCAGCATGACAGATGCAATTTGTCATTCTGATTTACCTTGGGAAGAAGATTTGTCATGCTCATCATGCATGGTTGCGATTACAAGAAAGAGTACTACGATACTTCTGCACTTGATAGTGGAAAGGGTGCTGCGATTCAAGTCTGGCACTGCGGGTCTCGATGTACTTCTTTTCGTCCCGGGGGAAGCACAAAACGCGTAGAACTCGCGGGGGGGAAGACCACCACTGCGGTGACCTTGTTGTGCCTGTGCGGCGGGCAACTTTGATGTTCTTGTTGTACTGGAATTTTTATTTTTCCAGTTGTTATTTACCACCGGCGCCCGATCTTCTGAAGTAGATGTTTCCACCCTCGACGTGGCAAATGATCCACTGTCTCGCGGCTCTCGTGAAGAATGGCCGTGAAGTAGACGTTCTTGTGCAACTTCTTCCGGCGGAAAAAATCCGCCACCCTCCTGTTGCCGCACCACGAGCCGGCTCCTGGGCCGAGTCGTTGGTACAACAACTTGTCGAGACGACGACGACCCCGGCGCTGCAGCACCTTCTGCGATGTTGTTTTGCCCCCGGATTCGTGCCCGTGCGTGGCTTGTTTCGTCAAAGTGGAAGCCAGTGGGTTGTGGGGAGAAGGACTGGTCCTCATCCTGTTTCGGGGTTACAGGAGACAGATCTAGGGCAACCACGCCGTCTTCTGCAGCTTCTTCTTCGGATGAATCAGCAGCATAGTTGCGATCAGCAGTTCTTCCCTTCTGTTCGCCTTCATCTGAAGACTCGTTGTACTGCTCCTTCTCTTCCAACCAGCCCCACTTACTGTTCTCCGTAGGCAGCTGCTGCTCATGATCCTGGTCATGATGATGACTAACATGATGATCATGATCTCGACGTTTTTTACACGATGGCGCAACTGAAGCACGACAGGCGGCTTCAGCAAAGAAAGAGGACGAGCTACTGCAGCTTTTAGTACCAGTTCCAACACCAATCCGTGGTCTGCCTGAACAACCCGCAGACCGTGGCTGTGTTGATGCTGTCCTTGCCGCATTTATTAATCTTTCGGTGTTGCTGGTGGTATTTCTAGAACATCCTGCTCTTCTACTCCCACGATCGACAAGGCAAGAGTCTGCAGATGAAAAACCGGCCCTCACCCCGTCCCTGCATCGAGCCTGCTCGTGGTCCTCCACATGATTGTTCTCGTCGTCGTTTTTTACTCTGCTCTGACAGCTGGACCCATTTTGGTGCGAGCGAAGCGCCCGATTTACCTCCCGCAATTGGTCGCTGGTGTCGCTCCGGCCCGTATCAGAAGAGGTTCCTTCTTCACTGGCGCCACTACAACTTCCTTCTTCATCTTCATACGCGGAAGGAGAGAGAAGGGCATGTTGTAGTTGATCTCCATCTTCTAGTACTTCTCCTGCTGCTGCACTATCTAGTACTTCACTGTCGCCGTTGCTGTTGTAGTACCCATAATTTTCCTCCTCCTCCTCCATCTCTTCGCCACTTCTACCGGTCTGATCTGAACACGCTCCGCCGCTTCTACTTCTCTCCACACGTCCACCACCGGAATTATCTCCTTCAGAAGACGCGGAGGATGCGACTGAAGAATCCGCGGACTTGCAGCTTTATCCTGTGCAAAAGTATCGCACTCGTATAAATGCAAGTCTTGCATTACAAATTTTTTTCTTAAGCTAAATCCGCATGATTTCTCATGCTGAGGAAATTTGTAATGCGTTTATACGAGTATGATCCTTTTGCAGTTCATAAGCTTCGACTCCTCGTCGCACCTCTTCTGGCACCAGGAGAACAAGTCCTTTTGGAACTAGAAGTCTCACGAGGTGGACCTCCTCCCCTCGCCACGCCGGCCGGAGCGTCGCTCGCTGCATAATTTTCTACTGCTTCAACATCTTCGGAGTTGCTGTTGTATGAAAATGAATCTGATTCGCTTGCTGCCTCGTCCTCCGCTAGCTGCGGTCCATTTTCAGCGTCTTCAGAGGACGACGACGTGCTGTCCTCGACAGGAATGTTTTTCCTCCACGAGGAGGAAGAGGACGATGAGGAAAATCCACGACGCAGTCCTGACCGTGCAAGTTCTCGCTCCTGCTGTGATGTAGAACAAGTACCGCCTGTTGTAGAAGTATAGGACCCTTGTCCTGCTCGTGCAGCTGCTGTGCCGGAGGCTGCAACGAGCAGCCCGCCGGGCTTGTACAAGTTGTGATTCCGTTTCGACACCGTTCCAGCATGATTCTGATTCTCCACCACAGCTGCACCGGACGAGCGCATGATGTTTTGAATGCTTGTCCGGTAGAACCGACCTGTATCTTCGCGGGCGGCGGAGGTTATCATCCTGTCCTGTGGAAAAATTCTGCAAATCTTACATCAAGAAGCAATAAGGTCGTCGTCGTCGTCGTCCTTTACATTGGTCAAAAAACTAGGACAATGACTGGCAGTGCTAGGCAGGCACCTTTCACTGCTCGCTTTCTTGTGGTCGTGCCACTTTCTAGTCCTCGGCTAGATTTAAAGTCAAAGTCTGGTGTTAATGTTATTCCCTTGAAGTGACACAAATAAAATGTTCCGCGGCACAAACCTTGCCGTAGCGAAATCACGTGGGCGTCCAATCGAAAAACAAAAAACCTGCTGCTTTGGCCGGCGTCACTTCGACGACTTACGAAATCGCTTCTCTCAAGACTTGTTGACCTGCCTCCACGAAATTTGGCGGGTCTACAAAAGACTCGATGACAACCTAAACGGTAAAGCTAAAGTCTGTGCTCGCGCAGATTTCTAAAAGGCGTTTTTTTTACTCGATGCGGAACGTCGGAGGCGTTCTCACGCACGACCACAAAGAACAGAACACAAGAACTTTCCTCGTGGAAAGGACATAGAAAAATCATGCTCGTTCGTGTCAATTTCCTTCGTTGCAGAAGCCAACGAAATGTAGGAGAAAAAAGCACTGCATGTACTTGGTTCTTGCCCTGCGTCATGAATGTCGACGACCGCGTCAGAAGTTTGAAAGACACATATACACTCCCTACAATCAAAAAGTCAAAATCGGTTCGCTGTATCGGAATTTCTCTACTTAGTAGTTCTAACGATTGGTAGCTTGCAATACAACCCACTTCATTAAGGCAAGGAATCCGCGCTCTTCGCACATGCTTCAGAATAACTTCTTACCTTGCACCGTTTGCCGGCGACAAGTTCGCCAGGAATCCTTCCAGCAGAGCCGAAACAGAGGGTAAGTTCGTCGCCTTTTCGATGTTTGTCAACAACTCGGAAACCGCACCCTCGACATCCGAAGCATCTTCAGAAGGTCCAGCTAGTATCCCCGCCGACGTGAGAAAGGTACCAGTATTTTCAGTTCCATCCTGCTGCTTCCCCGAAAAACAACTGCTGCTCGACTGCTTCTTTGCCAGGGCCTTCTGCAATTTTTTCACTACCTCCTTATGCTCTTTGGTCAGCGCGTGCTTGTTATTCAAAGCCCGCATGACTCTCCCCGACAGCCTTCGACTGCACGCTTCGGGCGTTTCCCGGAGGGGAGCAGTGGCTACTTGTACTCCGGTCGTGGACAGTTGTTCACTACCCCCTACTGCAAAATTCCCGGCAAACAGATTTTTGCCAGGACGTGCGCTCGATGATGAAGTAGTTTTTGCGCTCCCGTAGCTCTCTTTCGGCGGCACTCCACCGCGAGAAGTAGCTACCGCGGATCCTACTGGGGTGCTCGCTACGGAAGTTGCTGGCGTTCCGGTTCCGCCGGGGGTTCTGCTTTTGGCACTCGGGAGCTCCACACCCAGGGGGAGGGTTATCGTCCCTTCATTCGAAGTACTACATCTTCCCGGAGTGGAAGTAGACGTTGTAAAGATGTCATTGCTTCTTGACCACGCGGTGTCAGCACTACTTGGAAATACAAGCATTCCGGAAGGAGAAATAGAACTGCTCACCACGGATGTGCTGGTGCTGGGTATCTCGGTTGTACTCGCCGCAGTAGAACTGGAAGCACTACTGGATGCCGGGGGCTCCTTTATTTGCGACACAACTTCTTGTTCCACCCTGCTGGCTCCACTAAGGTTTGCCACAGTTTCATCCACCTTCTCAGCAACGACTTCCCGCAGCTCCACTTTCGTCCCTGGAATGAGGTGAATTAAAGGTTTTACTTTTGATACTACACCTTCCGAATTTCTTCTCTGTTGTAACCGCTCGCCATCATAGTGCCGCTTCTTCTGCTTCGCTAGCGCCAACATAGACAGTTTCCCGATCACCACGTACTTCCACCACTGGCTTCTCACCTGCAGGAAGGCGTCTCGGTATTCCTTGTCGGCTTCAAAACGGTCCCGCTGCACAAATTGCACATTGTTCACGTTCAAGGAGACACAGGTATCGTGATCATCGTCCTCGTCGTGGTGATCCTCTTCATTCGCACCATCTGTCGAACAAATAGTTTTACTGCTGTTCTTATTTCCTGGTGCAGTTCCACCACTAGACTTCGACGTCGTGGTCTTCTTCACGACTGCAGCGCTTCTGTTGTTCACAGCGCCAGAAATCGTCGTGGACGTCGCTGTCGTGCTAGCATCAGCAATCGCTTGTTTCTCAACATCAGCGACCGCTGGAGCGGGCCGCGTCACAACTGGCAGCTCGCGGCCAAAGTAGCTGAAAATCTCCCCGTTGACGCACATCAGCACGATCTCCAGTTGCGATACCAAAGTGGAAGTGGAACGACAGACAGGAGAGGTCGACAAAGACGTCGTGGAAGTACTATAATTATTTTGGGCCAAATTTGTGCTTGTTGTACTAGACGCACTAGGAACAACATCTCCACCTTCCACAGCTCCTCCTTCCCTTCGCCCCAAACTGGTCGGAATTCCCTCCTGCAGCACGTACTTTATCGTAAGGAAAAAGCCCCCCTCCCCATAATGAAAACGCATGCGCGCGTGGCGCAGATTTGTGACCACAAATCCTGTTTGTCTTGCAAGAAAGCAAATCTAGAGAGTCCGCTGCACTATGTAGGCGGTTTGTGATGCTGTTGGGCCTACAGCATAGACGTTTGCCATGCTAGGCACCTACGTCAAAACCTCTCGCCTCAGGCTCGGCATATGCCTGCAGTCCTCTACTGCAAGACAAATGTGATTTGTGTACCCAAATCTAGCATCAGAAGTTTCGTTTTGATATGGGGAGGGGCGATTTTTCCTTTTGATATACTTCGGCGCCAGACAGACTTTGTTCCGCGGCCGCAGGATCTTCCGGTGCTGGTTGGTCATTTTCACACGATGTTGCAATACATAACTGCCGTAAAAGTTGTTTCCGAAGGTGCACAGGGAGGAGGATGGGACAGCGGGTTCTACTACCCGGCGGCCTTTGCTCTCGTCGGTGCAACCTCTACTAGTACTTCCTGTGGACGTTTTCGACGTACTCGAATCCGCAGGACCTCCTCCTACGTCTGGCGCAGCTACACCGCCCCGCCCATCTGCTCGTCCTACTTCTACCAAGTCCTCCGGCCCGAACACGCAGAGCCCGATGCCATTACAGCCATTGTCGTCCTTGATGAAAACTTTTTTCCACGGTGTCTGCGTCGACGACGGCGCCCGTGCTGTTCCACCCTTGTTCGATGCCATCGTGACCAGCTTCTCTCCGACAAAAAACGCCAATTGGTCTGAACAATATTGCGCGTTCGCGGGGAGCAACTCGAACCTAGCCTCCAGATCGGTGTATGACAGTGCACAACTCGCCCTCCCCCTCATTTGTATTGCAGGAACGGCAGTACAAGCACGAGCAAGAATGCCGGTTTTGCATGACAAATTTGGACAAGAGTGTAGTGCTATGTATTTGGGCTGCCAGAACTTGTCACGCAAACAGTGCTCAGAGGCACAGTCTGGATTTGGGATTTTGCATGACAAATGCGGGGGAGGGGGAGTTGTGCGCTGTCATACGGTGGTTTCGTGGAGCAGAAGCGGTGCGGGACGCGGGTGGTTCGTCGGTTGATGTGCGGGATCACCCGGAGCACCTAAGTAGGCACGAGAACCCGGCGCTTTTCCCTCGCAAACCGACCCCTGTGGCTCCTGAGCAGCCCCATTTAACATTGCTACTTCGTCCACCTCCCTTTGCTCACCGGGCTGCTCAACATCTTCCGTCTCGGTAGTGCTGCTGCTCTCGGCTTGCGACGCGATTCTCCTTGAAAAGGCGTCCGCGAAGAACCGATTTTTCTCGAAAAGCCGCAGCTCTTCCAGCCAGGCGTGGATGTACGTGTAGACTTCGTGCTTGCAGTAGGAATTGTACAGTTCCGGGTCGTGTTCGTCTGGCGCGATCGCTTTAATGTTCTTCTGCCGCTGACCTAATGGTGTTTCTACTGATTCGTCCGCGCGAGGACGACCATCTTCTACCTCTTCCACGGCTGCCAAGTCCGAAGGGTAGGACGTGTTCAGAATGTTGAAGACATGATTTTCGCGACCTACAAGCGGGTGTAGAGAAGAAGAACTGGCTTGTGCTGGAACAACAAGATCTTGGGGTTCACAGACGGAGTCCTCTCCTTCCACGCCTCCAACTGCTCGATTGACGAACTGCTTCAGCGCTTTCAGGTGCGCGTAGTACGGATGCTGCTCCTGCGCCAGACCACCAGAGGGTAGAAGTTGTACTGGTGCGTCTTCTTGTTCGTCGACTTTCATCACTCCTGCATGTTTATCATTTCCCTGCTCAAGTTGTGCTCGTCTTGCAGGAGCTTCTGAACTTGAACTACAACTCTCCCCACAATTATCCTGCACCTGTTCGGACGGTCCGACGCCGGCCTTAAGGTAGTCCTCTTCCACAATGTGAACGTGGACCATCTTCTTTTTCTGCAGCTCTGGACGTGGACATGGACAAGTTTGTCAGGTGAGTGCTCTTCTTGCTCTGTAGCTACCGGCGTTGGGTAGGCTTTTCTAGCTAGTTCGAAACTCAAAATCCAAATGATTCATACTCTACTGGGCCTGTTCCTATCCTAGCCATGCGAACGGTCGCAGCAGCTTTGCTTCCGTTTCCTAGCCGTTCCGACCGCTCGCTGCGTCGTTCTTCCTCGGGCTGCCTACGTCGCCCGCTGTCCTGTTGCTGCTTGCTTGCCAGCCTGCTACTGACTGGATCTGTTTGCTACCTCGCCGCGTGGGTTGCGTGATTTGCCTTCATGGTTCTAGCCTACTAATGGCTCTACTTTGCTAGTGGTCTAGTTCTACTTCTACTTATGTGCTGGGCTCATAACTCTGTAAAGGGAAAATCTGCACTGTCACGCAAACTTCCCACGGAGTACGCAAAACAAACTACGATGGTAGAACAGCTCTGCACATCTATAGTGCCATGACTACTAGTACTACTTCTATGCTGTTTGTCTATGTGCCTAACCTAGCTCAAGGGCCCTGGTAGTAAGTAAGTACGTCCATCATGTTGTCTCAGTGTTCGTCTAGTTCTTCACGCTGTTGCAGCACTAAGGATCTTGGTATGTCAGTCTTCATGTCCTTAGGCTAGTGTCTAGATCTTTGGACTGTTGGAGTGGATCAAGTCTGTACTCTGTGAGGCTTTAGGTGCATTACAAACTTATCCGTCATACCTTCTGGTAGTCCTCTTCCACAATGTGAAGGTGGACCATCTTCCTTTTCTGCTTCCCCGTCACAGGCCAACGGGAAGGACCACTATTGTTCCGCTTTTCGGGATCGAAATTTTTCTTTTTCCCCACGACGCGGTGGCCCACCAAGAAATCGTTGCTATAATTGGCTCCTGTAGTACTACTACCTGCTTTTATTTCCTCGCAATCGCCCGCATTTCTGTCTTCTTCTATTCTCTGTCTTAAGAGTTTCGCCCCAATTTCGAAATCCTTTTCGTACACATTGTTGAACCCCTGAGGATACCGATTCACGTCCACTGCGCAAACCCGCCCGCTTTCCGCCTGCCGGACGTCCACACTGCCCATAAGCGGTAGAAACGGGCGCAGTTTATCAAAGTGAAAAATCCCCCCTCCCCATATTGCAAAGGTATGACTCCGGAAATTTGAGGGCAAAAATCGCATTTGTCTTGCAAGAAGACAAGGGAAGTAGCTCCCGCCCCAGTAGGGAAGCGGTTTGTCATGCTGTTGGGCCTAAAGGGGAGCCGTTTGCCCTGCTGAACAACTAGACCCATACGCCCCGACCTAGCCTGGGGATCTGGCCGCAGTGCCTACCTGCAATACAAAGCTGATTCGTGTACACAAATCCAGCATCAGAAATCCTGTTTTGATATGGGGAGGGGGGATTTTTCCTTTCGATACAGCTTCTCCCTTTCTTCCAAGCGGGTGAAGAAATCCAGCAAATGCGGGGGCACGAGTGCCGGATCAGCAGCGAGCAGGGACGAGGAGGTTTCTTGCCCTGTGGTTTGAATAGTACTCTCCCCGCTCCTCGGGTGGAGAGCAGGCTCTTGTGCAGCTTCTGGATGCTGGTGCAGCATTTTTGCTGTATTGATCTGATAAATAATATCAGGGGGCGGCGGTAGTTTTACAGTTAGACGTAGTCGTAAGTCTCCGTCTTCTAGGGCTTCCTTGTCCTCGTCCTGCGGCAAAATTCGGAATGATAGCGCTCGCAGTACAAAAAATACGCATTTACCAGAAAGAATACCTACGAAGAAAAAAAGCCACGCTTTGCAGCGTCAAAAGGCCTCTACACACCGTGTTTCGATTTCGTTAGTTCGGATAAAAAAAGTCGATCCACGATTTAAAAATACAGTGCCTCGATATAAAAGATTGTAAAAACCAAAGCAGCTCGTCACAAACGCCAGATTTCAAAATGAGAACCTGGACTGAAGAGAAATTTTACCAGAACTGATGATCGAGTGCGTGCAAAGATAACTTTTTCGTTGAACACAACGCACAAGACGGGGCGGAAAACAAACTCCGACCGTTTCTCCGATGGCTGTACGCACTACGGCCCGGGGATGCCAATGGTGCACAAATTTTGATGATTTTCTTGAAAATATTGTACAAGTTACGTCAACAAATCAAGCGAAAAAAGCGCAGCCCGGAAGCAAGTTGTCAACATGATACTGTCATTTGTTCCAATCTTGATTTAGGGGAAAAAAGCTACTCTTTCTGGGTACGGAAGGGGACCACGTGCACGGAGCCGAGTTGCCTCAGCTCCGTACTATCCCGGAAACAAAGAGAAATAAATGGGGCTATTTCTCAACGAGGGTAGGCTGTTCAAATTTGGTACAATCAGGTCTACGAAAAGTCAAAGTCAACACAGAAACAAAAACATCTTACATTCTTGTGGCGCTTTACTTGCTGTCATGAATGTCGTATAGCGGTCATCTTGTCAATCAGCTCAGAAAACAGCACATCATGAAAACCGCAACCGCAAGGGCTCATTGAAAATAAATGCAGAAACGGAAGTTCAACCGGCAAAATGTGTACAACAAACCCGCAATCACAAATAGTTTCATGGAAATAATAAACTTCTTCAATCATACATCACGACGCATTCCGGTATAATATCACGACGCTCATTCCGGCGTTTTTCAGGATGATTGCAATTGCCCCAAGCTGCGACGCAATGCTGACACTTACCGCGGCGTTGGTGCATATTCCGCGGCCCCAGTAAGTAACCTCCCACTAGTCGCCTTCCCCGCCCCGCGGCCCCGGTGAAGTACTACTATTTTCGCCAGCGCCTGCTCCTGCACTGCTGGGACTATTACTCTCCGCGTTTCGCAGCATTAACGTCGGCAGGTCCAGGGATAAGACCGACGAGTCGCACTTCGTGATCGGAAATGAGGCGTGGAATTCCTTGCCTACTTTCTATGCAATGCAAATATGTCTGGGTCTGGAAAGTTGTGATGCTAATTTGCCGATCACAAGCAACCTCCAATATGTTGGGGACACGCATGACAAGTTTCAGTTTGTGAGCGACTAGGTCTTTCGTAATAAACTGCATGAGAAATAAGTAACTGGGTTCCTGCATCACAAAAAGGCAGCGCAGTAGCTCGACATGCATGACAGGTTTTTTGTTTTTCTCTTCTCGCTGCAAGAGAGCATTACAAGTTTTGCACTTCTCCAGACACAGACACTTTTACATTTGATACTTTCCCCGTCTTCCGCAAATGCTCGAAGAACGAGCAGCGCTCGTCCAGTGGCCGCGTTTCGAAGTCCTTGGTCCGTTTATCAAAATGAAAAATCCCCCCTCCCCATACTCCAAGGGAGATTTGTGTAGCGTGATTCGTGATCACAAGTCACATTGTCATGCTAGAAGGGACGTGGATCGTAGTGCTGCCTGGCATAGGAGAGCCTTGCGCGTTCAGCATGACAGGAAGCAACTGGAAACGGGAAACAGCATGACAAATTGCCTGCAATAAAGGAGTGAGCAGCTGCGTCTCTTGGCCTTCTAGCAATACAAGTCGATTTGTGCACTAAAATACAGCAACACAAATTTCGTTTTGGATATGGGGAGGGGGGATTTTTCCTCACAATACCGTTTCTTGTCCTCGATGATGTGAAAAGTGCCGCTCATTGACCCCTTTTTCGTGTTCAGCGTGGTTCCGGAGCCGTACAGAAACTGGTCCCCCGGGGCGATTACGGGTGTGTGCCCCACGATGCCCATGGATTCCTTCGTTTTCGCGCGCACCGAGCCGGTGATGTTCCCCGATTCGTTCTGGAAAACCAGCTATGCATTGCAAATATTTGTCTGGGTCTGGATTTGTGATGCGAAATTCGAATTGAATTGAATTGAAGTAGCGACGCCCCCTGACGTGCCTCGGTAGCCGATCGCTCTACCAACCGGAGGTGCTAATTACATGCTTACTTTTTCCTTCGTCGAGCACCTTCTTCGCCATACAAACCGGCTGGTGAGCGATTACCCGGACTGCCGGCCCAATTTGTGCCGGTTTTGGTGTTTTAGGGAGATACCCGCAACGCCCCCGCGGAGTTGGCGAAACCCTGATAGCGAGACGCAACCCTTGGCGGACCTGAACGACCTGAGACCATCCCCACCTTTGGATGTGTTGTCTCCCGCTTGTGCTGCACGCTCTGCTTCGAGCCGCCCAGACCCTGTGCCCCGCGGGATCTCGGTTCGCACAATGTTGGTTAGTACGCATGGGATCCTGATCGCGGACGGCGATTGTGTAGTTGGGGGGGCTACTTCTTTTCTTGAGGGGTCGAGGTAGCGGCATACTCGGTGCGCTGCGTTTTTCTAATCTAAAACAGGGGTGAGCTGTTGCAGTCCCGGGGTCCTGCTGCGCTCTGCTGCTCCCAATGATCATTGCCATTTGGGGTCAAGCTACCTATTTTGTAACCATCCACGCAGGTCGGCTCCTATTGGGTTCGTTTTCAAAAAACATTAGTTTTGCTCCAGCTTTCCGCTACAGTGCCTACCTCTGGGGTCCTCTGTCCTACTCGTTCTGGTCCAGGGTTGAGCAAGGCCCTGGTGAAGGAAGTGATTCGTCGGAAAAGCAGATGGGACAAGCATCGCGCGCGCCCGAAGGCTGATCATTTTGCCGCTGTTGTCACCTTGACTGTGGGGCCTGTTCTTGACGTGCTCACTCTGCATGACAAGTCTTCGCGTAACTGTATAATGCATGAATGCGATGGACCAGTTTTTTGTCGTGCTGGATGGCACTTTGTAATGCTAAATACGGATGAATCCGCAAGGAGCCGCGGGAAATTTCTCATGCTGTTATGCCGTACAAGCAGCGAGTCTGGAATGCAAGTATCAGCAACGGAAGTTTCCAGACCCAGACGTATTTCCAATCCATACCAGCGACCGCGCGATTACCCGGTAGGTCTTGTTTTTGGACAGGTTGGTGAGCCGCACGTTATAGCTGAAAATGTGCCGGACCTCGTCGGACACCTCCTGGGCGTAGCCAGTGACCATTTCCACGAGGAGGCCCTCCGTCTGCTTCTCCGACGTGCACTCAGAAAGCTTGGACTGTTGCCGCAAGGCCCTGAAGATGTGAAGATGAAAAGTCATAATTTTCATTTCTTGCATTGCGTCAAAACAGGTGCAGGAGAACGAGAAGCATCAACATACGCACTACATAAGTAATAACTGCCACCAGAGCGATGCACGACGTCGAGAAAGCAACTGTGGTAAGTTAGTACTTGAGCACTTCGAACGCAGCGTGCGTATCCGTCGCCCACCGGATGCAGTCTTTTCGGAGCTGGGACCTTGTGGGCCGCCGATCGTGTAGTTCATCATCATCTTCACTAAGGGAGAGCGTGCTCGTCGCAGAAATTTTTGGCTCGCTGTCTGCAAGTAGATCTCCTTCTTCGCAATCAGCAGCGCCTTCTACGCGGTGAATTTCTTCTTGCTCGTTGCTGATCGTAGCGCACGATAATTCTTCTTCTTCAACTCCAGCACTCTCCGCCACATGATCCCTAGCATGGCTGGTTGCGGACGCAGCTGCTCCTGCGCTGGAAGTAGTCCTTTCACGAACAGGAGAGGTAGGTGCGGTTGCACTCGTGGAATCTGCAGCGATGGACGTCGAACTTGTTGCACTAGGTGATTTTTCATCGTCCGCACCAGTTACAACTTCCGCTTCTGCTGCTACATCTTCACCACCAGCAGTGGTAAAAACAGAAGCATCACCATGTTGTTGACTGGTCCTCACGCTCGCGCCCGACCACTGCTCGTCTAGAATCATCTGGTTGGACGTGTACAAAGTCTTCGCGTTTACGTAGTCGCGCAGCTCTATCAAACGCAAAAATGTCTGGCTCTGGAAGATTAGAACTTGTCATGCTAAATCTAAATGATGCAAAAATCTGTGTTGCGTGAGTGCCAAAAGCTGTCCGCTTTTGACCAAGTTGAGAGGGAGTTTCTCACGCAGGAAAGGCATGATAGAGACTTCAAAGAATCTGTCATGCTGGGTCTCGCATTCCAGACCTCATGGGTCATGGAAAACCTGCATCACAAGTCTGGCATTCTTCCAGACCCAGACATTTTTACATTTGATAAGCTCCACGGGCACTAACCGTTTCAACCCCTTCTCATGCACCTCGATCTGCTGGTAGATGCCCGTGCCCCAAAGCTCTTGGATCGCCGGCATTTTCAGGTATGCATTGCAAAAAAGTAGATTATGCCTCTGGGCCTAGACGAGGAAAATGAAAATGTCCAAGAATTCTTGAAGCTCTCGTGAAAAATCCCGGATTACAACACTAATTATATCTGTCTTTCAGATGAAGCCCGTCGGCTGGCGCCACCGAGAACATGCAGACTTACTTTAATCCAACGTAAGGATTTCTTGCTGCAACCCAGATGTATACTTGACACCTACTTTCTTTCCCCTTGATATGAACTTCCGAAAGTCGAACTTCCGCACCTCCCGCTGCATGTGGCGGTACAGAGACCGTTCGACGACGGTCGTTAACCGCTGCTGGCAACCGGGACCACTCATCCCCGTGGGTTTTTTCGCTTCAACCAAGTTGCGCAACGAAATGTGCTTGTGTTACTTCCCTCCTGCCAAGAGAAGGCGTTCTACTAATTTGGTCGCTCTCGCAGCCCGTCCCCTTGTATCGACGCTGCCCAGGCCGCGAGCACTAATTTGACAACGTGTCATGCCACAGAATGAATCGCCTTATCGGGGTACAGCAAGAAATCGAATATGAGGAAATCGAATATGAGGATGCACAGCAAGAATGGCTAGAAGCGCGCGGCAACGTCGTGATCTGTAGAAGAAGGTCTTACTGGTCGTTTTTCTTGATTCGAAAAGCTTTGAAGAAGATCGTCCGGCTTCGCATCGAGCTCCTGTTGTGCTACAACTTCTCAGCTCGATGTAGTGTGGTTTTCTGCCCCATTCGCGACGGAAAAGCTACTCTGACGCGCATTCATTTTTTTTCATCCTGATTTCTATGGCAAGTAACATATGAGATAGTACACAAAAACGAAGCCCGAATCAAAAATGTTGGTGTACTAATGAAAAGCTCAACAAGAAAAGACCTACACAGGTTTATTATAATATTACTGTAGCGGTAGCCCTACATCTCCGTGATGGGAATATCAAGATTCATCTTGATTTTTCAAGTCGTTATAAATGAGGTGATCGTGATGATTGAGTGAGAAGCTGCTGGTAAGGAGTCCATATTAACGCGATCAGAGTATTACCTTTACATGCATGCGACATTCCCTTCCCGAAACCCTGACAGCAACAGCTGATAATACCTTCCGAACCCTTGCTCTCTCCTCTTGCTTTCGTGTTTCTCACTCGTGCCTCTCGTGTCCACCTGATGAGCACAGAAAATGGCGCAGTCGTGCGTTTTATCTCGAAGCATGAGCGACGCAATTTTACTATTCCGAAACCGAATTTTGATTTTCACCTCAGGCGACTCACACGAAGATCTTCCTGGCCACTCCTCGAGAGTAATACTAAACTGCAGGCAAAAATAAAGTCCTACGCACTTCTCGACCCCTGCTATGGGACAAGAGCCGGCACAGTCGCATGGTGATGTGCGTCTATACATCTTTCGGCGAACGAATTAATGCTTGTGGCTGATGAACTGTTCAAGTAGGCATGTGTTGCCACAGCAACATCTTTGGGGCACAGGAACTGCAACTACGCGGCAAGAGTTATTTCTAATAAAACAATTCAATGTAACTACACCGACGTATACAACATAGAAACCACGCAAGAGCGCCAACAAGCAAGAAACACAATTGTAAGTATCGAACCCAACCGCGAAACTTTGAAGGGTAGAATATACGAAACGGAGAAACCGAAATTACTACAGGTTAAAACAAGACGGCGTTGATGAAATTTCGTACTTCATTACGTAGTGCAACAAAATGAAGCGACGTATTACAGTGGCGGCGAGATTAAAAATTCATATTCACAGCTTGCGTTGCCCTGGTGCATGACAGAAGTCTGGCTTACAGGGGTCTTGCATGACAAGAAATAGTGTAGAATTTACACGATCCCTGTCGAAAATCACTTTTTTTTCATCATTTTCATTTTTCCCGCGGGGGATTTGCCGGCTTTCATTTTCGCATATCCACCGCAAGAAACGAAGAGAGGGCTTGTCATGCACAGAAATACTGTCCTCAACATTCATTCTCCAACCAGTTTTATTTATGTCGCAGAAAATTATATGTGTACGCGCGGAGAACCATGCTAAAACGAGAAATGGCAGTGGTACCCTTCACTGCATGACAAGAAACCCCCTCTCGTCAGGTTGCGTTCCATAACCCTGCCGATTTCCCACGTGCTGGCGCTGCAGGTGTCTGTTTATTTTGAAAAAAAGAGTGTAGAAGCATACGCGCTTCTCTAGATCTCCAGGAAGCATGGGGAATGTTTTTCGTGGTCTTACGTAAAAGTATTGCAAAAAAAGTACTAAAAATACTTTCTACCTTTGCCCTCTTCATTGACACGGCTTTTTTCATTGATGAGTATGCAACAAGGGTATAAAATCCCCACCAGTATTTAATCTGAATTTGTCATGCTTCCCAGTGGTCACACGAAAATAAATGCGTCTTTTCGATGTACTGGGTTGAAGTCTGTTGTAGCATGACAAACGAAACAAGACTTGACTGGTGAATGATTTTCCGCATTGCATAAAACTGCGGCCTTCTTCATCGATTTTGGAGCTGACGCGGCTGCTGGTTCGTCATCTTTTTTTTTATTCCATTGTTCTGCTGCTACTAGTTGCATCAGAGTTAGAAAGAAGAAAGAGAATAAACGCAACCAGAATTATATAATATGCACCACACATGACAAATCAGATCCACTCCAAACAAGCATAGAGCAAAAGCAAGTAGAAGTACCATCTTCATCTACGGCAGCCGCGATTTCTTCCAGCACATTATGAGCGTGCACAACAGCCCCCCCGCCCCCTCATTTGGAACAAACGCATGAACAGCCATGGTAGATGAAACACCACCACCAGCGAACATGGAGTCTGGCGTGCATGAAAACTTTTTTTGTTTCTACTGCACGACCGAGTGCTTTACTAGTACTACTGTTTGGCCTAGTACAACAAGTTGCGGAATTTGTCATGCAATCCCTGTCAGATGGCAGGAACAATTTTTAGTGCTTTGCATGTGACAAATGAGACGGAAGGACGGAAGTTTTGCACACTGATACACCTCCTGATCGTGGTAAAACAGCTCCAGGACCTTTTTCCTCCCAACATACCAGAGCACCGGGATCGCCAGGGTCGCGCACGCGATAGCCGTCAGCATTGCCGCGTAGCTGGCGTATGTTTTCGTTTTTCCATCCGCGGAAAGCACCGAGATGCCCGCACCAGTAGTGTAGATCCTTTCGAGCACCAGCTTCGGGTTATCAAGGAACACCTTGACGGCCGTTTTTACCGTCTCGAACATGTTTTTGTAGGTTCAGTTTCGGGAAGCAGAGGACCTTTTGTGTACGATACCTTTTCGTCCCGAAGAAAACTGTCGTGTCGCAGGTACTTCTATCTTCAGAATCAAAAAACAGGAGATACTCGCGAAACAACTTCGTCCAAGTTCGAAAATCAAAATCCTAGGACGACGTTCTTCTAGTCGAAATAAAAAACAAAACGAGAGGACATCACAACACGAAGTGCTATCACTTGTGGCGGCACGCGTAGGAAGCAAAAGACCACCGACGAAATATCGAAAAATACGAGGGTAAAGACCAAGACAAGCTGCACACCGCTTTCACTCTTGTTGTTCCCTCCCGGCAAGAACTCATGCTCGTCTCGCTCACATTCCCAACGAATAAATCGATCCAAACGAAAAGCTCAAATAATTCCAACGAAAACGCAGGACGACCAACATCGGAAGATGAACTGAGATCGATTGCCGCCGTAGCCCTCTCCTTGGCGACGTGGGCGGAGCTACCAGGGCGGAAGTTCGACGACCCCATTGAGAGGATCTTCCTCTTTCAAATCGTAGTGAATTCTGACTTGCGTCTGTCTTTTCGGAGGTCGCTAGATCTTCATAATAAATTCGCTTCGGTGCTATTGGTGCTGCGCGATTCTACGCGGCGCAAGTACTTAGGTCGTTGGAAACAAAGAAAAGCTCAAGAACTTCGAGAATGTTAGCTGGTGGCCAGGTCGCTGTAATCAGAAAACTGCGGATGCTGAATCTCATCTTCTGTCGCGCAACATTCTTGGTATTCAATAAATAGAGTTCTTCATCTGATCAACAGCGGCGTTCCCATCTTATGCTTGAAAACCTTCACAAGACCACATCTCTACTTCACTCCCTGGCAGCTCCTGCTCCACGACCGACCGCCGCATTGGCCGCCTCCCCTTCTGGCTGACTCGCATTTGGTGCGCTCGGGCCGCCCACGCGACCACCCGTTTCCTCTCCTCGTTGGGTCGTCGTGTTCGTGTTTTTTATTCCGGAAGCAGGGGCATTATTGCTCTTGCCACCGCCCTTGGGAGAAGTTGTTTTCCTGTTTCCCCCTTTATTGCTCTTCGCTTGGTCGACACCGTTGTTCCGCCGTTCCTCGGACTCCGCTTCAGACTCGGACTCTGACTCGGATTCCTCTTCCTCCTCCCGTCGTCTCCTTTCCCGCTCCGCCGCGGCCTCGCGCATGCTGAGGAGTTCGTTGTTGGAGTTGTTTGTCATGCAGAGAGAGAAATGAAACTACGTGATTTTGTCCTCATGCTGTAGTATGCATGAACAACAACCAGAACAAGCTTTTATAGTTTTCAAAAAAATAATACCGATCCCTATCCGGCTTGCGGATGTAGGAGCAGACTGTCAGACCGTCCTCCTCCTGGTACATCATCTATCCAAGAAAAAAACGTTGTTAGTGTAAATTTGTGATGCGCACCATTCAAGCTGATTGCGTCTGTCATGCTTGGCATGCATCGTGGGGCTCATTAAAGGGCGTTTTCACGTAGTATCTGCGCATGACAGGTTTTTGCTGTCATGCGAGAGATATTTGCCATGCTAATCCTCCAAGAAAGTTACACTTACACAGTTTTTTTCTTGCATATCATCGTGACCAGGTTCAGTATTCGGTGGAACATAAACATTTTGCTGGCTGGGAGTTGTTATACTTCTGTTCTTGCCAAAAAGAAACTCGGCCAGTAGAGCGAGCAACCCGGTACAAAAACGTAATTTTTGTTTTAGATGTTTGGCTACTTGTTCTTAGTACTGTACATTTAATATCAACATCTCCGCCCTCCGTCTAAAATCGCTGGAAGAAACGGATTTGAGAAACGAAAAAGAGAATCGGAAAAAGACGCAAAATGAACTGCGATCCACCATTTTCAAGTCATGGTCTCGATTTTTGTTTTTCGTTCATCAATAAAGCCAACTCTATTTGATAGCCAAGAACAACTCGCTCTTTCTCTAACTACAGTGGCTCCGTCAATATTTCTTGTTTCACTTATCAGATCGCCTCTAGGAAGAGGAGCAGCTCTGCGTGGTAGTGCTGGAAGTCTCAGCTTTAGAAGTATTTTTGCAAGTAACAAAAACAATCTCTCGTCACTTAGAAGCCGCTCCGCAAAAGAAAAATTGATCATCCGAAGTACAACATCAACCTCGATTCGATGCGCGCGACGTCTTTTCGCAGAAGACAACGAGGAAAATGAAGCACCTGCTTGTTGGGGGATCAAAATGAAGCACCTGCTTGAGGGAGATCAAAATGAAGCACCTGCTTGTTGGCAAATAGGTGGGCCTGAAGTTCTCATGTCCTGAATTCAATTTCTTGTCCTGAGTATTTGTTCGCTCATCGCTTTTGTCGTCGTTTTTTTGAAAATACTTGTATTCGTCATAGATTTCTATTTTTCGATCATATTCTCGTCGCTGGCGCCTTAGATCAGAGAGTGGGTACGTCATTACATAGGTACTACTACGTGAGGCATCTTCAAACGCTCAGGCAGTGTCGTACCATAGCAGTAAGTAACCTCACGACCCAGTCATCTGCTCACGTCCTTCCAGTTCTAATAAATCGGAAACGCGTCGAGCGCGTCGCACATGAGCCTGAGTGGGACGAGGAAATCCCGATCCTGTGGCGTTGTCGCTTTACCTGTATCTGCGTCCACCTCCATAGCGCTGCCGTTAGTACAACTCAACCCGGTGGTTGTAGTAGCCCCAATGGGTGCCGCCGCCGCGCCACCTGCATTACCTTCTTCCCCGGCGGGCAACAGAAACCGCGCTTGCCTCACATGCGTGCGGTATTGCAGGATCAATTCGTAGCACAAGTCGTTCTGCAGCCGCGGCAGTTTCTGGCCGAGGAAAACCAGCTTCTGGTACAGAAACTCCGCCAGGCTGTCGTACTTCTCGTACGCCAGCGCGATACGGACACCCGCGCACAGCGCATCGACGCTCGCGTTGAGAAGGCTGCTGTTGGACAAATTTGAGGGGTTTATCGCATTGCTCGTCGTTTGCTTGACTTCCTGCAGGCACAATTTCTGCTGTTTGATAGAGATGTCGTCGAACACTGTGTGCACCGTGTTGGCGTTATCCCACAGAAAAAAGCTGGCAGGTCACATTTGTAATGCAAAAACAAATACACAAAAAAAACTGTATTGCGTATCCTAAACAGCATGCTATCAGGCCGCCCATGGCAGATTTTTCTGTGTATTTATTTTTGCATTACAAATATGCCCTGCCCGCTTTTTTCTGTGGGATAGGCGTCGCAGCACTGCTTCAGTGCGTCGTACAGGAGAGATTTGTGCCTCAAACACCGCCCTTTGAGCCGGTTCGCCGGCTTCACCTTCAATTCTCGCCTTATCAAAAGGAAAAATCCCCTCTCCCCATATCAAAGCAAAATTTCTGATGCCGGATTTGGATACACGAATCAGATTTGTGTTGCAGTAGAGGACTGCACGCAGATCCTAAGCCAGGGAAGGGCCTTTCGGTGTACACGCCTAGCATGGTAGACGGCTACCCTGTAGGCCCTACAGCATTACAAAGCGCCTGCATAACGTGGCGGACAACCTGCATGTGCCTTCTTGCAAGGCAGACCTGCTTTGTGGTCACAAATCTGCATCACAAATTTTCAGAATGACGCGCTTTCAATATGGGGAGGGGTGATTTTTCCGTGCAATACGCTTGTAATTCTCTTCAAACACCGACTGTGGCTGTTCCAATGGGTTCAGCTCGCAGTTTCGCTTCCGCGCGTCCTCCAGATTTTTTAACAGGCGAAGTGTCCTCTCAAGTTCTGTTTGTTTGGCTGTACTTGCACGACTAGTATTTCTCATCTTGTTCCCGTCTTCATTTTTACTCTGTGTGCCGTCCGTTTTTGATGCTGCTGTTCCTTTTTTTTCCCTGTGGTTCTCCACATAGCTCTTTTCCCTGGATGAAAACGCCAGACTTGCCTGTTCGACGACACTCATTTTGTCCCGCTCCGCTGCATATGAAATCCAAAAGCATCGTACTAGTAGAAATCGCATGAGAAATTCCTTCAGCATGAAAAACTGAATTTGTAATGCGGGTTCAGGTTAATAAGGAGATTTGTGATGCGTGACTGCGATTACTACGACTACGATACTTTTGCATTTGATACTGCACTTAAAACCTCCAATCGGTCTTTGCACTCAATAATCGCGCGATCATACGCGGTCTCCACCAAGATTTGCAGCTGCGTCGTGCCGATCGTGTTTTTTTCCAACCGCGTCTTCAAGTTCTGCTCCAGTTGCTTCTGGCTGTGTTTCAGGTGCACGATTTTGATCAGATTTCTCTTCACCTCCGGGGTCAGCGGCTCCTCCTTCAGGGGAATGGACATGCCCCGTTTGACGCAACTCTTGAGGACGATGGGAAAGAGCTTTTTTAGAACAACGTTCTTCAGTTGCCGGACGCAATGTTCCAGCTCTTGTTGGAGCTGCACCGTCAACCGCTGCTGCTGCTGCTGGGGCGGTATAGAAGAAGAAGCTGGACCGGCGGAGAAGATGTTAGAAGTACCAGCTGCACTTCCGGCGAAGAAGTACATGTTGTTGCTTGCCACGACCTGCTGCTGTTGAGCACCATGTAGTTGACCACTGGTAAAATCATTCTCTATCGTGTGCAGCTGGTACTCGAGAAGCCGTATGAGCTCCTCCAATGTTTTCGCTACTCCAATCACGTCCTGGTGCTGCCTCTGTCGCGCGAGCTGCATCACAAGGAGGTGCTTTTCCGGGAGAACCTGGGGCGATGAGATGAAAGTTTGCAGGCGCGATGAACCATCCATACATGACAAAATTGCACCTGTCAGAAGTACGAGTACCACACAGGCAGAATTTGTTTCATCTTCTGAAGCAGATCCAGAAGGACGAGCAGCTCCTACAAGAATAAATATAAATGATCCTCCAAACATCACTCCTGTACTACCTGCCACGAACTGAGCACCCGCAGTCTGTCTGCCACGTTTTTCGGGAAGTCGAAGGTTTGCAGGAGTTTGCCCAAAATTCGTATTACAATGAAAAACGCCCCCTCCCCATATCAAAACGGAAATCTGTGATGCAGATTTGTGGCCACAAATCAGCTTTGTGATGCTAGAAGGCAAAAGATGCGGACTGTAGTGCTTTCTAGCGTGGGAACGCCTTGCAGCTCCAGGATGACAGAAGGCAACTGGAAGTGGGAAACAGCATGACAGATTACCTGCAAAGAGGCCACAGCTTCGTCTCTTGGCCTTCTAGCAAAACAAGTCGACTTGTGTCCTCAAATACAGCATCACAAATTCGCGCATCTTCCGTTTCCGATATGGGGTGGGGGCTTTTTTCACTTTGATAATTCGCTCTCGCGATGGCACCACCGGGATGAAGAGAGCGACGAAAATGGACGCAGTTTTACTGCTCCTGTTTCGCTGCTGATTATACACCCGAAGCCCGTCGAGCTCGTGGTCCCCCGCCCCGGGCGAAGATGTAGGTCTGTAATTACTATATGGTGATGAAGCTCCTACTTCTCGTCCTTCTCCGACGCTGAACTCAGACCTATCAGCTGCCCCACGACGTCCTCCACTCTGGCTCGCCCCCAACCGTTCGATATGCAATACCAACCGTTCATATCAAATGTAAAAGTGTCTGGGTCTGGAAGCGTCGTGCTGCTTCTGCATGACACAGAAGGTCTGGCATGGAAGCTCTAGCATCACAGGGTTCGAGAAGCTTCCGCAATGCCGAACCCGCATGACAAATCCCCCATTTTGGTGACAGAAATTGAGCAGCTCTTGCTACCTATGCATGAGAGATTTTTGTGTGTTCCGAAATGCGCATCACAGGTTACATCCTTCCAGACCCAGACCCTTTTGCATTTGATAGTTCACACAGTTGCGCAAACTGGCTGTCAGACTCCCGGTACTGGCCACACTTGTTAAACGCCCGGAGTAATCACACAAAAAAAAGCCGGCAGGTGATATTTGTAATGCAAAAACACATAGGCAAAAAAATCTGTATAGCGCATCCTAAACAGCATGCTATGGGGCCGCCCACGATAGATTCTTCTACGTATCTACTTTTGCATTACATACAAATTTGCCCTGCCTGCTTTTTTCTCTGGGATAGGAGCAATACCGCAAGCAGCCAGTCGGTTTCAATGAAAGACGAACTGCTGCTCCTGCTGGTACAACTACTACTAGCCGGGAATATCCATTTCAAATCGCTCGCGTCGGCCGGGAAATGCTTGCTCCCGGTGGCGAGTTTCAGCAAAGACAGCTCCACGTGCTCCGCACATTCCTGCGCCGCCGTTTTCAAGATCATGCAAGAACTAGTACCCTGCATCGAAGTTGTAGAATATGGTCCTCCTGCTGTAGTACCTTTTACCCCGCTACTGCCTCGCTTGTTACAACCGTGGGGGTTGTTTATCTTCTTGTTAATACCGTCATAATTCTTGTTCCCTCCCACCATCTGCACACCGACGGCGTGCAGCTGCTCGAGGGTGATTTTCAGACTGCTCTCCAGTCGCAAATTTTGGCGCGCGCCGCCGGGGGGTGGGGAAGTCGATGTCGAATTTGTTGAAACATTATCGTCGTAGTTCTCCCCGTACCAGTAGCACGCAGCGAGTAAGGTCCAGCAGGTCAAGTTTTCACTGGTCTTGAACATGTGAATCTGCTTCAGTTTCCCGGCCAGGAGACAGTAAATGTCCCACAGCTTTTCCGGCATCTCGGTTTCCGCGGACAGCTGGGTCCAGTGGTTTACCTTTATTTTGGGTGGTATAGTGATGTGTGGTTCTTTATTCAGGAGAACCTGCACTATAGCTACATCCTCGGCTCGGCACTAAAGATTCTAAGTACTCTGCGTCTACTTCACACATGTTCTTACAACGCACGGAACAAGCAAAACCTCGCCAACAGACGCAGAACAAGCATCTTTTTTATCGGAAAAAAATTTAATTATGGCTCGGTACCTGATCCGCCATGTATTTCCGGTCCACCCGGCCGGCTCCCTCCTCCCCGGGCGCCAGCGCCTATCACACGAAAAACGTGTTACAGTTACATATTTGTTGCCAATTTAGCATCACAAATTTCTCTGCATGAGACGAGAGAAAACTTGCATTGCAGAAATCATACGGGGAAACACGCAGGAAACAAAGCTTCTATGCATATCCAGCATGACAGAGCTTGTCTGTCTTGCTATGCCTGCAACGCAACGTGTAACTGTAACACTTTTTTCTTGCGATAGCGCCGTGATGATCTGCAGTAGCCGCTCGAATTCAAGTCCCTGCTGCTCCTCGGCAACAAGCAGAACCGTGCAGGCCTGCTGCAAGTCGTTCGCGAGTAGGCAATAGAAGACCTTCGTCAGCACCTGGGTCTGCTCTTCCTCGTGCGTTAACACGCGGAGGTTGGAGGACATTGTCGCCGTTGCATGATTCGAAGTTTTCGTCATGCGGAAGTTCTTATCGTACTCCTCAAACTCTTTCAGCACTTTCTGCGAGAGCCACTGTGCGAAATTCCCGGTTTCGAGTGCGAGGAGAAGCTGGAAAATGTTTTTCGCGTACAGAAAACGGTCCAGCAGCTCTTCGGTCATTGCGTCATGGAGGGACGATGAAATAATTCTACTCCCTGAGTTGTCAACACCGGGCTCCTCCATATTACCAGAGGTCGTCGCGAAAGGGTAGTTGGGATTTTGACCACCACCGGCACCACCCGATGCTGCACCTCTATCGTACGGAAAAATCCCCCCTCCCCATATCGAAAACGAAATTTGTGATGCTCTATTTGAGCGAACAAATCGACGTGTAATGCTAGAAGGCCAAGAGACGCAGCTGTGGCCTCGTTTACAGGCAATTTGTCATGCTGTTTCCCACTTCCAGCTGCCCCCTGTCATGCTGAAGATGCAAGGCTTTTCCACGCCAACCACCACTACAGTCCGCATCTTTTCCCTTCTAGCATGACAAAGCTGATTTGTGGCCACAAATCTGCATCACAAATTTCTAGTTTGAGTATGGGGTGGGGGGATTTTTCATTTTGATAACCTCTCGAAGATGTCAACACGACGCGCTGGCACTCGTGATCCAGATACTGGCAGTACTCCTGCAAAAACGCGACGGGAGCGTTGCTCGCGCCATCCAACTTCAAACAGGTCGTGGAGATTTGTCCTTGCTGTCGTGAAGATCCACTACGATGAGAACCAGGTCCCGCAGCCCCAGCCATCAAAATGCCGGAAAATAACGACGACGAAGACGACGTCGTCACACTCGCAGTAGCGGGATCCGGAACGCAGTACTTCTCCAATATTTTCATGGTTTCTTGGAAATGCGTCAGCGTCTTTCGCAGCACATAAGTACTTGTCGCAGGGGAGGAGGAAGAGGATGCCGAAGCAGCAGCCGGTCCAGCTCGTGCTTCTCGGAGTTCTTGTCCGCCTCCAGAAGTACGACCCTCGGTTTCTTGCTGGAAGGTCTTATTACCGGATAGCGCGTTCACTTCTACCCCGCCCGCAGAACTACTGTCCCGTGGTCGTCCCATATTCATTGTCGTGGTCTCGAGCATATCAAATGCAAAAATGTCTGGGTCTGGAAGATTGCGAGATTTGTCATGCTGATCTGGCATGGCCCTTAAATCTGTATTGCGTGGGGCCATCGAAACAGCCTTTCTCGCCTGTCATGCAACAACGCAGTTTCTCATGCGGAATACGCAGCACAGAAGCACGAAGCAACTTGTCATGCTTGGCGGCGCATTACAGTGCATTTGTTATTGACTGACTTGCATCGCAAGTTTCCAGACCCAGACATTTTTGCACTTGATAGAGCACTACAGGTTGCTCCCCCGCGTGCCCAACCACCTGGCGCACCACGGTCTCGCAGACGTATGGATTGCAAATATGTCTGGGTCTGAAAGGTTGCAACTTGTGATGCTGTGTTTGGATTCCAAAAAAAACTTGTATTGCATGACCAGCAACAGGTCGTGTCCAGTTCTTGCTACGTGGAGAGGGCATTTCTCATGCGGAATAGGCATCAGGAATCCCTCTAAAAGTCTGTGATGCAGCTATATCGTGCATTACAGGCATTCTGGGTCATCCAAAATATGCATGACAAACCTGGCAATTTTCCAGACCCAGACATTTTATACATTTCATAAGGCGGCATCGACCGCGACCTTGAAGCTGCTCCCGTTGGTCGTGTCCCGGATGAAAGGCATGCGGAAAAAATTGTTCGCCTGATCTGGTGCTTCCTGCGTTTGAAAACCGGTAGTGGTGTACCTGTTTTTTTTTTTGATACCACGACCATGAATGATCATAATAACAGTGACCGCTGAAATCACTGTTGTATTTCCATCGTGCACTGTGATAGTAATTGTTGTGATGCTATACTATGAGGCAAAAATAAACAAGTACTTACATCCCGCTTGTATGTTCAAGCGCAAAAACTACATGCTGGTCGAAACTACTTCTTCTACACAACTTGTCTACAACTACCCGCGCATCTCGGAATTCTTGGTATTCGGGACGGTCAGTGTATTCGTCCTGTGGCCCCCGCTGCTTGTTTTTCTTGCCCCCTCACCGCCTCCCGTACCATCACCCCCTCCGCCCACGTCGAGATAGGTCCATTTGCGAAATTTATCGGCCTTTCGCACTGACGAATTCTCATAATTGTTGGTGCCCAGAAAGTGGAAAAACTTCTTGCCCATTTGCTGTGCTCGTTGTTCAGGATCATGGGCGGCTAGAGGAGGATTGTTCTGATTCATCTTCTGAGGCCTGTGGGATGATCCGGTAGTAGCACCGTAATTCGCCGTAGCAAACCCGTTATAAAATGCAAAAGTGTCTGGGTCTGGAAGAATGCGCGCTTTGTCATGCAGCTTTTCCATGACCCATGAGGTCTGGAATGCAGGACCTAGCATGACAGATTCTGTGCGACCTCTCTCATGCCTATCCTGCATGAGAAACTCCCTTGCGACTTGGTCAAAACTGGACGACTTTGGGTAATCATGCAACACAGGTTTTTGCATGCTCCAGATCTAGCATGACAAGTTGCATTCTTCCAGACCCAGACATTTTTACATTTGATACCCGTGCAATTTCTCCTGCATCAGATCATGCACTGCGTACGCCCGCCAGTGCTTCGGGTCACGTGGCACCCCGTCTCTGTTTACAACTGGTATGTGCCTGGTGTTCTCGTGATTTATTGTTTCTTGTCCTGCTCTAGTCGTTGCGCCATTTGTATTTGTTGGACGACCCCTATAGGAATTGCTCTGCCCACCTACCGTGGTCCCCCCGCTGCCCGTCCCGGTCATAGTAGTCTTCTGGTATTTCATTCTGGGCCCCTGGGCGAGGGGGACCTGATTCATCGTTTGGCCCCCGGGCAAAAATCCATCTTGCCCGTGATTTCTTTGTGGCGGTGACGGGAGTTGCGTGGGAGGCGCCGCCACTTGTCTGTTCGATTGAACATCTTTTCCGCCAGTACGGGAGTTCGGGTTGAAGCGAAAGGTCGGACGGGCAGCGGTTCCCGTTGCGGCTGTCTGTTTGGCATGGCCGGGGTTCTGCGGAAGTTGCGAAAATGACCCGGTACTATTTGTTCCATTATGCTGCAGATTCCTCGTCGGCGCAAATTCCTCATCCCACTGCGCAGCAGAAATCCCAAACGTGAAACCCGTTTTGGGAGGTACGCCCGCCATCTTGTCGCTAGGCCTTCGGAATTTTTGTAAAAGTGGTATTATTTGTATTCTATTCTGTCGCTACTACTTACTCAAGACTTCGCGGGGGAGGTAATTGGCAGTGGCAGACTAGAGGGATTATAACATCGTACTGCCCGTGGTGAACGACCTACCAAATGGACACATGAGCGTCAAGAAGCTATGCTATTTTCATCTTTTGTCGCTGTTTCGTACTTACTACGAGAGAACCGTTGTGGCGGGTAAATGCGAGAAAAGTGGTTGATTGAGCTGATACAAACCGTGAGAACAATGAGAACCAAAGCTGAAATCAAAATCATCGACTTCCTAGGAGCGCAATCGATAAGGTGGATCAGAAGTCAGCAAATTTACACACATCCACAGACTCGTAGGACTAGCATACTTACTATAGGCGGGCCGCGGGCAGCTTTCGCTTTGACGCCTGCACGACAAACTCATCACTTTATTTCATTCAAAATTTCCAAATGGTGAATAAGTAAAAGGGATGAAGATCTCTGACATCGTCTTACGACAGATAGATACCAGGTGAACAGCAAATGGGCCAGCAAGCGCGCTATCCAAAAACTAGAACCGGGAATAACTACGTGCAAGATCATGAACAGCGATAACATCAAATTCAGAGATGGGAACCAGTGAACAAGCACAAAAGCACCGCGCTCGGCACCAGCACGATGGCCGGAGAAATAAGAGGACCCGCCAAAAATCCGCCAAAATTCTTGTACCAGTTCATCGATTCAATCAAATTTTGTTCCACCTCCAAACAAGTTATCATACTGTTTCTTCTTGTTCGCGGTCTTCAAAGAGTGATCTCATCTCCAGAAAGCCCGAAACACGCCCTCGGTTCATTTTTTCAGCAGTAATTACAGAAATAATTCAGCAAACTTCTCTACTCCATCTCATTTTTTCGCGTCCGCGTAGAGGGTTTCGATGTGCTTGTCCACAAAGGTAGTGATCTTGAGAGGAAAAATCCCCCCACCCCATATCGAACAGGTATGCTTCCGAAAATTTGCGTTGCTGATTTGAGGCCACAGATAGCGTCTGTCTTGCAAGAGGACAAGCGCAGAGGCTTCCCCGCCATTATGGAACCGATTTAGCATGCTGCTGGGACTAGGGGCCAGCCGTTTGTAATGCGAAACAACTAGGCCCAAACCCCCCAACCTAGGCTGAGGATCTGGCTGCGGTGCCGTATTGCAAGACAGCGCGCATTTGTGTACGGAAATCCAGCATCAGAAACTTCGTCTCGATATGGGGAGGGGGGATTTTTTCTCACAGTAAGTGAGCTTCGCGACGTAGTCCTCGTAATAAATCCGGTTCGTGTTGTTTCCTGAGAAAAAAGTGCTACCGTTACACACTCAGTTGCAGGCCAGGCAAGACAGACGAGCTCTGTCATGCCGGAAATGCATAGAAACCTCCTTTCACAGGTGTTTGTTTCCCCGTAGGATTTCCGCATGGCAAGTTTTCTCTCTCAGGTAGACAAATTTGTGTTGCTCAATTGACTACAAATGTGTAACTGTAACACTTTTTTCGTGGGATATGTTGTTTGGGTCCCGGTCTTTTGCATACTCGTAAAACTCTGCCCACTCCTTTTCTCGAAACCCAACGGCGCCGGACCTCCATCCAAAGTAAAAACAACCCCACCCCGTAGTCAAGATGGGGAGTGATGATCCGAAACACAAAGTTACAAGCTTTGGCTGTCGTGCATGACAAGTTAGGGCTCGTAGGGGGTAGTCCTGCTTAGATAGTGCAACCGCATCACAAGTCCACTACCTCATCCTGATTCGAGCATGACAAAAACCAATCCCAATAAAACAGCATCAGAAAACGCTCCTCGTGGGGCTGCGCATAAGAAACATTTTAGACATGACAACTTGCATGACAACTCTGGAGTGGAAAGGTTTTTACTTGGCATAACCCCAGGTACTCTTTCATCTTGTCCACCTCGATGTACCCTTTTCCGTCTGGGTCCAAGACCTGGAGTTGTGTTCACACAGCATTTCAAAATTCTGCTCCGCAAATTTCCCATGCGGAGGCAGCATAGCTGTTGCTCATTGTCATGCAAATGACGCATAAAACCGATTCTAGTACTTGTCTATACCTTGAAAGCCGCGAGGAGTGTCTCGCTGTCGTCTGGATCGTATTCCCTTTCCATCAAACACCGGAGCATCAGCGCTATGGAAAAGAAGTAAATGCTGAGCCGCAACAAGTGGTCTCATGCAATGCGATACGCTGCTGGACCACGATCAAGTAGTACATCAGCATGGTGCAAGTTACTACGCGGATCTTCAGAAACAGAAATGCGACTTGAATAATATTGTCCGAAAGCGAGCCACAAGTTGTTCTGTCGATAAAGTGAAAGGTGCTAGTACAAGATAAACCACTCGACTCAGCAGTACCTTGCTCGCATAATCTTCTCGAAAGCGTCATAGCTCACGACGTTAGACGGGTCGTCGTCCTGTGTATTTTACATTGTTTTTTCGGCACGGAAGATGTTCTGAATGAAATTCGTCTTGTCATGCAAAAAATCAAGTCACGAATCAATCTTCTCTGGTTTACCTCCATAAATCTCGCATGACAAACGAAGTCTTTTGAAAACAACAAAAATGTAGGCACTACCTGTATCTCCCGCAAGATAACCTCAACCACGTCCTGTTCTGACGGGAACTGCCCCAAATATCGCATAATCGTAGCGACTTCCTCCTGTGTGACCGTGGCATTGCCTAATTTGTCGAAAAACCCAAAAGCCTCTCGAATCACCTTCCGGAGGGATTCCAGACGAGCTTGCGACATGTTGCGGGTTGGTGTTTCTACTTACTTATTTGCTGAAGAACCAACAAACAGACAGCCTACAACATTGAAACGATCGATGGTTTTTCGGAGGCAATGAATGAACTATCGTTGGTAGTTGTTTTTCGGAGGCAATGAATGAACTATGTGTACTTGCCACTACTGCACATTTGGTGGCCGTGTAGTTCTTTTTCCGATATAGCACGAAAGGACTTCATCTCGAAGAACTACCTGTCGCAAGAACAATGCAACTAGTACGATGCCCTCTACCACTTCCACATTCCCTCTTTCTTCGTCTCAGACGACGAGATAAACACTCCCCGGGAGGTGAATAGAACGATGAATAGCAACTGCGACGAGATGAAAATGGACGGCGGTGGTTTTGCCGTGTTCATTCGAACCGGTAAATATTTCTCTCCATTCCAACGACTCCTCTTCACAACATTTTTCGAGTTGAAATGTGCTAATCTTGCCGACAAAAATGTGCTTACCCCTCATGAGCTAGACGACAGAGAGGATGAGCAGCGCAATGGGGCATGGTCTTGCAACTTAGCGAACACCGAAAAAATCGCGGCACAACGAGGTTACAGTAGATGAACTGTTCTCTATGCACCACAGAGATGACACGACAGATGGAAGTCGACCCTCATGCTTTTATTGCTCCTTAAACCAACTCTCTAACACCTTGGCACGCATCGCATTTCTTTCGCTTTCGTCATTGTTGCACGTTTACGCGTAGTAGAGTGACGCTAGCTAGAAGTACTTGTCGCACCCCCTCCTCCTCCCCCTTCCGGGGGCAGGGGAAACCTCGGGCGATAGAGCCACAAGTCCCTTCGCCAATTTTCCGGAAATCGGTAGTTCCAGCCCTTCAGGGTTTTCCCGCACGGAGCGTGCAGCTCGCGGCGTATGATGGTTGGACTGACCATTGAAGTTGTACTAGCATCTTCAACTTCACCACCAAGTTTCGCTACTAAAGCCAGGTTGATGTTCTGTGATGATCCTGCTGGGCGGGCGGGCTCGTCTACTACAACAGGACGCCTCGAAAGCAAATTGTTGTCAAAACAGGTTACCCCGGACACCTTGCCGCAAAAGGGTTGGGTATGCATTGCCAAAGTACCGCACTCGTAGTAATCGCAACGCAAATTCGCTCAGCAGCTGAAAAGTGGAATTTGTCATGCTGATGTACCTTAGGAACGCGATTTGCAATGCGTGGCTGCAATTACTACGAGTACGATACTTGTGCACAGGATATTGGATCCGGTACTGCAAATGCTCACAGCGGAAGATTTGATTTTTCCCGTAACTTATCAAGTACAAAAATGTTTGGGTCTGGAAGAGTGTAGACTTGTCGCGCAGATTTTCCATGACCCATGAGGTCTGGAATGCGGGACTTAGCATGACAGACTCTGCGAGGTCTCTGCCATGCCTATTCTGCATGAGAAACTCCGCTCCAACTTGGTCAAAAGTGGAAAGCTTTTGGCACTCATGCAACACAGATTTTTGCATACTTCAGATTTACCATGACAAGTCGCAATCTTCCAGACCCAGACATTTTTGCATTTGATATAACTCGTCTTCCACAACCAACACCCAACGCCGAATCCGGGCAGCATATTGAAAGGGAAAATCCCCCCTCCCCATACTGAAAAAGTACATTTTTGGAAATTTGTGATGCTGATTTGTGGTCACAAATCGTGTCTGTCTTGCAAGAAGGCAACTGCGGAAGCTCTGCCGCATTGTGCAGACGGTTTGTCATGCTGTTGGGCCTACAGCGCGGACGTTTTTCATGCTAAGTGCTTAAGCCAAGACCCTTCTACTCGGGCTTGCTATGGGCCTGCAGTGCTCTCCAGCAAGACAGCTCGGATTTGTGTACACAAATCCAGCATCAGAAATTTCGTTTCGATATGGGGAGGGGGGATTTTTCTTTTCGATACAGCAGGCTGCATACTTCGAACAAGTTTTTCCGGCTCCAGGCCCGGGAGAAGCAAAATTCCGCGAAAAAAGCAATCGTCAGCCCGAAGTGCTTGGGCCAGCGCTTGCGGTGGTCGGACTTGATCAGGTTCACCCAGTTGCGCGTGTGCTTCTGCCACACGTAGAGCAGGGACTTGTGTACGCCGGGCTTGCGGCACGGTTTGCCGATCTCCGAGTAGAAAATCGGTGGTGTCCCACAGAAAAAAGCAGACAGGGCGTATTTGTATATCGATAGAACGAATTCGCAGGAAGATGATCTCTCAAGGGGCTCGCCCCTAGCATGCTGTTCTTTCCCCCGATACGTCGCAATACATAATGTATTCTCGCATTACAAATATGCCCTGCCTGCTTTTTTCTGGGGGATAGGCCGACGCTTGTCGCGGTAGTCCTTCCACCACCGACCGGTATGGAAGCGCCAGGAGGTGGGGAATCTACAGAACGTGAAATGGAAATGAAACAATTTGTGCTGCAAGAAATGCTAGTCGCAAGCAGCCTGGCATCAAATGAGAGGCCAGCGAAGCCGATCGCAAAAAGCCCCCTCGGGCTGATGTTGAATGGAGCTGTACATCATATAGAGGACGAGGAAACCAGCAGTCGTCCTCGTCTTTCTTCCAGACAGCATGCTGTACCACGATTGGATTTCATGCATCGCTTGATCCTAAAATTTGTCATGCACCGCCTGGAAAAATAGGCAACTACAGCACCGCTGTCGTCCCTTTTAATATGCATCACGAGTTGAAAAATCATCCTCCCACATTGTCGATTTTTCCCCAGCACCTGGCGCTCCCATACCCATGACGGCGATCGTATTCTTCAGGGTCGTGGGCGCCGATAGCACGAGAGGACGAAGAGGAGGAACTACTGCTCATGGTTACTACTTTTGTAAGTAGGAACGTAATACTTCCTTCAGGAAGAAATTTCAAAACTGGCACAAATTCATCTGCCGTGATTGATTCAAAGACGACAGAAATTTCATCGTTTTCAACTCAAGGAAGTGTAAGTAATCGATCTCCTAGATGAGAAGCAATAACTCAGCGTCTTTTACAATGATGAACACCAGAAGCTCCCGCGTTACAGAAAAACCAGGCGAGCACAGAAAAACAAGGCGACTAGACAGCGCCAGATTTGCTTTCCGTCATTCGTTGATGTTCCATCGTGCTCGTTTTATTTTGCAAGAACGTGAGCATCGTATTTGCGGCGCGCAAGCCAACAACTTTTTTCTTGTGTCTCAAGTCGTCCTAGAAGATCTCAGTCGCTAATGTTCTAGAAGAGATCGTTTTCCCTTAATAATTTCATTTTTTCGTATAAGTTCGGATATGGTTCAATCTCTTTTGGGAAAGCAAGATTCAGGCTGCACCACCAGCTCCTACTAACTATACTGGACTCCTCGCGGCCTTGCTCACACCGCCGCCCGTCGCATCGCGTCCCGCATTCGCTGCCCCAGTGTCTCCTTCTCCTCTTTGGTCAGTGCGAACGCGGCCCACCGCAGGTATTCCCCAATCTCCCGTTTGTAGCGAAGCTCGAACAAGGATGGAGAACAAGCCTTCCCACTGCTAGGAATGGGAAGAACAAGTTCTCTCCCGGTGCATACGTTGAACACCTCCTTCGCTGCAGAGAGGTGCTTCGTTGCCGCTTCCGATAAAAACCGTAATAGTTCCTCGGGCTGAAGAGAGGAGCAGCTATCTTGGTTTTCATTTTGTTCCGCAGTCGCGACCTCCACCTTTCGCTTCTTCGTTCCGTGAGTGGAATTATTCTCTGCCGCTTGCTCTTGCGCGACAGCACGAGGGACCACCTCCTCCGCAGTGGTACCATTTTTATTCACGACTGCCCCCCCACCCCGTTCCCCCTGCAACTGCTCCGCCAACAGGCAGAAGAGGCACAGGAGGTGGTAAACGACAAGAGATTCGTCGTACTTGGAAACCTTTTGCTCCAGCCAGGGGATACACTCTTTCTCGAACACGTCCACTCGAGCCTGCTGGAACATGCCGAGCTGGATCAGCTGAATAGCCTTCGTGGACAACAACTCTTGGCGGTCCTTGTCAAGGAGCAGAGTTTTATTCTTATTTTCCTCTTTGTTCATCTTCAAACTTTTATTCGCCTGCTCCACTTTTCCTTTAGCTCTTCCCCCGCCGGCGCACTCGGCGTCGTCTACTAACCCGGAGGTTGTCGATCCGAGTAATTCATCCAAAAACGCGATCGCATCCTTTGGCGGGAGGAGATTCAGTTCCGCCTGCAGCTGGGCGTCGACTTGGGCGTAGAGCTGCTGCTTCTTTTCCAATATGCATCGCAAATACGTCTGGGCCGGGAAACTTGTAATGCTGAGCTGGAAATAGTGAGTGCCCTGTAATGCACAGCCAAGCATGAGAAGTATTTTCGTGCCTACATGTTCCGGCTTCCGCATGACAAACTGCGTTTCTGCACGACAAGAACATGGGTCTCTTCTTAGACACGCATCACAAACTCTTCAGTCATGCCAAACAAGCATGGCAAAGTCTGCACCCTTCCAGACCCAGACATCTTTGCATTTGGTATCCACCTCTTGTTCACTTGTCCGTGTGTTCTTTATTTCCATCTGTGCAGCTCCTTCCGCCACGCACTTTTCGCACTGGCAGACGAAGTCCCGGTTCAAAATCCCGGCGCGAAACCCCTTGTCCATGGCCAGATCTTCGTGCCCAATGTAGGAGATCTGCAGCTCGGCCCCCTTGGCAACGTCCTGGGTCGCCACGAAGAAGCACAGGTCGCCGATGGAAAACCGGGACACTATCAAATGCAAAAATGTCTGGGTCCTCTGGAAGGTTGGAGCTTGTGATGCTAACTCTGGACTCCAAAAAAATCTGTATTGCATGATCAGCAAGAGGAGTGTCTAGTTTCTGCTACGCGGGGCGGGCATTTGTCACGCGGATTAGGCATCAGGAAGGGTTCTAAAAATCTGCGATGCTAGGTCATGCATTACAGACATTCTGAGTCATGCAAAATCTGCATGGCAAACCCGGCAACATTCCAGACCCAGACATTTTTGCATTTGATAGACACGTTCGGACTGCAACTGTGGTTGAACATGCTGGCCAGCAGGTAGAGCCCCGTGCCCTGGAACTTTTGGTAATTCAGCGGGTAGGAAAACTGTTCGTTGTTCGTGTAGAACCCGAGCGCGTTCAGCCGCGTCTTCGCACGGAGCAGCAGCCGGTCCGTCCTCGTGCCGTACTTGGGCTCGAGCAACTCCGCGATCTCCTGCTGCAGTTCCAGCTTCTGCAGCGCGCTATCCACGGATTCTTCTTCCTCCTCCTCTTCCTCTTCTTCTGACTCGCTCTGACTGTCGCTGTCGTCGGGCTGACTGTCATCTGCTCCATCCTCATTCCGCTTGATTCCGCCCCCTCGCTGATGCGCCGGTTTTTTCTCTGTCGCTTGTTTCCTCTGCTGCTGGGATTCCCCTGCTGTATTGCGAGTAGTTCTACCGCAAGTTGTACCAGTTTTCGCACTTCTTTCCGAACAGGTGGACGGTGTTGGGGCGGCCGCGTCTTCTTGCTGGCTTTTGTTACCCATCTCCCCTGGTGAGTCGTTTTTCTTCTCGCTTCGTAACGTACTCTCGATTTCTGCCTTGGACATTAGGAGGCTGGACAACTTGTGCATCCCGGGAAGATCATCATTTTCGCTAGTTGCACCACTACCGACGAGCGCGCTTTCATCCTTTTTTTCTTCCAATTCCGCGACCATTTCCTTGCTCAACTCGCCCACTTCCGTCGGATGCAGGAACTCAATCAGCTCGTCCGGTAAAAAACAGGTCGTGGATTCTGCATCCTCTTCCGACGCTGCATCAGACGTAGCGGTTGTAGCCTGGTTTTTTGTCGACGTGGTGGTCCTGTTTAACATTTGTTTTTGTTCTTCTCCCCCCTCTTCCTCCTCCCGAAAATCCGGGTCCAACACCACCATCTGACAGGCCAACGCCTCGGTGTCCACCCCGTTGTCGCCCGCCAGGTCTTCCCATTCCGGGTACGTTCGCTCTAATTCCACGTCTAGGATGCCCAAATACGGCTTCTCGGCCAGAATCAGCGTGCCGGCCGGTAAAGCCTCCCGGGCGACAAAGCCGCGGCCCTTGGTTGCGTGGGTTTGGACGCGAATCCGCGGATCTCTGGCGAACTGGATCGGTAGTTCCGTCCCGCCGAGGACCTGTCTGCTCAACAGCACGCTGGAAGCTTGCTTCACCTGCGTGTGTCTTTCCGTTTCTGCTTTGTCCCCCTCGGCCAAACCCGATTCCCGAAGCACCTCCGCCGCGGAAATAATTTCCTTGTTCAGTTTAGACGAAGCGGGGACTTGTTCCGCTTTCTGTCTCATCTTCAAGTGGATTTTCTCGGTCAGTAGTTTCCAGGTCAGTTTCGAGCCGAGCAGCTTATCCTTTTCGAGCCAGTCGTCTATCACACAGAAAAAAGCAGGCAGGTCACATTTGTATATGCAGAAATAAATACACAAAAAAATAATGAAAGTCTGTATTGCATATCCCAAACAGCATGCTATGGGGCCGCCCAAGACAAGTTCTTCTGTGTATTTATTCTTGCATTACAAACTTGACCTGCCTGTCTTTTTCTGTGGGATATCGTCCAAGTCCTGAAAGCAGCCCCGGACATCCAGCACATCCGCCAGCTGGCTGGACTCGATTCCGCAGACAGTGTCCGCCATGCTTGTTCTTGTTTTCTAGCTTGGTGTGGTACTACTTTACACGACAGTTTTGCCTTGTCTTATCGGAGGTACTTACCAGAAACGGTAGATGTTGATACTACAAGAACTGGCGTAGTATTTTTATAAGGGGTAAATTTCACGGAAAATGAAAGTCGCCTTGTTGTTTCTTTTGCTGGGTTTTCCTCTTTCCCGGAGTGCAAGTAAGTACTTCTTCCTGAGATCGTTGTGTGCAAAATTTTTGTTGAAGACCACTTGGCACCAGCAACAGGGCTAGAGATCGTCCGTGCCAAGCCACATCAAAAACGACTTGAGGTTTATTTCCCAGGTGCAGAAGATCACTCCATTGTGTGGAATTGGATTCTGCTTGAGCGCCAAATTTTTCGACGTTGTCATCCAAATAAATTGTATCGATCGATGAAAGTAAGTAGATGTAGATCCAGCACGACAAAATGCTACACCAAAAGTAGTCGCCATAGCAGACCGCGCATTTCTTTGTGTTCCTGATCGCACTTCCCCCTCGCGCTCCAACGAGGATTATTCGGTTATCATATCAAACAAGCTTGAGTGGTGAACCAACTCCGCTTCATCACATTTGCTTTCACTTCAAAATGATGAAAATTTTGGTGATCATACGGCAACTTATTCATCCTAGAAACAAGATCTTTGTTGAAAAGCGCCAGAGATTACTAGCCGCCACCGCCGGCCTATGATGTTCCTGACGGTAAAAACCGCAGCCTACAGGATGTCAGAGAGACCACGCACTGTGACGTCTAGCACGATTCATGGATGACGTCTAGTAGCATTGAACATCATACAACGAATTCTAATGCTGATTCTAAACAAAGCACTCTACGACGAGGATTTGTTGCGATGTTGTTGAAACGGGATCCTCATGCGGCGAAGAATTTACTATCGCCATCCCACCTCTCAGCGACCTTGTCTTTTGTTCTCTGCTCCAAATCACATCGTTCCTGCAGGAGTTCCCTGATCAGTTCCCTGATCACTACTTCCGGCTGTTCAAATACGCGTCGCAAATTCAACCAGTCTCTGCAACTCGGTTTACTCTTCCTGGACATCAATTCCTCTTGCCCCGCTGCCCTTTTTTCTTCTACTCCATGCAGCCGGCAATATGCCTCCGCAAGTTCTTGGGCCTTGCCGTAGGCGAAGAGCGGCGCGAGCTTCGGATTTCTGCGAATGAGAAGAACTTCTTCGAGCAGCGCCTGGACGGAGTGTACGCCGCGAAATAAATTTCGGTACTTTGTCTCTGCGCTGCCTGGTGGTGCGAGGAAATAAAACCTACTACTTTGCAGAGCGTGTAGAAACCGCATCCTCCGGCACCGCAGTAGCGTTTTGTTCTCGACGCGAGGACTCGCTTTTGGTGTTGGGATTGACAAAGGTGTCGTACTGCTTCTACACGACGATGATGATGAGTAGACTCCTTTTTCCCATGCGACGCCGACGTGTTGACAAGGCGAGGATAAAGAGCTAAGCCAGCTAGAAAAATCTCGAAACACGGACCAGACCCCTCCGCTGCTCTGCGGTATGCGAGAAAACAGAGAGAATTTCGCTTTCCTCCTCGTCCTCCTCCAGAACCAGATGTTGAATCTCCTAGAAAAGAATCCCTGTCCCTTGTCTACTTTCCGTCGGCGGTAAACTGTCTCCTCCCCCCACACAACCGGATTCAACATTTTCCGCCGGAAGACAGCTACTATTCCCTGCTCACAGGAGCGACCTCTTATCCGCCGGAAGAGACGCTGGGCGTCGAAACGAGCATCACTTCTCCCAAGAAGAGGCAACGCTTTCTCCCTTGTCGCGTCCTCTCGAAGCCGTCGCGGCCGTTTTCGCCGCGCAAACAGAATGTCCGCGGCTAGCTTGTGAAGCAGCTCAAACCTGGCCAGCTGTCTCCTCGTTTGCCGAAGGCGTTGCTTCGTCGGATCGAGGTCGTGTTGTTCCCACTCCAGCAGCCACGCGTCTGGCCATAGAAGTGTCGCCGGAGAAGATGAACAAGGCCGCAAGCTTCCTGCAACCGAAGTTCGTTCTTGGTCTTGCGGCTCTAGTACTCCTTCCTGTTGGCGCAGTCGCGTTGTAGCTCGTTTTGTATTATACAAAAACTCGGCTACGTGCGACGGAAATTCCTCCACGACGGCCGACGACGAAAATGTTGTGTTAGAAGTTTTCATCCCTCGACCTGTATCGTGAGGGAAAATATCCCCTCCCAGACCTTGCGTTAGTAAATTTGCAATGCTGATTTGTCGCCACAGATCCTCTCTGTCTTGCAAGAGGGCAACTTCATAGGCTCCCCCGCATTATGCAAGCGGTTTGTGATGCTGTTGGTCCTACAGTGTGGACGTTTGCCATGCTGGGCGCCTGTAACAAAACCGCTCTGCTCGGGCTTCGTATATAATGCCTGCAGTGCTCTACTGCAAGACACAGCTGATTTGTGGCCACAAATCAGCATCACAAGTTTTCTTTTCGATATGCGGAGCGGGGATTTTTCCTTACGATAACCTCTAGTCGGCGCTTTGATGGCCATCGCCAACTCCTCTCCCTCCCGCTTATCAAATGTAAAAGTGTCTGGGTCTGGAAGAGTCATGCTGTTTTTGCATGACACAGAAGGTCTGGCATGGAAGCGCTAGCATCACAGGTTTCGAGAAGCTTCCGCAATGCCGAATCCGCATTACAAATCCCCCATTTTGGTGACAGAAAGTGGGCAGCTTTTGCTACCTATGCATGAGAGATTTTTCTGTGTTCTGAAATGCGCATCACAAGTTTGTCTTCTTCCAGACCCAAACATTTTTGCATTTGATACCGCTTTCCACTGGACAACAGCATGTGCAAGGCGTGTCCTAGCTCGTGCGCAACAGAGGACACGTGCACCGGCGGAAACAGATTTCGGACCACCGCGACGGGAACCCCATTCATCTTATGAAAGCCTCAGGTTGGAAATCCCCAAAGTGAAAATAATTTGTAATGCAAAAAAACGACTCCACTTGAAGCACGATTTGTTCTAGTCGGCGCATGACAAATTTCCCGGGCACTCAAAGCGTGTCTGTCATGCTAGTTAGGCAAAGGGGTGCCCTTCTCTCGTGTTAATCACCAGCCCAATTCTGAACCCGTAGAAGCACAATGGTCGGCCTCCATTGCGTTTTCTGCAATACAGTCTTTTCGGTGTCGCAATTCATGCATCACATATTATTTCCACTTTGAGAATTTCCATTCTGAGGCGCTCATACATCTCCGCGCGATCCTTCAGGAACACGGTGCAAGGGAGCTGCTGCACGACTAGGGGGTTGGAAAAGCGACCATACAGCTTCTGCCCTTCTCCCAGTCTCCTTTGTCCCGAACTGGTGCCACTACTAGTTTCATCGCCTTTCCTCAAGTCAAAAATGATCCGGGCTCGTGTCGCAACAGTCGCGGCTTCGTCTTCGTTAGCCGGGGACTGCATTTCTGCGTCTTCTAGACATCGAAACAAGACTTCGTAACAAGCGAAAAGATCATTTCTCGGCGTGGAGCAGGCCCTATCTGATGTTGACGGCATTGGTGTAATATCCTGCCGAAGTAGTTGCACTCCCTCTAGCTGTTGCGAAATCGCATCGACGACATCTCGGATCGCAAGTGCAACGTCCTCCATGGTTTCCAATACCATTCCAGGACGTCGAGTAAAAATACTTTCAGCACTTCGTCGTGGCGAACCGAAGATGAGATGTTTAAGGCCCGACAGGAGCAGGCTGAATCTGTCACTCTGCCGGCTCCCTGCGTCTAGAGGCGGCTCACGCTGCTTGTGCCCTTGCGTGCTGTGGCCTCGAATCCGCCTATCAGCAGTTCGGTTCCACGCACCCCGAGATGAGGTTTTCTGGCGATCCGTCGTCGCAATAATCTTTTCCATTTCACTTCCCAACCCACCAACCGCTCTTTCCCGCTCGTATTCGGCGAAGTTTCTGCAATGCCTCGCCCGCGCGGTTCGGTGGCAGGTGGCCAAATAACGGTAGAGATGAAGCCAAGAGGGAGTCGTGACACCTTGCGCTGTCGCCATGTCAACAGAGATTCTTGCGCCATTGCCAGCAGGAAAGGATTTCTTCCTTGTTTGTTCCGACGAGGTGGGAGGACGTCAATGCTGGGGAGACACGAGCTTGCCGAAATGGAAACTCAAATTCTATTTCTTCTATGGAGAATATAAGGCAAAGATCTACTTCACCTTCTCGCATCGATAGAGAATACGAATACGTAGCGACAGACGTTTATTACCGGAACTCACTTCCGGCGGCACAAGATTTGTAATGAAGACCCGCTCAGTCTTTACACGAACCAGAGGGGCATAACGACGATCCGTGAGAGATCTGATAATTCGGACGAAATGCACTCTCAAGAACGCGTGGAGTAAGCATCAGACAACCTCCGCGAAGGAGCACCAAGATGCACTGATCTACCACTGCCTGCTTGAAGATTAAGGACAAGGTCTACTTTTTCCCTCATCCTTCTTTTTGTTTTTCCCCCGTCGATCACGCAGATTGCTACCATTACAAAGGGGCTTTTGCAAAAACGTTTCTCCATGCCGTTGTACGACTCCGGCTGCTTACGAACAAAAATCAGCGCTCTGTCGTAGTGACGGAGGATTTCGAAATTTTCTGTGTCGTTCATCACAAAGCTTGTTTTGCTGTACTATTTTGTTCGGCTGCTTTGTCACAGTGGAAAAATTATCTCTATTCTAATCTTCGAAACAGCGCGACGTACAACACAACAACATCAGCAGCTGCAACATCGTATAACAAAAGTCAACCATCGTGTGCAAGAAATTCTGCTTTGTGCTTCTGCTTCCGCAAGAGAAATTAGTTTACTTATCACGTAGGAAAATTCCCATGCCGGTCATTATCACAGATTTCAGGAAATAAGGGTATATTTGCTGGGCTAAGTACTAATTTGGGCTGCTAGTGGTCTGCGACGAGTGGGAAATAGTACGGCTTGAAGGCAAGACAAAGGGTCCGAAATTTGAGGGGGGTTCAAAATCCTCGCACACACAAAATCAAAATCTACAGTTCTTCCCCCGAAAAATAAATCTCACACCACGCACTTCTTGTTTTTAAAAAATCGATAAGAACACCCAGCAATAAAGTTTCTAATACCGGGGGAGAAGAGAGGAAGCAGGGACGCACCTAAAATGGAAAAAAAATTGCGTCGCGCTGTTTTTCTAAATCAAAAAATCGCCACCCTACTACTCATTTCCAAACGCGCCTATTATCCTCGTGGCGGGGTTTTTTGCAGAATGAAATCCGTGCGCGAGCAGAGTGAAAACCAGCGCTCGAGCATTTTGCCGCGCGAATTCACTGAAGACCACACCACAAAACTCGCCAGGGTATGCATTGCAAATATGTCTGGGTCTGGAAACTTGTGATGCTAAAAGTGAATGCGAGTTCCACTGCAGTGCGAAGCCAAGCATGCCAAATTTTTGGGCTCCTGTGTGTTGCGTGTTCCGCATGGCAAACTGCGTTTTTGCATGACAGGTAAGATGACCGCTGCGTGCCCATGCATCACAGATTCTTGAGTCACGTCAGACAAGCGTGACAAATGCAGCAATCTTCCAGACCGAGACATTTTTGCATTTGATACAGAGACGAGTCAGTTTATTTTACAGCTGTAATTACCTACACACTTTGGATGAATATCCCTCCGGCGTGTTTGTGGTCAATCACGGTGCATAGAAGAAACATCAAATGTAGAATACAACTATCGTCGCCAAGTCGTGCTAAAAACTATCATATCCTACTCCAAAATTTTTACAAAGCGAAGGCGGGGAGTGAATAGCTACTAACTTACAAGAGGTCTTGATCTTTTTCGATTCGCTTGGACATATAATTCTAGGGTTAACTGCTTAAACTGATCGAAAGAAAAACCTGGTCAGCACTGTGGGCAAGTAAACGTAGTGGCTTCACGTTTCTTTCATCTTGCACCCTGATCCTGAATTTATTTGCTGTTATTTGAGTTATAATTTGCGAGTTTTTGGTAAGAAAAACCCAATGAAATAAAAAAAGATAAACTAGGTTCAAGTTTGTTTGCACGAGCAAAGATTGTTGGTGCTGTAACTGGTTCTGCTACTTACTTGCTTTCTGCCCTCCGTTATGAACTGCAAAAATGTCTGGGTGTGGAAGATTGCCAGGTTTGTCATGCATATTTTGAAAGACCCATGATGTCTGTGATGCATACTCTAGCATCACAGATTTTTCGAGGGCTTTGCGATGCCTCTCTCGCATGAGAAGTGTCCTCTCCGCGAAGCACAAACTGGAGTCCTCTTGCTGGTCATGCAATACTAATTTTTCTAGAATCCAAAGACAGCGTCACAAGTTTAGACTCTTCCAGACCCAGACATATTTGCCATTCATATCCGTTCATACAGCGCGCCCTCGGAACTGCTGGCACTGCTGCTCCTTAAGCCCCCCTGCTCCGCTATCAAGAAGAAAGATCCCCCCTCCCCATATTGACAAGGCATGTTTTCAAAGTTTGTCTTGCTGATTTGTGGCGAGAAATCGCGTCTGCCTTGCAAGAAGGCAATTCCACAGACACCCGCCGCATTCTTGTGCAGGCGGTTTATCATGCTGTTGGGCCTACAGCGCAGACGCTTTTCATGCTAAGCGCCTAGGCCAAAGCCTCTCTACTCAGGCTTGATACGGGTCTGCAGTCCTCTCCAGCAAGAAAAATCTGATTTGTGTACGCAAATCCCGCATCAGAAACTTCGCTTCGAGCATATGGGGAGGGAATATTTTTCCTTTTGATACTCGCGCGTCGTTCCTCTTCATCGGTCTGACACCGCACGTGCAGCCGACTCGCTTGCTTTCGCAACACCCGCGTCGCTTCGGCCATGTCCGCCGCCAAGTCTTCCGCGCCGGGCAGGGATTTCGCGATCACGTCGACTGCCCGCTTCAGGAGGAACCAAAATTGCATTCCCTTCTCCAGGTCCTGCACGGGTTGCACACAGCACTGAAAGTTTTCCTCCAGTTTTCCACGGAACTCCGTTACGTCGCCCTCGTAGGTGAGAAAGAAGTTGCAGATGATCCCCAAACACGCGCGTGGGAGTATCGCTACAGAAAGAAAGGGCTAGCACTTGTAATGCAAAAATACGCACACAGAAAGATCTGTCATGGGGAAGCCCATCGGAAGATAGATGCTGTGTGCCTTGTGTAGTCATTTTTGCATTACAAATAACATGCTAGCGCCTTTTGTCTGGGATAGGAAGCGGGAACGCCGGTAGCAACGCGGGGTACTGCAGGTGGTTATCCGGTGCTAAAGTATCGCACTCGTATATTAAATGCAAGTCTTGCATTACAAATTTTTTTCTGAAGGTAAATCCGTATTACAAATCTTATCTCTCATGCTGAGGAAATTTGTAACGCATTTATACGAGTACGATACTTTTGCAGTTCCTAGTGGTTTTTCCGATCCTGCGTCACGCACATGAAATCTTTCGGTAGCTGGTTTGTGAACTCCAGCTGCGGCAGGAGCAGGGACGCGAGGCAGCTTTCGGACAGCTGCCGCAGGGACCGCTTCAGGATCTTTATCAGGGTGTGAAACCCCGCGAGGTCAAAATTCACGTCCGAGTTCCACATATCGTTGCGCAGTTTTGGCTATCACGTTGAAAGAACACGCTGTACCCGCGACCCAACTGTGGTCAAGGTGAGTAAAGACGAACTACTTCTAGGGTAGTACTCAGCTGCACAAGGCCGAAAACTTTCTGCGGCGCTCTGAAGATGTCTCCACAGCGAAATCGTCCTTAGTTAGCATGATGGGTCGTGCATGACAAATCCACTGTCCTTTGCTGATGAGAGCACGACAACTGCAAAAGCAAGTAGAAGGGCAAGGTGCGAACTATCAAATGCCTCTCGTGGTCGTTCTCATGCAGGATTTTCCCGCATGAGAAACTTATCGCACATATGAGGATTTGCATGACAAGCTTTATGGGGTGGGTAAGTACGTTCTTTCTCAACAGGGTAACATCGGCACCAGACTGATTACCCGGTTGATCAGGATGTGCGACTTGTAATCCGGGTGCTACTATGCATTTTCAAAAAGAAGCGCTTCTATCGCGAGCGCCGTGCAATATCAAACTTGCAGCTGCGAAGATGAATTTTTGATGTCTCATGCAAGTACACTGCCTAAAGAAAAATTTATTTCTCATGCAACACGGCTGCGGCAAGGCAGGCGCGAAGACGCAGCTTCTTCCCAAGCGTATTTTTGGTGGGTATTCAGTTTGCGACGGAAACGGTTTTTCGGGTACCGCGGGCTCCTATGGATGGCAAATATGTCTGGATCTGGAAGATTGCAACTTGTCATGCTACATTTGGATTCTACAAAAATCTGCTTTGCATGAACAGCAAAAGAGGTCCAGCTTCTGCCACGGCGAGAGGGCGTTTCTCATGGGGTATAGGCATCAGGAAGCCGTCACAAAATCTGTGATGCTAGGGCATGCATCACAGCCATCACGAGTCATGCAAAATGTGCATGACAGACCTTGCATCCTTCCAGACCCAGACATATTTGCATTTGATAGCTCCCACGTTTCGCCAGACATAACCCCGAACTTCATCAGCTCCAAAGCAATGAGGGCGGGCTCGATGAACCTGATAGCGTCGATGGCGCGATTTTTTGTCATGCGAAACAGAGAAGCGACGCTCCGTAGATGTTGTCATGCAGAATTCACAACTACACAAACGTGCTACAGTCAGACAGTCATCCTGTTCAAGGCCGGTCTGCTATAGTTTTTATCATTCTCAAAAACCTCTATACTCCTTCTGTTCGATATCCTGGAGCACATTTCCCAACACTATCCTGTGCAAAAGCATCGCACTCGTACTAGTTGCAGTTATGCATGACAAATTTCCTTTGCACGCTAAAATAGCATGACAAAATCCATTTTTCATGCTGAGTATGCAATTTATACTAGTACGATGGTTTTGCAATGCATAAACACCGTCATGCCGCCGTTGGGGCTGAGGAGGTCCAAATTCTCCAAAACCATGAAGTGGCAGTAGGCGGAGAGAGTATTTTTGTCCGCTTCTGCCAGGTATCAAATGCAAAAATGTCTGGGTCTGGAAGATTCCGGAATTTGTCATGCTAGTCTGGCATGACTCTGAACTCTGTATTGCACGGCCGCGAAGAGCTCCTACTCCCTGTCATGCAAAAACGCTGTTTCTCATGCGAAATACGCAACTCAGAACCATGAGAAAAACTTGTCATGCCTGGCAGCGCATTACAGTGAGCTCACTACTGCCTTCCTTCTTGAATCACAAGTTTCTAGACCCAGAATGACATATTTGCATTTGATACCGGGAGTCTCAACTTGTAGTCACTATTCCTCGGCATCAGCAAGCCCTCGCGCTGGTCCTTCTGGCCGTTTTTCGTTGATGCTTGTTTCGAGGCGGCTTTACCCTGCTTGTTCGCCGCTCCAGCCTCCTCCTGCAGGTGCACGTGGTTATCCAACAGAAACGGAAAGGTCGCACTTTTGTAATGCAAAAATGAATACACGAACAAAATCTGTATTGCACATCCGAAACAGTACGCTATGGGGTCACCTATAACATATGTGTCGTGCTTAGTTTTGCATTACAAACGTGATCGGTTAGCGTTTTTCTGTGGGATAGTGCCACTTGAGGCAGAAAACGAAGTCCACCGCGTTGGTCTTTTGCCGCATCGTTTTATCCCACAGAAACGCACACCCAGAGCACCATCTTTTTTATATCTTCTACGAAAGTATAGCGGCTTCTGTCTGTGTTATTTCCGCATTACAGTTGTCTCCACGCATGTTGAATGTGCACAGGTTTTCGTCCATCTTATCAGCATGATCACAAAGCTTAACTTTTTTACTGTGCGAGAAATAAGTACTTTGTGCCCGAAAAACATCAGCAACTCAAAGCTCTTGCGTTTTTTTTCTAGGTATTCATAGGTGTGCTTTATTTTTTTCTTTGCATACATCTCCAGCTTCACCTCCTCCTTGGTAAAGCTCCACTTCATTGGCTCCCGCAGCTCGGGGGAGAGAAACTGTTATCATATGCAAAAACGCACCCACCCCATAGTCAAGTTGGGAACGTAGCAACACAAGTCCAGAAGTTTTGGGAGCCACGCATGACAAGTTGCAGTCCGTAGTGTAGTGCATGTTAGCAAGGACAGCCGCATCCCAAATCCATGTGCTTATCCTGTTTGCAGCATTACAAATGCCGTTAACACGGTTGGAAATGCCTCCCTTGGGGACGCGCATTGCAGATGTTGCTGCAATTGCAAATCTGCATGACAGCGCTGGGGTGTTTATGTACTGGAAAAGACCAAATTTAAAGCACAGAGAAATTTCGAATTTTCAGAAAGGAATCGAGAGGAGAACGAACTACGACAAGAAGAGAAACGCATATGCTATGTGGCCACTGTAATTTATTTATTTAGTGACAGCGCTGGGGTGGGGACGTTTTTAAACAGGATAACTGTTCCTCATTGCTCATTTGAATCTGCTGCTGCAGCACCGCCTGTTGCTGGAGCAGGGCTTGGATCTTATACCAGTGCACAACTACTCCCCCTCGTTCTCATTTCTCATGCAAAATACCAAATCCACGCTTTCCCTCCTGTCACTATTATGCATGACAAATTCTGGTAGCCCAAATAGCACTACACTCCAGCGATAAAAATCTGTCATGCAAAACCGGCACTCTTGCTGATGCTTGTATTGCCTGATTCACGCTATACACATAAGGGAGAGCAGCAGGGGGAGTTGTGCAGTGTGATAGATCTGCGCGGGGTTGTACAGAGTCGGGTTCGATTGCGCTTGCGTCAACAGCATGGAATTCTGCTGGAGCTGCAAAATCTGCTGTTGCTGAAACTTCGCGGCGGACAGGTGCCAGTACGCCTTCATGGTGATTCGCTTGGACTGGAATTTGGGGTGCAGGTGCCGCGCGATCAGGCCGAGCGCCCGCTGCCGGTAGTCCTTCAGGTCCAGCAACAGCTCCCGGTACTCCTTGATGTCCAACAGGGGCTGAGATTTGTCGTACCAGACCCCCCGGGCGAGGGCCAGCGGAAGCTTGGAAGACACGATGCCCTCGCAGATCAGCTTGTACAGGCTGTTGGGCAGCATCTCGCCAATCACCGCCGAAAAATCGTAGGGAATCTGGTATTTTTTTCAAATTAATACTTATGAAAAAATATAGCAATTTATTCGTGATTTTTTGTCATCCTCAACTTAAAATTCACCTTCACGCGAGTCGTGGGTCGTGTAAGTAATAAAAGAGAAAGGCGCAGCTCCTGGGTAAATAATGTGTAGTTGCTGGTCGTTGTGTAGTATCAACTGCAAAAGTGTCTGGGTCTGGAAGATTGCAACTTGTCATGCTGTTTTTGGACTCTAAAACAATTTGCATTGCATGACCAGCAAGAGGAGCGCAAGAATTTGTGCTACACGGACAGGGCATTTCTCATGCGGAAGGTGCATCAGGAAGGGTTCTAAAAATCTGTAATGCTAGGGCATACATCACAGACAATCATGGGTCTAGAGAAATATGCATGACAAATCTCGCATTCTTCCAGACCCTGAAATTTTTGCATTTGATATGTAGTGGTACCTTTATCAGCTCCAGGGATTCGTAGTCGTCTTTTTCACTCACGTCCCCATTCCGATTGCCGTTGACCGCCTGTTATCCAGTGCAAAAGCATCGCACTCGTAGTACTAATTGCAATTATGCATTACAAATCTTCATCCCAAGGTGAAACAGCATGACAAATTCCATTTGTCATGCTGAGGGAATTTCTAATGCAATTACTACTTGTACGATGCTTTTGCAATTCATATCTGTCGCAAGGTGCTTTTGTTGACGCACTGCGACAAGGCCATCACCGAGTTGGTTTGTACGTTCCACACCGGCCCGTGCTTTATCAAAACCTTGCAGGTGCAGTACCCCTCGATGTGGTCGTTTTTCATCTCCTCCGTTGTATCGCAAAGAAACAGCAGGCTGCAGCTGCATAATATATATGCTACGTTCTTTATTCTCATGCAAAAATGATCACTGCACAGATAAATCTCCTGTCCTAGGAGCTTTTACGCATCCAATATTTGCATGTATTACAAGCAGAACTCTGCCAACTCTACTTTTCTGTACGATACGTCGGAAACGTTTCCAGCCAGTTCACCAGCGGGGCGTGCTTTATGATCACCACTGCGGCCTCGAAGTTAAAACGCGAGTTGCCGCCGATGTTCTGCATGGCGTTGCTCTGCTGCTGTATGTACTGGTCCTGGTTCAAAAAGGGGTAGGTGAGGCAGTACTCCGTTCCCGCCAGCATGCACGCATCCACGAACTGCGGCAGGGTGATTTGCCACTTGTTCAATATTACATCGAGCCCGAGCCAGTCGAAGGTTTGCTTGCCGAAATCAATGTGGATGACGCACTTCTCGATTCCGTACAGAATCTGTATGACAGTGCAGCACAAGAACCCCCGCCCTTGCGCTCCCTCATTCGTCATGCAAAAAGCCAAATTTTGAACTCTGACCCTTTTGACGATGAGGATGATGGCCGTGTTTCCATTACAAGTTCCTTCTAGATGAGCAGCCCAAACTGCACTACTGTTCGGGCCGTGCTGTGGGTTTGTCATGCAGTAGAAGCATGCATCCTTTCTGTCACTCCTGCTGCTCGTCCAGAAGATGTTGCCCAAATAATACGAAGGAGGGAAGTACAAAAGTTCTTGTGCACTCTGATAAGCAGCCCGGGCGGCCCGTATCCCACGAAAAAAAGCTGGCAGGTCATATTTGTAATGCAAAAATAAATAAATACACAAAAAAATCTGTATTGCATATCCGAAACAGCATGCTAGGGGGCCGCCCATGGCAAGTTCTTCTGTGTATTTATTTTTGCATTACAGATACGCCCTGCCAGCTTTTTTCTGCGTGATAGCCCGAACACGCTGTTAATCAGCCCCTGTTCGGCGAAGTGGGCGAGCTGCGCACCCGCAAAGTAGGGCGCTTGGAAGCAGTCGTAATTTTTTGCCTTGAGGTATGACAGTGCACTACCCCCCCTTCCCCTCATTTGTCATGCAAAATACCCAATCCACCCTTGGCCCCTTGGCATTGTTTGCATGACAAGTTCTGGTAGCCTAAATAGCACCACAATCCAGTGTAAATCTGTGATGCAAAACCGGCACTCTCTCTGATGCTTGTATTGCCACTCATGCTATACAAATGAGGGGGAGGGGGAGTTGTGCACTGTCATATCAGGTGGTGGTAGAGAAAGTAGACAAAGTCCGAATTTATTCGACTGGTGGACACCGCAAAGCACTTCTGCGCCTCGGAACGCTGGCCCTTCGCGAGGCAATTCCACGCGCGATCCATTTGCGAGTCCAGCCTGATAAAGAGGTTCTTGACAGTGTAGTAAATTCAAGGTTCTATAGCAAGGAAAAAGTTCTTTGTCACGCTTGGATAGGACAGCGTCAACTACATATGCCCATGCGTAGTAAACGGACTGGTTTCCAATAAAAGCAAAGTACTAAAGTACATCCGTTCTTATTATACCTGTGTATGTACATCTGCTGTTGTGCCGGCGGGGTCATTCCTTGAAACACAAACAGCGGCTTTATCCCTTTCCTCTCGAAGTTCTGCAGCTTGGATATGCAAAGTACAAAAGTGGGGCTCTAAATTTCGTGCCAGTTTTGGCGAAGTTGCATCACAAGCTACGTGACCTTGATTTTTTGACATGCGCGGAATGCTAGGCTTGTCCTCTTGCGAATAAGATCATGCACCGCACAACTAGTAAACTTGTGTGTAAAAAAGATGCACCCGTAGTAGAATATTTTTCATCCCGAAGGACCGACCCCCTTGTTCTTTTGCAGCTGTGATACCCTTGTCCACAAATCCGAATATTCCGGGTGGCACGCCCCCAATCGCGTCGGCAAAGGGGTCCTTGAGCGCCTGAATTGACCGCAGCCAAAACACTGCGTCAATGCCCATGCGGAAGCCGGACAGCTTCCCCAGCTGTTCTTGCTTGATCATGTGCTGATCCGAAAGGTGGGACTGCAGGTGCCGCACTCGCATCTTGCCTTCGCTTTGTCGTGGATTTCTACTTTATTTTCCTGTTCGACGATCCCAGCACGAAGGCCGCAGGTAGCGGCAGAGTCGTTCTTGCGCACCACGACCACGCGAGAAAGTTGTGAGAAGCGTCTGCCGCCCCCGGTCGAGAGAAAATCTGCGTCAAAAGCTTCGTGCTCGCTACGGGAGATTAGTTTGAGAAGCGTGCGGCGCGATCTTATTCCCCGAACCGCTGTTGCCACGTACAGGGAATAAACCTGAGACGGTTCTTAGACAAGTACAATCTCGGGAACAAAAAGATTCTTGTTTATTCGTCGGTCCTGACAGTAGTAGAGCCCGAATCTTTATCTTCCCATACTGGACGCTTGGCACCGCAAGTCTCGACGCCGCACTTTCGACCTTCGCTGTTCGGAGAAAAGTCTTTCCACCCGAAGCTGCCTCGAAGTTTTCGCCTGCTCTCCCCGACGACAATCTCCAACCGCGATCGTTGTTCTGCCCGGAGACGTCGTTGACGTTCTACTTCCCGCTTGTTTTAGTACTCTACTTGCATCTTCTTTTTATCCGGACTAGTACTTCTATGTTCTGTTCTCACCAGCGGCGCGACCTCCCGGAGTAAATATTCGATACGGAAGAGCGTTGTCCCGCCGGCGCGGGAGATGTGCTCGAAGTGTGTTGTTGAATTGTGGTACTCGCCCGTCTTGATTATTCTTGCAAGAAGATTTTGAATTTGAAGGGACTCAGCGCCTTCTCGTGGGCCCCCTTCGACGACGTCCAAAATAAATTCGTACGCGGCGACATGTATCGTCAGCAAAAATAAAACAGCGCGGTCGTACAAATTGTATATTCGGCAGATCGTGGTCAAAGCTACTTCTCAGGTAGATGGTAGCTAAATTTGCATTAAACCAGCACGCTTCGTTTTTCCGTTACAAGTGAAGTCTTTGTACGAGCGCAATAGTACTGGTTTTGCGGTGCATAAAGCGAGCTACTCGCGAATTCGGCGCTGCCGGCAAAATGGAGGCGTATCGCTGCTGCTTGATGCTGTTCGTGTAGTGATGAAGCAGTCTTCTATAATTTCGAGACAAAGCTGCACTTCCGCAAAGTTCCTGGCACTAGCACGCGCAAGTCTCTTTTCAACCGCGCCGCGAGGGCGGACCTCCGGCCCCTTGGCTCGCGGTCGTCGCGGTACCCTCCCTAGTTGTGCCTCCCGTCGATAAAAAATAGGCGCTTCGAAGAAAGGTTGGGCGACTGCTTCTACCGGGCGCGGAAAACGAAAGCCATGCTTTTCTTCTGCATTTTTCCACGTCTACTTCCCGGGTAGCAACGGAAACAGCACTTGGCCCCTCACATACTTTCTTGTTTTTCCGGCTAAGTACTTGGCTTAAAAAACTCTGTATCACGTCGTGGGCTTGATTTCTATTACTTTTCTATAGCCCCACGACACAAGTGCGGGCCTAAAATAGACCGCCTACTGAGATCGATTCCCCGGTCTAGGGTTTTGTAGCAGTTCGACTTTTTGTGGACATAGCTATGGATATCAAAAACTACTTGGAAATGGTACAATAGGTGAAATGGCGAAGAAAAAACCAATGGGGCAAAATAGTTTCTAACTTCTTTTTGTCTTTCCGGCAGCTCAAAATGGTCAAAAGCGGCAAGCAGTGCAGAGGAAAAAAAGTCGTCTTCTACATTTGTTGCACCCCGGATGAGCAGGGCTCGGTTCTTGTGTTGGTAAATTTACCACGCTGCAAACATTTAGTATGTTTTATTGGAATGAGAGATTCGGAACATTGATCGCGCGACGAACACCGATGCGATGAAAATGCCGCGCAACTCACATCCTGTGAGATGTCGTAGAATCGAATGCGTCGTAGCGTGGAGCGAGTGCTATACTCTCATTTTTGTTTTCTGAAGGGATACGGGCTCGGTCGTTCCAACCAAGAGCAGCGCGGTGCCAGAGTAAACATAATTTCGTAGGGATCCAGAAGCACCTCTGTCAATGCGTAGCTCGCGGTAGCTCGCGGTAGCTTGCGGCGCCAAGAAGAATGATCGGGCGAGCGCGCCGTTCGGTGTAGCTCACCAACACCAGCCGAAGCGCCCAATCGAGCCACTCCCGCGGCACCTTTCGAAAAATCCCGAAAAGCCGCATCCGCCTGCGCGAGCACGACTACAGACACCGCCGCCGGGCGATTTGCCTGTGGCTGCGCGCCCTCTTTCTATCCGCCGGCGCCGATCTGATCGGCCCTTGCAGTATAGCGCGAAAAATCCCAGGCGCCGCACGCGGTCGGGCTGCAATGGATAGGCCGCGGGGCCCGGCTAAAAGTAGCGCGGACCGAAGGCACGGGCGCCCGCTGATTTTATGCCTCCCCTTCCGCGCAGGCGGCCAAGGCCGCCCCTGCGAAAGTGCGGAGGAGCGAGAGGGCGCCCCCTTGGTTTGTGTGCCTCTATGCTGACCACGCAAGCCGATCCCGCCTGGGATAGGATAGGAAGGGTCCCAGCTTAGTGGAGAGGGGGGGGGGGGGATGCGACTGCCCCACCTTGATCGACGGAGGCCAATGGTCACCCCATAAGATAAGATGGCCCACCCCTGGAGGGCTGGCTGAGTGGTTTTCTTGATTTTAGAAAAATTCTACACAATGCAAAAGCGTCAGAATTCTTTGACTTAGCAGCTGGAAAGAGCATGAAGGAAACGCACCCAAGTCATCTTTTCTAAGTACGATAGGCTAGAAGTTCAAAGGTATTCACCAGATAAGTGAGTTTTCAAAATTTTTGTTTTTTACAATTTTTGGAAAATTACAAAGATACCGCCATAGTGGATTCCTTTGGCTCTTACAGATCAAGAGGGGGAGCCCAAATACAGATTAAGCATTGCACTGCGGAAAGTCGAATCATATTTCTCGAATAAGTTATCACACAGACATTTTTTAAAAAATTTTCCGCTTTGACAAATTTGTAAAAAAATATCCTAATTGCAACCAATCTTCATTATAAAGCATAGCACTTGCTTCGTGATTTTGATAAGCAGGATATTTGCGCAGTGTTTTACTGTGTAAAGTGGCATAATTTCCACAATTTAACATTTTTTAAAAATTTTAAAATTTTTGAAATTCAGAGAAAATCAGCGCGATAGCTTGTTTTTGGCTTGTACAAGCCACAAAATAAAAACTGGGCGCCAATTATTTAATAATTACGGGAGTAAAGCTGTATACTAAAACTCTTTTTCAGGCAAGAAATTTTTTAGATTTTTTTGGTATTTTTCGAGGTCGTCTTGTAGGTGCTAAAAATTACGGCCGTGACTTGATTTCCCTAGGCGAAAAAAGTAGAAAGACACAAGAACATAGATTTTCCATGTTTTACAAAGAGATCTGACCACGTTGTAACGAGTTACAACGAAGATCACAATTTTTTAAAAAAATAACTTGAAAGGAAAAATGGCAAACACTGGCCCACATTTGGAAATGAGGTTAATACATGTGGCCGCATTTTGTGTTTTGAGCTTTATGCTTGGTCTTCTGAAGGCGATGGATGCAGTGTGTGTAATGTGTCGTCGTTTTTGCACAAAATATAAAGAGAAAACACTTCTTTCATCCGCGCATTCACTATTGGCCCAGTGCGAGGCCCCTTGCGTGTCCGATCGCCCTTGCTAGGTCATCAGATACCCCTTGGACCAGCAGGGCCCTGCGCATTACCTACGAAAACACCATGCCAAAATCCCGAAAATGCGCTGGGATCGCGGGCCTGAAGGACCCGGGTCCGGGCCCGCGTCGCCAAGGCCTCCGCCTTGTCGATCTTGTTCGGGAGGGGCGCAGCGTTTCCCTTGCGCGACGTGGTGCCCAATGGCTTCCCTGCTCGGCGTTCGGCTTGCCCCCTGCCCCGCCTCCACACAGGGAGGAGAAACTAGCCGGGCGGCGCGCGCGCGCGCCGGGGGGCCCCGCGCGAGATGATGCCACTTTCCCGCATGGCGCAGGCCCGACTCCGGCCCGGGTTGCCCGGATGCGCCTTGCATCGGCGGGCGCCCCGCGTTGCTCTTCCTCGCGGAGTGGATCTGCGGGGGCCGCCGCGGGGTCGGCCCGCTGGAAGGGGCCGCGATAAAGACTCGCCGCAGCGGAAAACCCCGCGGGCTTTCCAAAATTAAAGAGAGGCCGGCCTGTGCTGATCTAAACGGCCTCGATTGATCACCCCCCGGGCGTGTTTTACGAGAAAGCCGACGCCCCGCGCGGGTAGACCCGCGCTCATTAAGCCCCGTGCGCACCCGCGAGCACATGGGCTTCATCTGCGAAGAAGATCTGTCGAAGTCTCCTGTAGCCGGCAGGTTTGCTATTTCCACAAAAACACGAGATCCTGCAGCTGAAAGTGTGCCTAACTAGTGGCTGAGCGACGTTCTTCTATTTTCGAGCGGCTTCATTTCGCTTTCTGACCGCCACTCTCTGCCCTCTTCATCAACACATTTTATCGAGCTTTTACATCAACACAGCGACGCACCTAGCTTTGATCACCAGTAGGTTTTTTTTTCAAGGTCGCCACCGCTTTTCGCTTTCAGGCGAGCAGGAAAATATGAAAAAAAATGATTGTATCCACGAGGATCTGACCGGTAGCTAAGTCTGAAGACCTGTAATAAATAAACTGTAGTAGCAAAAAATGCCTCACACTTGTAAAGACCCGCGACGGCAAAATTTAAAAGATTCTCCGTGGCCACACTTGAAATAATTAACTACCCCCCGTCCTCCGAGCAATTGTTTCGCCTTTTGTAGTTCGTCCGCCCTCCTAAACAACAACAACTCATAATCCACCCCACGTAGCGTTGATTTCTACTTCGTTTATTCCATCAGCAAAATAACTCCCCCTCGCTTTCTGAATCATAGCAAAAAAGATGCCGTCCGGCTATCAGAAGCAGGTGCTGATGGTGGCGGAGAAGCCGTCCATTGCGGAAGCCTTAGCCAATGCCCTCGCGGAGAACAAATCGAAGATCACAAAATCGAAACGAACCAGCCCGGTGTCGCCCATCTTGGAATTCGAGGGCTATTTTCCCTTCATCAAGAAGGGCCAGGAAAAGGTGTGGATCAAAATCACTTCGGCCGCGGGACACGTGTACAAGCGGGAGTTTACCAAGGAGTACTTGGACCGCAGGCAGCACCCGCCCATCGTCCTCTTCGATGCCACCACGGAGCACTTGGAGGCCAACGGCAAGGCGCGCATGTATTGACAGGAAAAATCCCCCCTCCCCATATGGAAAAGGTATGTCTCCAAAAATTTGTATTGCGGATTTGAGGCCACAAATCACGTTTGTGTTGCAAGAAGACAAGGGCAGCAGCTCCCATCCCATTATGGAGGCGGTTTGTCATGCTGTTGGGCCCAAAGGGGGGCCGTTTGCCATGCTGAACTACTAGACCCATACGCCCCTACCTAGCCTGGGGATCTGGCCGCAGTGCCTCTCTGCAATACAAAGCTGATTTGTGGCCACAAATCAGCATCACAGTTTTCCGTTTTCATATGGGGAGGGGAGATTTTTCATTTTGATAGCATGCCGGCCCACTTCAAGCAGGAGGCGAAAGACTGCAGCTACCTCGTGCTTTGGCTGGACTGCGATCGCGAGGGAGAGAACATCTGCTTCGAGGTGATGCGGTCCGCGGTCAACATGGCGGAGGACGAAAACAGCCGGCTGATTCCGAAGAAGCGGGTCCTGCGCGCGATCTTCTCGGCGTTGGACGAAAAATCGCTGCAAGAAGCGTATTGGGGCCTTTCCGGCGACGGGCCCAACAAAAACGAGTCGGACGCGGTGGAGGCGCGGCAGGAACTGGACCTGAAAATTATTGTGAGGAAAATTCCCCCCTCCCCATATCGAAAAGGCGCGCTTTTCAAAATTTGTGATGCTGATTTGTGGTCACAAATCGAGTCTGTCTTGCACGAGGGCAAAGCCCGAGCCTCCGCCGCAATTCGCCGGCGATTTGTAGTGCTGCTGCGCCAATGGGGCAGACGTCTGCCATGCTAAGCGCTGATCTCAAGCCACCCCTTTCCGGGCTTTGCATCTGCCTGCAGTGCTCTACTGCAAGACAGAGCTGACCTGTGTACGCAGATACAGCATCACAGACTTCCCTTTCGATATGGGGCGGGGGGATTTTTCATTTTGATAAAAATCGGGTGCGCGTGGACGCGGTTCCAGTCCCAGTTCTTCGCCGGACGATATCGGGATTTGGACGCGCAACTAATCAGTTACGGACCCTGTCAGACCCCAACCTTGTGGTAAGCATGAAGTGAGATCAGTTTGAAACTGGAAGAACTTTGGAAGGCGAAAGAGCGGTGTGCCGTTTTTCTTTCGCGCCGTCCATAATAAGTACAGAGCGCGCATCAACAGCAGTCGGCGCTTGCGTTTTTTTCGCCGGGCCGGGAACCCCTAGAAAAGCGCACTGCTTTAGTCCCGTCGACGCGCACTGCGTATTTATTAGTCCTTGGGTGCGCACTACTTAAGCCCATCTCGCACTACTTAAGTCCATGTTCGCGCACTACTTAAGCCTTTTGCGCACTGCTTAAGTCTTTCGCGCATTACTTAAGCCTTTCGCGCACTGCTTAAGTCTTTCGCGCACTACTTAAGCATTTCGCGCACTGGCTCAGCCCTTCGCGCACTGCTTAAGTCTTTCGCGCACGACTTAAGCCCGCCTTCGCGCAGTATTTAGACCCCCCGCGCACTACTTAAGCGCTGCGCCCACAGCTTGACTCGTTTTGTCTTCTTTGCTTCTCGCAAAAGCATGAAGGAAGATCTTGTTTCGCATGACAACAATAAAGTTTCGATCAAAACGACCCAGGTTCTGCGTCCAGCGGCACGACCAGATAAAGAGCTTCAAGCCGGAGAAATTCTACCACCTGAGCCTGAAAATCAAGGTCCAGTCGCTGTTCGAAAAGATGATACTGAAGCAGAAGCAGATTGACCCGCAGAAGCGAACGCCGAAGAGCATCGCGCTGTTTAACAAGTACGAGTTTTTCAAGCAGCAAAACCCGCAGATCAACCGAACGGGCATGCAGGGGGTGGTGAAGGACGAAACAATAGATATCCTCAGCAAAAACGTCCCCAAGACCCCAGAGTTGTCATGCAGATGTACAATTACAGAAAACGTTTGTAATGCGCAGCTCCATGATGAGTAGAGGCATTTCCGGTCGTGTTTTTGAATTTGAATGCTGTAAACAGGATGAGAAAATAGCTTTCGTGTGCGGCTTCCCCCGCCAACCAGCACTACACTGCAGAGCAGGAAGACTTGTCATGCACAGCTCCCAAAACTTGGAGACTTGTGATGCTAGATTCCCAAGTAGAACTTGGCTATTGATTGGGTGGGGACGTTTTTACATATGATAATCGATTTGGAGTGGACGAAGGGCCCGCTGTTTTCCGCCGAAGTGGTTCAGGGGTTCAAATCCATGCTCGTGAAAAACTTCGTCTCCTCCGCCCACGTATCAAATGCAAAAATGTCTGGGTCTGGAAACGTGTAGTGCTGCGTTGGGAATAGTGAATGCTCTGTAATGCACAGCCAAGCATGAGAAATATCTGCGCTTCTTTGTGTTGCGTTTTTCGCATGACAGGCTGCGTCTTTGCATCACAGGCAAAAGGGTCTCTTCTTGGACACGCATCACAAGCTTTTTGGTCATGCCAGACAAGCATGACAAACGTGCATTCTTCCAGACCCAGACATTTTTACATTTGATACCACGCGGGTGTCCCCCGCGGGAGCGTCACGAGTGGGGGCAGTAGCTCTTCCACCAGCAGTTGTGCCTCCAGCACGACAAAGTCCCTGCAGTTAGAAGTGACCACCTGCAGTCGCAAAGAGGGCGTGCAGCAGCGACCACTCGGGATGAACACGGTCACGATGTTGAAGCTCGCCTCGAGTTTACTGAACATCGGCTATCAAACGCAAATTTCAATCTGGGTCTGGAATGTTGTGATGCAAGTCTGTGAATGGCAGTGACCTCCACGGGGCGCACTGCAACGTGGAGCCAAGCAGAAAGAGAAGTTTATGACGTGCGTATGTGTTTCGTTTTCATCCGCATGGCAAGCTGATGTTTTTGCATGACGGGCAAGAAGGCGTGCCCTTATTTTATTTCTGCTTGTTTTTATGCAACACAGATTCAAGACGAGTCATGCCAGACAAGCATGACAAACGTGCATTCTCCCAGGCCCAAATACATTTGCAATGCATATCGGCCCACACGAAGCGATGCGGGAGGCGGAGACGCTGTTATCAAATGTAAAAATGTCTGGGTCTGGAAGATTTCTAGATTTGTCATGCATATTTTCCATGACCCACGATGTCTGTGATGCATGCCGTAGCATCGCAGATTTTTGGAGCGCTTTGTGATACCTCTACCGCATGAGAAATGCCCTCTCCGCGTAGCACAAACTAGAGTCCTCTTGCTCGTCATGCAATACAAATTTTTTCAGAATCCAGAGACAGCATCACAAGTTTAGAATGTTCCAGACCCAGACACTTTTGCATTTGATAGCTGTATCTCCGGGGCTATTTGACCTACCCGCGAACGGAGACCACCGCGTACCCCAAAACCTTCGACTTCGATTCCCTCATCCAGCGACAGGCCAACAGCACCCTCCCCTGGGCGCCACAGGCGAAGCTGTTGCAGAGGCAGAAACCGCGGAAGGGCGTGGACGCGGGGGACCATCCGCCGATCACGCCAACTTTGCAGGTGCCGCGGAGCGTGGACGAGTTCGGATCGAAATCCACCTGGAGATTGTACGATCTGATCACAAGAAACTTCCTGGCGTCCGTGTCTACCGATTTGGTCTTCGAAGTGCGAAAGTGGGGGCTGACTTTGTCCAACCCGGAGCAGCTGGGGCAGAACCCGAGAAACCATGTTGTCGGAACTACGCCGGGGCAGAATGTGCAGCACCAAACGCGGATCGACAAGAACGAATACGAACCGGTGACGTACCAGTTTGCGATTTCGGAGCGGAATCTGATCGACGCCGGGTTCCAGCGTTTGCTGGTGAATAACTTCGACGAAGAGAATTACAAGCACCAGTTTCACAGTGGGACGCCGTACGGGATCGGGGAACTGCTCGAACTTTACGAGACCATCCACTTGAAGTACGAGGTGGAGAAGGACGACGAGCAGTTTTTCAAGTCCAACAAACGAATGATCCAAAACGACTGTGTTTTGGACTCAAAAGAGATGGAAACCAGTCCGCCGGAGTACCTCAGCGAATCAGACCTGCTCGCCTTGATGGATGCAAATGGGATCGGTATAGAATAATCTAGATAGCTTTTCAGCATGCGAAAGTGTTTTTGTCATGCTGTGACTGACGCACGTTGCACTTTTGATTCTGGAATGAACATCCACCAAATTATATTCACTCCAGGCACCGACGCATCGATGGCCACCCACATCCAGACCATCGGTGACAGAAATTACGTGGAGATTACCGGGGGAAGGCGGCTGATTCCGACGAAATTGGGCATAGCGCTGGTTCACGGCTATTCGCTAGTGGACAACGAGCTCTGCGTGCCTAGGCTGCGGCAAGACATGGAGGCGAGCTGCACGGCGATTGCAAAAGGGGAAGCGTCGAAAAAACAGGTAGAGAACAAGGACTACTTTTCATGTTGATACGACAATTTTTTTTGTTGGTACCAAGAACAAGAAAGGTTCTCCCCGTGAAGATGCAAACCTGCACGACATTCCAGAAGATAATTCGATCTAGCAGCGCAAGCTTCTGCATCAATCACAATCACACCCCACCGCATAGGTCGTGCGCCACACTTTGGAAACGTTCAAGGCGAAGTTTGATTTTTTCGAAAAGCACATTTCCTTCATGGACCAGCTGTTCCAAAAAGAATACGAGTTCGTTGGCGCGGCGGGGGGTTTGCTGGGCGGCAGCAACGCAACCTCGACCATGAACAGTCTGAATAACAAGGGCAAGGGGAAAAACGACACGGGGCCCAGCATCGACGAATTGCGCGAATTGCAGAGGCTCGGTCTCGGCAAGGGCGATTTCCAGCACAAGCTGGATAAAGCGAATGGGAAAGGTAGTAGGGTTTTTTTTTGTACAAAGAATAAATTCCGATATAATTCTTGCACCGCTACACTCATAGAATTACGTTTTGGTCGTGCCATTACAACACATCATTAAAACCACCCAAAAAAAATCGGACCTCCCCACTCCTAGGCGGCAAAGGCAGCAAGAAGGGCAAGGGGAAGAAGGGCAAGGACCGCGACGACGAAGATGGTGGGAGGAAAGGCAAGGGAAAACGCGACCGGGACGACGATTACGTGCCGCCAGACGAGCAGTGCTACATCGCGTCAAACCAGAAATTATGCATTGCAAATATGTCTGGACGTCTGGAAACCTGTGATGCGAGGAAGGGACTATTGAGCACACTGTAATGCGCTGCCAAGCATGCCAAATATTTCGGCGCTTCTGAGTTGCGTACTCCGCATGAGAAGCTGCGTTTTTGCATGACAGCCAAGAGAAGCTCTACTTTGTGGCCACGCAATACAGAGCTCGGAGTCATACCAGACTAGCACGACAAAGCTCGCAATCTCCCAGACATCCAGGGATATTTGCATTTGATAGAAATCGGACCCGGGTTTGGGGATTGTGGTTGTCTCCGCCAAGGAGAAAAAAGCGAAAGAGCTGGAAAAGAAGTTGAAGGAAATCGACCGGTTAGAGGATTCTGTTCTCGCGGAGGGGAAGGTGTTAGACGCGGCGCAAAAGAAAAAAGTCGCCATGCGGGGAGAATTGGAAGAGGAACTGCGGAAGGTGTTGGGGAAATTCAGCGGGTGAATATAAAGGAAAGCCGCGCTCTTTTTGCCATGCCGAAGTTGACGAACGACTGTAACTACTTACGCGAAATTATCATGGGTTGTATGTTTCACCGATAAGATGAAATCAGGTTTTTTCAGTTCAATGCGACAATACTAGTAAGTAAGTACCAGCATCCTCGAGAGCGGTTCTTACTCAGGGAAAGACGTTGGAAAAATGAAATCACGGCAGAGGAGTGATTCTCTTACTTTCATCAGAGGCAAGTGCTTCTAGAGACGCTTGCAATTTTCGACTTTCAGCTTTTAGCTATCTTTACTATGTTTGAACAATTATCGCGAAAGGAAGCTGCCACAGTGTGGGCTTTTCATCAACATTTTAACATCATCATGCGAGAAAATGTACACGGATTCGAAACCGAATCAGATTTTCTAGAAAATTTCGAAGAAACGCAATAAACGACGGTAATACCGGCGGACCGCACATCATAACTGCCTGGCCCTGGCCGGCTGCATCAGCAAAGAAATCCGGTGCTTTCTTCTGGAGCAGTAGCTAGACCTTTGTTTGTTTGAAAGTCAATGGCTGTCAAAGTCGTAGGTATTTTACCTGCTGGAGCTAACCTCAGATCATGGATCAAATCAGGTTATCGACGACGTGACACGATCTTCACATGTAACGTCATTTGAAGAGGTTTTTTTTTTCCGTATTTACGGCCATCTTTTCACTCGGTTTCATCGTGTTGGTAATTCGGTTTCCGTTTTATATATGAATAACCGTTTAGACTAAAAACGGGAACAGGCGGCTACGCGTTTTTTTATATCCCTAGTAATAATACAGTTGATTCCCCCGCCTTCCCCAGCCGACCACCATGTTGTGAATTTCATCTTGAAACAAGATGAACCATGCCCGCGCGCGGTAAGAAATACCCATCTAAGAACAAAGACCAAGATGATTCCTCAAATAAACTATCACCGAAAATAAAAGCGGCCTCAGATGTCGGTTCGCACAAGAGTTCTTCGGGAACAGCATTCTGCCACCAGCGCCAAGGAGCCGCTGCAACATCTGCAATCGAAGTTGATAACTGCTGTAGCAGCAGCGGAGGTACTGGCGGCGGAAAACAAGTCGCTGCGCGTGATAGTTCATCGTCGGGCAGAGGTACGAGAGAGAAGCAGCAAGTCTCGACAGCGACGCTGCTCCCCGATAGTCGACTTGGGGCTGTACTATCGGCGAAGAACGAAGCTATCACGAACGGAGGCGCGAAAAATGCGGTCCCGAAAGAATCTACCTCATTGCGAAAGACGACCGCTATCGGCGCCACTGCGGAACTACAAGGGCAGCTCCAGCCGCAACGAGGGCAAACCAATATTGGAAATTGCAAAAAATCTGGAGCTACTAACACGGAAGAATGCCACAGGCACGCGCGCGATTCAAAGAACAAAAAGAGCAGCAAGAACTACTGCAAACAGAGTACTGCTACGAACAAACACGGCTCGTCGACAACGAGGCACCTCAACTGTAGGAACAGCAGACACGACCGATATAAAAATCAAGCAACTTGCAGTGTCATCGGAAAGCTAGGCCGATGCATGCAGGACTGGCGCGGTCTGCTGGTCTGCTTTTACATGGTCGTGATGATGCATTTAAAATCGATGGTGGTACTGCACCGAGCGGTGGTCTCGGCGAGTGCTACGAGTGTACCACTTTCATCCGCAACTGTAGTGCAGCACTCTTCTGGCTTGGAAAACGTGGCGTTTTTGCAGGGCCCGTCGTGGAGACTTGACGTGGATTTGGTGGAGAACAAGGGCCGAAACTACGGAATAAAGAACCACCCGCAGGATGACCACCACCTCCATGATGGTGCTCAACATAATTCAGGAATAAACATAAAAGACGTGACCAGAGTGGATGAGGAGATGCTAATCGACGCAAACTTGGAGACCACCCTATTACAGTAAAAAATACCTCCACCCCGAAAGTTGCAATGATTTGTGATGCGAAGTTTCCAAATGAAAATTTTTTGTGTTGCATGAAAGCACTATGAATCTTTCTGATGAAGAGTCTGGTAGTATACAGCGTTGCTAGTACTATGACAAGCGCCACTCTTGCTGGGATCTTTTGCAATGCAAACTTTTGCTATTCACGACTGGAGATCTGTGATGCTGATACATGCAAGAGGGCGAGCGTTTCCATTGGAAAGGTTTGCAATGCAAATGTTCTTAAGTTCCGGGGTGGGGGCGTTTTTCATTGTAATACATCTGGCGAAAGCTGACTTTCGAGCCCGAGCTGGTCATCGGGCTGACCTCCGTTTTCCGGGTTTCCGGCGGTGGGGACTACCTTTTTTTGACCGTTTCGCGCATCTTCACCGACGCCTTTAACCCGGCGAGAACGGTCTTAGTCGTCGCCCTAACGGACGTGGAAAACGTCTCGTGGGTGATCGAGACCCGTATGCTAATGAAGAAAGCTAGCGTGGTAGATTTGTAATGCGAAAACTACAACTACAGGTCGTGCACAGAATTGTCATTGTCATGCTATCCGTTTGAGGACATGCGAATGGCAAAGAATTTATTCTAAACAGCTTTTTTTCTCTGTGATAACCCGGCTCCGTCTGATCCGCGCGTTTCCGCAGTACTACAAGAACGGGAATTTGCACATTGTCGTCCCTCCACGGGTATCCAGTGCAAAAGTTCAAATATCGTACTAAGTAGTAGAATCCCCATGACAAATTGTCTCAGCACGACGAAATATTATGGGCATTTGTCATGCGGATTTACTTTAATAAAGGAGATTTGTGATGCGTACTTGCAATATAGTACGAAGTTGATACTGTTTTGCAATGCATAGCGCCGGTTCTACCCGCACCCCTGGTTCTTCATCAAGCACAAATACAAGGACGACGACAAGCGGGCGAAGTGGCGGACAATATGCATCGCAAATATGTCTGAGTCTGGAAAAAGTCAGACACTTGTCATGCAGCTTCTGCATCTTCACAGAGGTCTGTAATGCACGCAGAGCATGACAAATTCTTGGGAGGCTTATTCATGCCGAGCCCGCATGAGAAATACCCTCTCCCGAAGACATAAAGTGGGCATCTCTTGCTGACCACGCAACACAGATTTTTGCCTGTTCCAAAATCCGCATCACAAGTTTGCATCCTTCCAGACCCAGACATATTTGCATTTGATAGACAAAGCAGAACTATGACGTTTCGTTTCTGCTGCTTTACTGCAGTTACGCGCCCGAGTCCGCGAAGTGGTTTCTGATGCTCGAAGACGACATTGCGACCAAGCCGAAGTTTGACGAGAAGGTGTTGAAATACCTGAGTAACCGGCGAACGGACTTTATCCACGCGCAATTCACCTATTTAGGCTTGATTGGGAAGCTGTACCCGATGGAGACGATCCTGCTTTTCTCGAAATATTTGTTCCATTTCGCCGAGGAGCAGCCGGTCGATTGGCTCATCTGGATTTTCTTCGAAATGGTCACGCAGTACCCCGTGACGCCCCGGATTGTGCAGGAGAGCTACGAGGAACTCAGAAGCGACTTTGCCACCGTGCAGTCCATGCCACGACACACAATGCTCGGCCAGAGAATCGCGTTCGTGCCGAAGTGCAACGTCAACTACTCGGTGGTGCAAAATTTACCCCACCTAACCGCGAAGGAAGTGGATCTGCAGGGCATGGAAAGCGGGTTCCAGTCCACGTATGGGAGCGCGATGAGTACTTTTAGGTTTATCATTTGGCCGCTTGGTGTTGACATGATATACGTCCACGCAGAATGATTTTCACGACAAACATCAACATTGTTTTTGCATAAAATCCAATATGATCAATTCAAAACAATCCTCCCCGCAGCTGACCTCTCCGTGAAATTCCCCGAGGCTGCAAAAGCCGTCGACCCCTCTATCCTCGACGACGCCCCCTATCTCGAGCCGCGCTGCATTCGTCACACGTACTCAATCAAGTTTGAAGCGGGGTGCAACACGGGGAAAGATGCGAAGTGCTCCCACTTGCGCTTCAAGCTCGGCGACGGGACCGGGCCAAATCAGGCACGGGAAAGTGTGACGGGGATCACGACGATTTTTTCCAATCCCCCGAATGTCCACGTGAAAATCTACGGAACGGTCAACCCCAACGACTGCAACAATTCCGGGGCGGGCACCGGGAGCCTGCCGAAGCAACTGCTGTTATCAATTGCAAATATGTCCTCTGGGTCTGGGAGATTGCGATATTTTTCATGCTAGTCTGGGATGACTCTGAAATCTGTATTGCGTGGCCGCGAAGAGCCCCTCTCGCCTGTCATGCAAAAATGCAGCTTCTCATGCGGAGTACGCAACTCAGAAGCACGGAAAAACTTGCCTTGCTGTGCAGCGCATCATAGATTGCTCACTCTTCCCTTCTTTGCATCACAAGTTTCCAGACCCAGACATATTTGCATTTGATAGCTGTTTCAGCATCACAAAAACTGGAAAGCGCGGAGCTGGACCGGGTACGTGGAGTTGAACTGTTTGGTGCTAGTCTGGACGGTATGCATTGCAAATATGCCTGGGTCAGGAGGGAAGCAACTTGTGATGCTGGATGTGGATTCTACAATAAATTTGTACTGCATGATGTTGAACAGCATCAAAAGAGGTGTCCAGTTTTTGCCGTGGCGAGAGGGCATGATTTCTGATGCGGTATAGGCATCAGGCAGCCCTCATAAAATCTGTGATGCTAGAGCATGCGTCACAGATCGATCAGGAGTCATGCAAAATGTGCATGAGAAACCTTGCATCCTTCCAGACCTAGACATATGTGCACTTGATAGACGGGCTTACAATCAGCGCCGTTCAAACTGAAGGTGATGCTGTATCGGTCCAAGCACGTGCCGGCGTATTCTGGGAACAGTCCCCAAGTGTCGTATTGAAAGGAAAAATCCCCCCTCCCCATAACGAAATTTCTGATGCTGGATTTGTGTACACAAATTCGAGCTGTCTTGCTGGAAAGCACTACAGGCCCATACTAAGTGCGAGCAGAGGGGTTTCGGCCTAAGCGCGTAGCATGAAAAACGTCCGCGCTGTAGGCCCAGCAGCATGACAAATTGCCTGCAAAATGCGGCGGAGCCTTCGGGGTTGCCTTCTTGCAAGACAGACGTGATTTGTGGCCACAAATCAGCATCACAAGAAATTAGCTCCATCAAAAATATACATTTTCAGTATGGGGAGGGGGGATTTTTCCTTTTGATATGTCGCAGAAGGTGAACTACGAGCTGCACAAACTGAAGGAAACCGGGTTGGTTGCCGCCTACCCGTATCAAGTGCAAAAATGTCTGGGTCTGGAAGAATGCCAGACTTGTCATGCAGATTTTATATGACTCATGAGGTCTGGTATGTAGGACAGAGCATGACAGATTCTGTGAGAGTTCTGTCATGCCTATCCTGCATGAGAAACTGCCTCTCGATTAGGTCAAAAGTGGACAGCTTTTGGTAATCATGCAACACAGATTTTTGCATGCTTCAGATTTAGCATGACAAGTTGCATTCTTCCAGACCCAGACATTTTTACATTTGATAACCCGGAAAAGCGCGTGCTGTACAGCACGACACAGGCGCGGCAGTTTTTCCGGGCGCAGAATCAGTACTACTTAAACCAAATGCTGGCGGGGAGTGGGGGGAAAATGCCAGTGGTGTATGGAGGAGAGGGGGCGGGTGAGAAAGATAAAACTGGCTCTACTTGGGTCCGCGTGCAGCCGAAGGAAGTCGTGTCTAGAAGTATTGAGAGGAAAAATCCGCCCTCCCCATATTGAAAAGATATGTTTCCGAACATTTGTGTTGCTGATTTGTGACCACAAATCAGGTTTGTCTTGCAAGAAGACAAGTGCAGAGGCATCCGCCCAATTGTGAAGCGATTTGGCATGCTGTTGGTTCTAGAGGGTAGCGGTTTGCAATGCTGAACAACTAGACCTGAGCGCTCCCACCGAGGCTGCGGATCTGGCAGGAGTGCCGTACTGCAAGACAAGTCGGATTTGTGTACACAAATCAGCATCAGAAGTTTCCATTTTGATATGGGGAGGGGGGATTTTTCATTGTGATAAGAATTAGTTCCTCTACTTCGCAAACAGTCGTGGATCAAGGCACCAATGCGGAACTGAATACAGCATCTGGACCAGGAGATGTTGAACAAAGTAGAACGAGTCATACTGATGTATCACAGGCTTCAACAACAACAACCGTTAAAACTTCTTCATCCAAAACTGCGATCAACTCCGCCTCCCGCAGAGAGCGCAACAAACACCAGTACGCCGAAGCCAGTTCGCACATCAAGTGGTATGATAATGCGCACCAGCACCAGCACCCGGGGTCGCATTCTGCGGTAGGAGGGCAGCAGCAGAAGGGTACTACTGAAGACTACGACGCCAGTGGGGCGTTGCAGGTTGTACTAGCAAACCAAAAATCAGTGTCAGGCACTTCGGACGTCGCTGCTAGTAGTTCTTCCAGTGGGCGTGCAGGTGCAGATACCAACTCCGGTACTTCTCCCGGTTCGGGCTTCACGGCCAGCCACGTTGTCACTTTGGGCCTTTCCGGGGAGCAGCTGTCTACCGCCAGTCTCGCGATGACGAAAGAGAGTTCATCTTCTTCGCCCGTAGACGACGCTGCAGAGAAACTGGTGGAGTACTACCTGATTGCCTACTATGGATGTGTCACGATTGAAATCGACAGAGTTCAAATAATTTGTCATGCATAAAATGCAAGGCATGAAATGCCTGTCTTGCCGGGATGGCAAGTGAGGCAGATTGTGAGCCTATTTAGGGTTAGGGATAGAGCTGCTGAAGGAGCATGACAAAAGCGGTCTTCTGTGCCCAAACAGCATCACAAATTGGATTTTGGCTCTACCCGAATTTATCATGTGCCGCTTGAAAATTGGGCTTCCAACTGGTATCCATTTTATGCATGACAAATCATTTCAACTTTGTCGATTTCAAACCTGACGCTTCCATACCTACACCTACTTCTGCCTGGAGGTGATCGCGGGCGTGGGGCTTTTGCTGCTTTTGTACAAGTATCAATTGCAAATATGTCTGGTCTGTAAAGGTGCAACGTTTGTCATGCATCTCGTGGAACACAAAGTTGGTCTGTGATGCGCCTACATGCATCACAGATTGTGCAAGAAGTCCTTCACGCGTATATCGCATGAGAAATTCGTCCTCTTTGTGGCTAGAAGTTGGTAGGAACTTTTGCCGTCCATGCACCTACACAGATACTTGTCTACTCCAGACGTAGCATCACAAGTTCCAATATTCCAGATCCAGGCATATTTGCAGTGCATAGCAAGTTCCTTGGGCAGGCGTTCTTCATCCACCGGGTGTTGCCGAAAGTAGTGTCCGGGGGCGAGGTATCCACTGCAAATATGTCTGGGTCGGGAAAAGTCGGGGTTTGTCATGCACATTTGGCATGACCCGTGCGGTCAGTGATGCAGGTCCTAGCATCACTTATTTTTGGATAGCTTCTTGATGCTTATCACGCATGAGAAATGCCCTCTCCGTGCGCTAAGAACTGGACTCCTTTTGCTGCTCATGCAACACAGATATTTTTAGGATCCGCAGACAGCATTACTCCAGACCGAGACATATTTGCAGTGAATACGAGGGGGCTGTTTTTCTCCATACAGGAAGGGAAGATGATGGTGTTCGTAGCGGTGAGGAGGAGATGGCGCCGATGGTCGAAGAAGAAACAGCTGCTGTTGGGAAGATTTCTAGCAAGAGAAATTCTTCTGTCCGTGACAGCACAACAAATCACGATCAGGAACTGGAACTAGTCGAAGAGCCAGTGTTGGAAGTTTTAGACGAAATCACCGGCGAGCCGCGGATCGTGCATTCCTCCGCGGCGAGTAGATTATCTTCGAGCATGACCAGAAGGACGTCGTCAATCAATGAACTGGCAGGAACTCCACAGGAAACAACTACGGGCAGAGGTACTACTGAAGATTCTTCGCCTCTCGCCGGTGCAACTAGACATTCATCATCTCCCAGCCGAACGCCAAGCCAAGGACGAGATCGTCGTAGTAACAGTTCTACTCCCTCCTTCCAGCAACTCCAGCAGGCGGAGCTGAATTCCACAAAACAGCTGGTCAAGCACTTTCTGTACCTGCTGATTTTCCAGGTGTTTCTGTTCGCCACCGAGACCGGGATCTTGGACATGTGGCTGATTCTCCACCTAGATCCCCAGTTTTCCGTCGCTTTGTTGCCGATGCTGAAGGAATTAGAGTCGAAAGAGAAGGAGTTAGCGACTTCGGTCATGGACGACTTGCGAAACAAAAAGTTCGACTACGGGAGCGGCGCGGGGTTGGCGACAGCCGCTGTATTAAACGCCCATCTTGCAGCGCCGGCTGCGACTGGTGCTCAAGGGAACAAATTAGCAGGAACTACTAGTTCTGCTTCTGGTAGTTCTACTATTAAAAGCGCGGAAGAAGAACTACCCAGTGGGGCAGGGGAGATGTTGGCAGAGAAAAAGTCAGAAGACGCAAACGGGGGGCACACTGGAGCTGGTACGAACCAAACTGCAGCGCACAGTACGGCCTCGGTAAGTGGTGCCTCTGTATCAACAAAAAAGCCCAGTAACAGAAACATCGTGAGCACTTTGACGGGCGACGACTGGATTAAGCTTCATTTCCTCCGAGCCATGTCCCGCCACTCCGGCTGGATGCCGCAGACAGAGTCTTCGGACTTGACCGCAATAAGGCAAATCGTCGAGGATTTGCGGACAAAGGAGGAGGACGACGGTGGAGAAGACGACGACACAAGCATAATTACCCCAGCGGATTTTGAAATATCAAAAAAGAGCTATAGGAAAAAAAAGCACGACTCTTCTTCTTCGTCAAGCAAAAGAACTTCCAAAAGCGGCCTCCACACGATGAACAAACAGCGGCCGAAAGACCGCACCTCGTTTTCGGATCTTTACGAGTTCATCCCGTACTATGGAACTGTCAGGATCAAAATCGTCAAAGTTGAAATGATTTGTCATGCAGAAAATCGATACCAGTTGGAGCCTCAGTTTGTAAGTGGCGCATGACAAATTTCGCGAGCACCCAAATCCAGTCTCTCATGCTGTTTGGGCAAAGAAGACTGCGCCTGTTATGCTACTCTGGCAGCGCATTGCATACCCCTAAACAGGCCCACAATCGGTCTCATTTGCCTGCTCCGCAATACAGGCCTCCAGCGCCCTACATTTTACGCATCACAAATTTTTCGACTTTGATTCTGACACATCCATACGTACAAGAGGCCGAGAGTGAACCTCTGCGTCGCACTGAACGGCTTCGACTTGCCACAATATGACTTGCCCAAGCGTTACAATCTCAAGCGGTACAATAGAATCTGGAATTTGTGTTGCATGATGAGCATGACAGACTCGCACAGCGTTCCACCTTTTGCAATACAAATTTCGCCAGATCCTCGTGGGGTTTGGGGCTCCGGAACTTGTCATGCGCAATCCTATGAGACTTGGCTAGATCATGCACTCTTGCATCACAGATTTCCATATTCTATTGTAACGCTTGAGATTGTAACACCTGAGCGGGTTATACACAATTCCTCGCTTTTCTGCAGGAGGCGGAGCATTTTTTCCCGCTGCACAACGATCTGGCGGTATCATTTGTAAAAACGCTCCCACCGCCCCAGAGTTGTAATGCAAATCTGCATGCTGAGCATGTTTTTCATGCGGAGACCCATGAGAAGCAGTTTCTAGTCGCGTTTTGGGATTTGTGATGCTAGAAGAAGCATGACATGCTAGATCTGTGATGCTGCTGAGCAAGCTAAACAGGATTACACTACGAGAGGCCAAACTTGTCATGCGCAACAGCAAAAGCTGACAGATTTGTCTAGCAGATTTCCCAGCTTGACTCTGGTGTGGGGACGTTTTTACTCAGGATAGGCGGTCGTGATTGAAGTGGATTTGACGAAGGTTCTGGAACACCTGCTGGTGAAAGTCGTGTCTGAAAACCAGGCCGGTGAAGATCACGTGCCACCTAGACGGTCATTACAAGAACAGCCAGGAGGGGTCGTCGACGTCCAAACGGCAGAGCAAGCACAAACGGTCGTTACACACACCATAGCGCCCGCCGGTGGTCTTGCGGCAGGAGCAGCAACAGCAGTCGCAGCGGCATTACCCGCTTCGGCAGGTAGTAGTACTTTCGTCGAAAAAGGTAGTAGTACCGCAGTACAGCATGCAGCAGCCGGTTCTCAGCTTGGTTCGAAAGCGTCCCCGGCCGACAAGGTTCTCGCAAGTGAAGCGGAAGAGGAGGAAGTTAGGAAAGTCGGCGCCGCGGCGGAACAAGAACATGGACAACCGACTACTGTAGCAGCAGCAACAGCTGCAACGACGGTAACGCCATCTACTGCTACTGCTGTGCCCGTACCACCACCAGCAGTTCCTGTAGTTTCACCTCCTGTGAGGAGCAAGAGGAAGAAAACGTTGGTGGATGCTTTTTTGCAAGAAACCAGCAATAACGTCGCAGAAGAGGACCACGCAGGTCCAGCTGGAGCTGCACTGTCGCAGGACAATAAATTCACCGTCTTGTTCAACGACCAGAAGCTGCAAGTGATGAAGAAAGCCATCCGGGAGGCGGGCTGTAAAATCATTCTCTTATGCATTGCAAATATGTGCGGGTCTGGATGAAGGATGTGGACTTGTCATGCGCGTTTCGCATGAGCCATGATGTCTGTGATGTACGCCCTAGCATCACAGATTTTTTGAGGCCGTCTTGATGCCTATCCCGCATTACAAATGCCCTCTTCGCGTAGCAAGAGTTGGACTTCTTTTGCTGCTGATGCAATACAGATTTTTTTAGAATCTGAACACAGCATCACAAGTTGCACTCTTCCAGACCCAGACATATTTGCATTTGATATCTCTCCAAGTCCGACAACCTGAGCGGATGCTATCCTGAGCAAAAACGTCCCCACCCCATAGTCAAGATGGGAAATCTGCTAGACAAGTCCCCAAGTTTTGGCTGTTTTGCATGACAGGTTTGCCTCTGCAGTGTAGTGCTGGTTAGCAAGGGAAGCCGCATTAGAAAGCCACTTTCTAATCCTGCTTACAGCATTACAAATTCCAAAACACGATTGCAAATGCTTCTCATGGAGCTGCGCATTACAAACGTTCCTGTCATTGCGCATTTGCATTAGAACTCTGGGATGGGGACGTTTTTACACAGGATAGCTGTCACGTCTTCTTCATCGACCCAACGGAATACCAGGCGTTTTCCCGGGGCATTCGGGAGCGGAAAACGAACGGAGCTCGGGGGAGTGGTGTTCTCGGGGTGCACAGAGACCTGGTCGCGTTCTTCTTCAGATCACTGTACTTATTGCATTTCAATTTTTTCCTTGAGTTACTACTAGGTAGTGTTAAAAAGCAATGTGCAAGTAGTGCATACCGTACAGCAAGGTACTACTTACAACAAAGACAATAAACCCGGCTGTTGAATAAAACCAGGTTTCATATCCCCACCCCGGCACAACAACAACAAGACGCGACGTCACAGAACCAGTTCCGTTCCGCCCGATACAATGGTAGTAAAGTGCACCAACATAATTCTGACCCCCTACCCGAAGTTTTCCCGAATCGGAACACCGACGTAACGCTTCTGTACGAAGCGGTGAAAGAGTGGAATCCGCAGTTTTACGTGGAGCTCACGCCGCGGATTTTTTTCCGGCATTTGCTGTTCAACGCGAAAGACCACGACCAGAAAAACACGTTTTGGGAACAGGTGATCAAAACTCACGTTTTATCCAATTCCGCGAACAACCAGCACCACTTCATGACGAGCGTCGACGGCAAAGAACAGTTCCGGTTCCAACTGGCGAGTTTTGTGAATTTCAACCCGGACACGCCGAAGAATCTGGCGGGAAAATTACTGATCAACACGACGGGGACGAGATTAGTCCGGCTTTTGTGGTTGTTGACGAACAATTTCTTTTACCAAAAACCCTGGCACTTGAAGCAGTTTTTGAAGAGCAAGAACGCAGCGGAGGACTTGGGGCTGGTGTCGAGCTTTGAGAAAAACATGGAAGAGAAAAACGTGTTGCACTTGACCAGCAACTATCAAGTGCAAAAATGTCTGGGTCTGGAAACTTGTAATGCTAAAAATGAATGATAGACGCACTGCAGTACGCAGCTATGCATGGCAAATTTTTTGGCTGCCATGTCTTACGTATTCCGCATGGCAAACTGCGTTTTTGCATGACAGGTAAGAGGGCTTTTTCGTGCCTATGCAACACAGATTCTCGAGTCATGCCAGACAAGCATGACAAACTTGCATTCTTCCAGACCCAGACACTTTCACATTTGATAGCAACTACAAAAACTTTTACACGGGGCTGCCGCAGAAGGAATATGCGGTCTATCTGTGGACGGAATCTATGCTGGATCGCGGAAAGCCTTCCCCGCCCAACGCGATCGGAATCTCCGAGCAGTGGAAAACGAACCCACTGGTCGTATGCAAGAAAAAAACTGTGTAAGTGTAAATCTGTGATGCAGAAAATGCAAAACAGTTACACTTGTCATGCCCAACATGCCTGATCGGCTCCCTTCCCAGGTGTTTTCCCTTCCTATCTGCGCATAACAAGTTTGTCCTGTGGTCGTGGCAGACAAACTTGTGATGCAGTTTTCCCAAAAGACTTACACTAACACAGTTTTTTTCTTGGATAGGTCGCGAGCTTCCAGGACGACAACCCGACCGAGACTTTGCTCGAGCACGTGGGGCACTTTTCGAGTTTGGAGAAGAAAATCCAACTCCTGCACGATACCCGGGCGGGGCTGGCAGCGTGGAACAAAGAACATTTTGACAGTTCTATCCCGAGTAAAAACGTCCCTGCCTTCCCAGAGTTGTCATGCAAATCTGCATGCCAAAAAAGTTTCTCATGTGGAGCCCCATGAGAAGGATTTTCTAGTCGCGTTTTGGAGTTTGTGATGCTAGAATCACCATCATGTGCTAGATCTGTAATGCTAATGAACTAGCTGATGAACAGGATTACACGATCAGGGTAGATCACTTCTCATGGGAAACAACCAAAGTTGGTTGATTTGTCTAGCAGATTTCCCAGCTTGACTCTGGTGTGCGGACGTTTTTGCTCAGGAAAAGTTTCCCCGAGATGGAGCACGAGATCCACGTGAAAATGCCGGAAAAAGGGTCCCTATCAAATGCAAATATGTCTGGGTCTGGAAACTTGTAATGCTGAATGGTCATGATTGATTGCGCCTTTAAATGCAGTGGGGCATGACAAATTTTTCAAACGCTTTCTCATGCGCAGAACGCATTCCAAATTGCGCTTTTGCATGACGAAAGTTTGGCGCTTTCCTTGCTGCTTATGCAATACAGATTTTTTAGATATGCGAAACACGCAATACAGGTTCGACCTTTCCAGACCCAGGCGTATTTGCATTCGATAGTCCATGAGCGTGGACAATAGCAAAGCCTTCGCTCGGATCGGGGTCCCGGTGGGGGAGAAGGGTTGGTCGCTGGAAATGAACTTCTTCAACAACATATCATTTGGAAAAACGTCCCCACCTTCCCAGAGTTGTGATGCAGATTTGCATTGACAGGAACATTTGCAATGGGCATCTCTCCATGAGAGGTGTTTCTAGTCGTGTTTTGGTATTTGTAATGCTGTGACCAGGATAAGCAGATGTATTTGTGATGCGTTTGTCCTTGCTAACCTGCAATACCTTACGGACTGCAACTTGTGATGCGTGAGTCCCAAACCTTTTGGGTTTGTGTTGCAAAATCCCCATCTTGGCTATGGGGTGGGGACGTTTTATTTACACAGGATACAACAAACGCTGGCCGGGGCTGGAACAGATGTCGAGCAAGGCGTGGCCGGTGCAGTACATGGAGTTTACGACCGTTGCGAAAAAGTTCGAAGAGTGGTTCTTGGAAGTGAACTGTGTCAGGTCGAAAGAGTTGGTAGAAAAGATCAAGGCGGAGCTAGCCCGGTATGTGAGGATGCGAAGAAGAAGTGGGAAGGAAAATAGAAGTGGGTCTACTTCACTGTCATCTTCATCATCTTCCGCAGCAGCGTCGGCCAAACCTGGCCTCTCTCCCCCCAACAGCAAGCCCGAGCCGAAGGGTACTAAGCCGGGTCCTGCGCCGCCAAAACCCCCACCAGCGAATTCCGCAGTAGTTCCGACCGAAGAGCAGATTCACTATTTCGATCGCTTATCCGCCCCGGGTATCAAATGCAAATATGTCTGGGTCTGGACGAGTGCAGGAGTTTGTCATGCAGATTTAGGATGCCCCGCTTGGCCTGGGATGCAGTGGACAGCATCACAAGTCTTGCGAGGGCTCTGCAATGCATATCCCGCATGAAAAATATTCTTTGCGCATGGCCAAGAATGGGCATCTTCTGCTACCCGCGCAAGACAAATTTTGGTGTGATCTACAGGACGCATCACAAGTTCCAATCTTCCAAACCCAGACATATTTGCAATGCATATCGGAGCTGCAGGAACTCCTCACCCACGGGGTCGCTTTGAGTATGAAGAAGTCCTACAAGCTCCGGGGGGGCCACCAGGTGTTCTGGTCCAACCCGTTTCGGTATGACAGTGCACAACTCCCCCTCCCCCTCATTTGAAGGGCATAAGCAGCAACACAAGTACTGGCATAAATTCAGCTTTTGCATGACAAATTCGCTACCGATTCTAGTGCTGTTTCAGCTTCCGGAACCTGTCATGCAAGGAGTTCTTAAGAGAAAGGGGTGGATTTGGTATTTTGCATGACAAATGAGGGGGAGGGGGAGTTGTGCGTTGTCATTTTCGGGACAAGCTCTGCGAGTCGATCCGGATCCAGTTTTTCTGCCGCAGTTATTCTGAGTAAAAACATCCCCACGACCCCAGAGTTGTCATGCAAATCTGCATGCCAAAAAAGTGTCTCATGCGAAGCCACATGAGAAGCTTTATTTTCTAGTCGTGTTTTGGGATTTGTGATGCTAGAAATAGCATGATGTGCTACATCTGTGATGCTGCTGAACTAGCTAAACAGGGTTTCACTACGAGGATCGAAACTTGTCATGCGAAACAACCAAAGCTGGCTGATTTGTCTAGCAGATTTTCCATCTTGACTCTGGTACTATGGGGACGTTTTTACTCAGGATAGCAGTTGGCGGGATTTCGCTTTCGAGAAAATTTACCTTCGGTCGCGGCCGTTACCCGTCTTGGTGCCGATGTTTCAGACGCCAAGTATAATTTCTAGCCCGTTGATAGTAGCACCGACGGCGGGGGTGGCGGTTCCGGGTGGAGGTGGGGGTGCTGGCACGACTGCCGGAACGATTGTTTCACCTCCAACTGCTGTGACAAAAATCAACGGAACATCATTTTATTCCAGCACAACCTTCACGACAGTGCACCCGGCCGCGGCCCAGGGGATGGGCAATTTCGCCACCCCGGCACCGGATTTGTTCGGAAAATTGATCGTGAACACCAGTAACACGGGACTGCAAGAACACGGGAAGTCGAGCAGTAATAGAAATTGGGTGCACATTAACCAAACAACAGGGAAAGTTACAGTTTCGCACCATCATCCCAACACCGAATATCAAAATGAAAAATCCCCCCACTCCATACTCAAACTGGAAATTTGTGATGCTGATTTGTGACCACAAATTACGTTGTCATGCTAGAAGGGAACAGATGCGAACTGTAGTGCTGGCTGACGTAGGAAGGCCTTGCCTGTTCAGCATGACAGGAGGCAACTGGAAGTGGGAAACAGCGTGACAAATTGCCTGAATACAAGGCCGGAACTGCGTCTCTTGCCATTGTAGCAATACAAACCGATTTGTGTACGCAAATCCAGCATCACAAAATTCCTGTGCGATATGGCGAGGGGGGATTTTTCCTCACAATACCGAAGTGTCGAAGTTTGTTCCGGGCAGCAACTCGGAAAGTTGCAGGCGAAAGAGGAATATCCTGTGCAAAAGTATCGTACTTCTAGTAATTGCATTTATGCACTACAAATCTCCTTCTCAAGGCAAATCAGCATTGCAAACTGCATTTGTGATACTGAGGAAATTTGTAATGCGATTCCTACTAGTACGATGCTTTTGCGTTTCATAAGGAAGCGAAAGGAGATGCTGGAACGAGGGCAAAACGCAGACGGGGGCATATCAAATGCAAAAATGTCTGGGTCTGGAAAGTTGGAACTTGTGATGCTAACTTTGGACTCTAAAAAAATCTGTATTGCATGACCAGCAAGAGGAGCCACATTTGTGCTACGCGAGTAGGGCATTTGTCATGCGGAAATGGCATCAGGAAGCCTTCCAAAAATCTGTGATGCTGGGTCATGCATTACAAGCATCATGGGTCATGCCAGACAAGCATGACAAGCCTTCCACTCTTTCAGACCCAGACATATGTGCACTTGATAGGGCACTGTTGACCCGGCAGAGATAACTACTAACACCAACTCCAAAGAGCCGCAAAAAATCAACTTTTTCGTCGAGTCGTACCCGCTGCGCCCGGTGCTGATCTTTTTGCTCGCTTTCTTTCTAGCGCCGAAAACCTTTCCAGGGAGCGAGAGGCTGTTTAGCTGAAGTTCTTGCCGTTTTGGCAATGCTGATAGATGAACTATTGCAAATGTAAAGGTATTTTTGCTAATTTTCTGAACATTTACAATCGGTAGAAATGTAGACCTGATACTCTGTCTTGTCTTTATACTTGTCTTGATTCAAAGCTACTGCTTTCGTACGCAACTTTTCTCTCTACAACTACGCTCTAAATGTCTTAACATGCACGTTCTGTGCCCTGAAAATACCAAACTTGAGATGGAAACTACCCAGTTCTTCTTAACGTAAACACAGTGTCACCTTACAAGTGTCATGATATTAGCGATAACATCAAACGAAACCATAAGTGGCGTTTTTAGTGTCGCATCTTTCTTGGACGACTCTTCAGTACAGGCGTTGGCCCACGACGCAACATGCTGCTGCAGCTGCGATCTACTTCGATGGTGTTACTACATAAGATCACCTCATCTCACTGCTATAGTGTCGTGGCAGCAGCAGAACAAGTGCGCTAGTATGTATTCGTCATGATGTTGGTTCTTGTGTCGGATCTGAGATGATCGCAAGAAGACTAACATTGTTTAGAACAGCCAGACTGTCCGCGTCTTTCCTTGGAGCTTCGTAGAGAGTATATCATCCATTTAACTCATCGACCTGGATCTTCTCCCTACCGGGAACGCAAGAGGACCGCTGCAAGAGGATCTCTTTAGCGCTGATGCATGGACAGCAGTCGAGGATCAACGATATGCTGGATCTTCGTGGTAATAAGTATGTCAAGTGAGGTTCATCTCAGTAAAGGTGTACCCCTCACGCAAGGCCAAGGGAAGTGACGCATGACGGCGTCGGTGGTTGTAGGCCCTCCTCGGGGGTGAAAGAGATCATCACACGGTATCTTCGATATGATCACTGATTCTCAACGACGTCCAGGTGGTCGTGCAGACGAACGTGTTTTGGTTTCCTTGCAGCTGCTGCACAAATCCTTTATTTAGGTGAATGAGAGTGGTTTGGTAGGGAATTTTTATTCGGCAAACGCAAAGTTTCACACGACACAAATTTTTCCTCTTCGCCACATAATAGATTTACGACCATAGATTTCAATTATGTTGTAGTTTGACGTTTCGCCATTTTTGCATTCATAGATGAAAAGCCGCGGCTAGAGGTACGACACGATAGAATTTATTTTTCAGTTTCTTTCCCGCTCCTACGGAGCCTCATATGAATTGGTATACGTAGTGATTTGTTTGCTGTGCAGACAGACTCGCGGCACGACACTGCACTTTTTTTTTACGAATTTTAATTACGTGTAAGAAATTATGTTTGTTTTGGTCCGCTATATAAAACTTCCAAGAAGTAGTCACAAATTTAACCATGCGGATCGATTATGAATTTACAAGCGAGATAGCATAACTCCTGTCGCTGAGCTGCAAAAGAACTTCCGGGAGTCGCGAGCTCGCTGCTAGTCGCTCTTTTTTTCCGCCAGCGCAAAACGACTTTCTGCACATCTTGCACAGAAAACTACTACCAATGCAGTTTTTACCGTGGTCGAGCTCCACGAGTGGCATCATGCTGGAGCAATCTGGTGGCAGCAGCAGCTCAAAGTCTGTTGCTGCTACCCATGCGTCGAAGATGCGGCCAATCTCCACCGATGGAAATTGTAATTTTCTGCAGCACCGCCACCGCGGTGAAGACATCAAGATCTCCCGGGGAAATGTTTCATCCCGAGCAGACCGCTGCAAGGAGGTTCTTGCAACAGACCACGAAAAGATCATCGCTTTACGACCCCTGACGTCGTCCCAAAGCCAAATGCTCGTCCACCGCAGTAGGGCAACGAAAATATTAGCCTATCCCGTCGAACACAATAAAACCGCCCCCGAAATAAAACGGCTCTACTCCAAGAAGAAAAGCAGAAGAAAACGAACTTTCTTGATGCGGCTCGGTTCTCTCGTCGGCGCTGCCGTTTTTGCCACCGTTACGGGTCGTCGTGGGTTCAAAGCGCCCGGCACTAGCCTACCGGAACTGACGAGTGGAAGCGTCGCGGCGGGGGCGGATGCAGCAGCAGCATCTTTCGCCGCGGCCGTTACGGGAAGAAGTGCTGATGTCGCAGCCGGCAAAGATGCCGTGGCAACAGCAGCCGCACCAGCGACCGAGGGACAGCCAGGTGAGAATAAGGGTCAAAAGCCACAGATTAACTCACATTTTCAACAAGCGCTAAAAGAGGGAACAACAAACACAGGTGGAACGAGAGGACTCGGAACCCTTTCTTCTGCGAGGAACAAAAACGCTCGGAACGACTACTTTGTGACCCATTTACCGGAATTTTCCCGCCTGTTTCAGAACTCGCTATTGAACTCTCCAATTTTCGCACAGTTCGAAGACGAAGAGGAACAGGGAAGAAAAGATCGACAAGAAGCTCGTGGCCCACAGCAGCAAGAAAACCCAAACCCCACTACTGCCAACGTGCCAGGACACCATCACCAGGAAATTGACAAGGAGTTGATTTTTTTCGTCGCGAAGACGTTTCAAGCGGAAGTGCAGGACCAGAACCGTTCGCAGTTTAGCAAAATTTTCAACGAAAACTTGCTCGATCTTGAGAAATACGGGCACGAAGAACTGAAGAAAAGGTTCGGCGCAGCAAAAATCAAAGACAAGGAGTGGATGGAAAGGGTCGGGGTCCACCAAGCGCGGCAGTTTGACATTAATTTGGACACCGATACGGCGTTTCTGGGTTTGATGGTGTACTGGCTCCACTTCCGGTGTGCGGAATTTTTGAATTCGGGGGCCATTCTAGGGTTGAGCGTCGATTACATCGACGAGTGCACATGCCTAAGCATTGCAAATATGTCTGGGTCTGGAAGAATGCAGGAGTTTGTCATGCAGATTTTGCATGACCCATAGGGTCTGTGATGCATGCCCCGGCATAACAAATTCTGTGAGATCTTTGCCATGCCTTTTCCGCATGAGAAACTGCCTCTCGGCTTGCTCAAAAGTGGACAGCTTTGTTGCTAATCATGCAACACAGATTTTTGCATGATTGAAATTTAGCATGACAAGTTGTCCCAGACATATTTGCAGTTGATAATGCCCGAAATTGGAGGAAGCGGAGTTACGGAAACAGAGTCTGGCGAACCCAAATCCTGTATTGAAGCCGACGAGTACTAGTAGTGCAGGAGGAAGAGCTTCTACTGCTTCCGCAAGCGGCGAGCCTCGGCCAACTGGCTCAATAAATGCGACTTTCAACGTCCCTCATCCCGGAGTAAACGTCGCTTTCGCGCCGCAAACGGAAGAGGAAAAGCTGAGGCAGAAGCTGAAGGGCACCGCGCCCGACCGTTTAGATGCGGAGACGATGTTTGACCAATGGACTGTTGTGGAAAGACGACAGAAGATGGTGCTTTTCGTCTCCTGTCAATCCATGCACCGGTTGATTAACCGGATATTGAAAGCGAGGAACAACCAGCACTTCTGGCGCATGCCGATGAGCGGAAACGAGTTGATGCAGATGAATTGGATCCCTGAGGACTCTATCATCGAAGCCCACCCCTGGCTGGCAAACAAGGGCATCACCGCCTTAGTCTTAGCCGTCTACGAAGCCGTGATTGGGGAGGACGCTTTCAAGGAGGTCTCCGTGGCCGGCGCGCCCATGCAACATTTTTTACCCGATGGAAAACGGGAGTTGGGGCAAACCTTGACGAGCAAGGAGGTGAAGAAGCTCGCGGAGCTTGCTATCGCGGTGGAAAAAGGAGAAGTGGGAGCGTCAGGTGCGGTGACGAAAGGTGCTGGCGGTTCATCTGCCAGGACATCAAATAGGAAGCCGAAACAAGGTAGCAATTCGGGTAGTAGTGGAGGTGCTAAATCGTCCCGCGGCGGTGCAACATCTACTAGCAAAGCCACTCCGAATCTCACCCCCTTGCAGTTCGTCGCGAAATCTGTGCACCAGTTGACAAAGGCTTGGAGCGAGAAGACGCAGCAGAAGTTGCGGTTCCGGATTGTGAAGTTGCCGAAGAGGATAACAGAGCTAAACGGCGCGAAATTCTTGAAGGAATACGCGGCGGAACGGTTGGAATCAGTGGACGAAGCTATGAACTGGAAAGAACTGTCAAAAGATCCGGACTGGCGGCAAACCTACCACATCGACGGCGCCGCGAATATGCTGATCCACATGGCTGAGGAGGGCGATGAAGATGATCCAAGTAGAACTACATTGCCAGGAGCGGCCGTTGACGGTAGTCGTGATGTTAAGCCGCAAACTCCTATAATGCCACCTCCATCCGAAGAGGTGGAAAAATTTGCGCAAACTCTCGACCTCCGCTCGTTGCCGCAGGAAGCGGACGCGCCACTCGAGCTGTTGCCGCAAGTTTTTGACACGTTTAACGATGATGGCTCCACTTCGGTCGAGGGGGATATTAGTGAAGCGGGAAAAATAGGACATAGCGAATCTTTATACGACTGGTACGCACTTTGCGTGGAGGGCTTGCCGCAAGAGAAGCGCGACGACGACGACAGAGAAGGCGTTTCTCGGCGGGGCTATTTGGCGAGCGCGGACAGTGGAAAGCCTGTCTCGGGCTTGACTGCAGTTTCGTCCCAGGCACTGCAACAAGGCACTGCCCTATCAACTGTAAAAGTGTCTGGGTCTGGAAGATTCTGAGACTTCTCATGCACGTGTTGCATAAGCCATGAACATGATGTCTGTGATGCATGCCCCAGCATCACAGATTTTTTGAGAGCTTCTTGATGCCTATTCGGCATGACAAACGTCCTCTCCGCGTAGCAAAAAACGCGTTCCCTTTGCTGCTCATGCAATACAGATTTTTTTGGAATCCAAATGCAGCATCACAAGCTGCATTCTTCCAGACCCAGACACTTTTGCATTTGATATGCCCTCGACGTGGTCGAGACACGGGAGTCGCGGATTTTGCTCTTCAAGTCTAGTAGCAGAATGAACGTGCCGGAAGGTAGCAGAGCCGACACGGCGATCGAAATCGCGAAGTTCGGCGCCGTAGGGATTGCAAATATGTCTGGGTTTGGAAGAGTAG